TACTCTCCTAGCACGTAAAGAACCATATTTTACCAAAACCTCTGTTGACCATTTTTCCCACCCCTGTTGCATTTCAGAAACCTTTTTTTCCTTCACTTTTCTCAACTCCTGAGCTCACTCTGTGCCACCACAAGCATCTAGACTTCGATCTGTTCCCGCCCTTGGCCTCACTGCAGTGCATAAAAACATCATGATGAAAGTTGTGTTGTAATATTTCTCCCTTTCTCCTGTTTGGAGAGAGGGTTTGATGCTTGGTTAAAAGATTCGTCAACTTTTATCACCTCTTTATTGAACTTTCCTGTTCCTACCAGCACTGCCTGACTTCCTCCTTTGCCCCCAGCTGAAAAAAAGCGACGCTGACCTGTCTGACTTGAACAGATCTCATCTCATTGTGAGGACACTTGCTTCAACAAGTGCTCTCACTCCTTTTCACCCCAGTTAAGACAGTATCAGATCAGCTTTGTTTCCCCTGGATGCCGCTAAGTGAAACGTTGACCCATCGATAACCATCCAAAGGAGCCCCCAGCTGTCACGGTGGCCCACGGATCACGGATGTGTGAGATCAGAGCCTCATTGTGTAAAATGATGAGCTCCCCGGCCCGTCTCCATTTAGCTCTGAATCATGCTCATTTCTCTCTCCTCTCCTCTCCCTTAATATGTATATTTAATAAAGCTCGATATATCTTATCCCCTGGGTGACTTTGAAACATTTCATAAAGTACACGGCACTACGCTCAATCAGATTATGTTGCCGGAGTATTCACTGTCAGGAATACATTCAAGATATTCAGCGAAGTATCTCCTTTTATTCTAAAATGATCATTTGAAAGGAAATCAAAAGCCCTGTTAAAGAAAATATATGTGATATGAAATGATAATAGGATTCTTCTACGAATAAGACCAAGTCAGAGAGTCGGAAAAATGTGGATAATAACCTTGGAGAAAGAAATAAAGAACAAAGTCTGGCTTTACTGTCTGAAAATGCTGCTAGTTTAGCTTTAGTTAAAAATATCTACAGGTTTTTTTCATAAGAAAGGTAACATCATGCCAGAGCTACAACCAAACACATCGGAGTCGGTGGTAATAAATTTATACGGTGGGAATTGTTTCTGCGTTTGCACCCCGTGCTTCACATTTCACATTCTGTCTGATGCTGCTGAATGATGAAACTTTGTGCTGCTGCTGCTTCTTCATTGTACTTGTTCTGCAGTCACTTGTGTGTGTAGTAAGACAGCACAGCGGACTGGACCGAGGGACTCAGACGAGGACAGGCAGCACCTCTTTGGAAGTAATTATTTCCTCTTCCCCTGCGGCCTCCAGCGGGAGATCCAGCAATGGCGGCTGCAGGTTTGATGCACAGCTGTCTCTAAACCGAAGACCTTGTTTCCCTCCTCTGTGAGTGGAGTTTATTTTCTTATAGTTTAAAGCAACATTTTCTCCAACTTTTCAATATCAAGGTGTTCATGGGAAATGTGTCTTTAAGTGTAGAGAACAACTCCTGCATCCAGACTGTTTTTTTCCCACTTTATTGACGATACCTTGACTGATACAAACAAAATAAGTCCCAGGGACGCCGCGCCAACATGGAGAACTTCACACTGAGAAATTTTCAGAAGAGCGGATGTAAAAAAGGGTGAAGAATCTATCAAAACCAAGACTCTTCTATATAGACTTGTGAAAAAACCTGCTGTGCAAAGTTATGAGGAGACAGTTCAAAGAAAAACAATATTAACGTGTTTGTAGTACCATAGAAAAGTGATTCATTTTTTTCCCTACTACATTTATAGATTTCCCTGAGCACTCTTGCAGACCTGAAGCACTCTTGTTTTCTCTGGATTTGCAGCATTTTCCTTGAGCAATTTTATTTGTTTGCGAGCTTTTGACTGTGCGTTATGAATATTTGCAGCTTGTTTGAGATCACTTACAGGGATATTCCGATGTAAAATTAATTAAGGATCAAACACACCGTAACACCGAGTTAGACACCCCGTCGAGAGATGAATGTTGCTGACCGCTTGCTTCTCTAGTTATACCAACTTTAGTAATGACCGCAGGATAGCAATACACAGCGGTCTGAGGAGTCATAAACAAACCTCAACCAAAACACCACTCTATAGCCACAAATAATGCTAACTTAATCAACAGTACATATAGGGTCCTAGCCACAGCACTAGCCACCAAACATCTTTTTAACTTTGTAGTGGGACCTCTGCCCAATCCATTACGGACTGCTGCAGGGTGACGCAGTTTGAGGAAGAACATTTATGATCATTTCTTCATGGAAATGCAGTCAGACTGAGACACTAAGGCAGAAGATCTACCACGTCTGTAGTGCAAAATGATTAATATGGTGATTATTACTTCAAGGAAATGATAAAGTAATGATCATAAATGTTCTTCCTTGAGCTGCGTCACCCTGCAGCAGTTCGTAATGGACTCGCCCGGAGGTCTCTGTACAAACAAGCGGCTGCTGGAAGAGAGTAGGTGAGTTGTGTTTAGTCTCTTTGCGAAAGAAATTAGGCAAAGTTAAAAAGATGTTTGGTGGCTAGCGCTATGGCTGGGACCCTATATGTACTGTTGATGAAGTTAGGTGCTGTTCTGAGCATTATTTGTGGCTATAGAGTGGCGTTTTGGTCGAGGTTTGTTTATGGCGCCTGAGATTGCTGTGTATTGCTATTGTGCGGTTGTTATTAAAATTGGTATAACTAGAGAAGCAAGCAGTTGGCAACATTAATCTCCCGACGGGGTGTCTAACTTGGTGTTAATTTTACGCCGGAATATCCCTTTAAGCTGTTCCAGCCTTTTTTGCAGAACTTTTTATTCATTTCTGCTATACACCAGTTTTGGACTTTTCCCATCCGTACCCAATTTGGTCGCTGCGTTTCATCGCCCTCGTTGGTCACTGTGGTATACTCCCTGCTCCTAATGGCCTTACCTAATTGGCGGATGTTGGCGAGCTTAATCACTGCCTACACCGGGGGGAGAAGAAAACGAGAGAGTGAGAGAAAGAGAAAGAAAAAAAAACCCACTAACAGCATTGAACACTAAGTTCGAATAACTGCGAATATCACTTTTGAAACAGAAGCTGAAACTTTGTCACAGTTGGGCTCCAAAAAAAGCAGCATTATTACCGTATTATACCTTTTTTTTTGTACGTGACCTTTATGCCTGATGCTTGTGGCTGTCTGCACTTATTCGCCAACTTAAGTGTCAATTATAATAACTGATTGCCTTTGTTATGTCAGCTAAAGGCAACCGTTTTTCAGGAGGGACCGGCTTGACCTCGTGATGTTCTCAGTAATTTCCATTTGCGGTTAAGAGCAATCAAAGAGCACATTAGGTGAAGATGGTTTTGATGGAAAGCTGTTGTACGAATGCTCCGAACACTCAACGCCAACAGTAATCAGTCCCTTGCTGATTGGTATTAAGAAACGCTCCTGCAAAAAACAACAACCTCACATTAAGTCATTTTAGCGGAGAAAGCAGGGCGGGGGTTTCCCGGGAAAGAAGGGCCGACGACGTCCTCGCTGTGGTGCTTCATCACCAGTTTGACAGGACACTCTCCCCCCGTCCACTGGCGCCTGAAAGGGAGATGATGATTGCGGTGACATCACTCTGCAATGCATTGTGGGCTTCTTGAGAGTGATTGCGTATTCAGAGACAAGTGAAAGAAAAGCTGGTGGTGAGAAAAGAGAACAAAGGAAGAGGAGAACAGACAGATAATTGGGACACTGATGGTAGAGATCAGGTAGGCAGCCTTACAGATGTTGTCACATCGCATATCTGTCAGAGGTATCATAGAAATACATTATAGAAACAGTACAGGCTCTTATCTTGGCAGGTTAATTGCTCAGAAGTTTGTAATCCTGGATCTTAATGGATAATAAATAAGTTTAAAACGAGCAGAAGAAATGATGTATAAATGGAAACAACGTGCGTCATACAGGCAGTGCTGAATTGATTTTACATGTTGTGTTTCATTAAAAGGGGTTTTAAAAATTCAAGGATGAGTGGCAAACTCTTTCTCTAGTTCCCTTTTGTTTCTGTGGGAACAGCAACTATATCTAGAAATCCTTGGCATCCTGATTGGAACTGTTGAGTGCTCCTCCACCTCAGCTCCTCAAAAGACATTTCATCAAGGTTTTTTTTTCCCTTAGTTGTTGACATCATCCTTTCAACATAGAGTCTGCTCATACTTCCAGAGTATAACACAATGTTATGTCCTTCATTGCAAAAATTCAATAGAAGCACTTAACAAACCACAGTACCATCAAATCAGCTTTATTTCTTAACCTTTTGGTAAGGCATTGTTAGATACTTTGCAACTCTTTTCGTGGGTTACATAGCCGCCCCATCATGACAACTACCCATATCGTTTCACAGGATGACGCTTGACGTTACATGGGGCCTGCCACGTGAATATGTTGGATTATGAAACAAGAAGAGAGCTGACATGGACTCAGACAGTATCCTCAATATTTTTAATAACCCAAAAGTTAAGTTTTGAGAAATCTGTTAAAAACTTTGAACATTTCTTTCACAGTTTTTCTTCACATCTCCTCTTAACTTAAGTCAGGGCAGATAGGAAGTAAAAAGTACAATATATTGTGTGGATTGTGTGTGTGTGTGAGTCAGAGAGACGGACCCTGACAAGGTAATGTGCAAATGATCCTGCCATAGAATCACCCTGGCTTCATTAGCTGTGATGTGTACTTCGATGCAGTGGTCGCAAGTCATTCTCTGCTGCCATAAAGACGGCCCTTCTCATCTCCACGACATCACTTCACCGTCTCTCCTCTCTCTGCAGACCACAGCCTCATTAGAGAGCGTCCTCACCCAACAGCAAAAAGGTAGTTAATGGCTTTACGCATGGTAAGAAAGTGTCAGAGGTAAGAATATATACCTTTCATAGGAAACAAAGAGTGTGTCTTCGGCAGAGTGACGGGTACAGATGAGAGTCGCTACAGTGAGAAGTTTAAATAACTAAAGAGAGGCGCCAGTTTGTATTCAAGGTGAAAATATGTCTTTTATTTGGATTATGCATCATTTTGAAGTTTTGTACAAACAACAAGAGTAAAAATAGAAACACTTTGATTCTTCTTGACACACATGGTGTGCCAAAGATCACTCAAAATATCCCTGAGTTTTGTTTATCTGACTGTAGCGTGAGACTTGAAGAAGAGAGCTGCACAGACATGCACTTTCATCTCTCCAAGTGCACCATAAGACTCACGAATCACTACCTGAAATATGTACCCAGATCCAAAAAAAGAAATCAAAGGTCCTACAAACATGAGGAGACCAGATCAAACAGACCTGGTGAAGAAATGTTTGGGTATTAAATCTTTATTTTAAAAATGCTCTGAAATACTGATGAGGTTGAAGATCCATCACTTCTTCGCCGCTCTACGTCAGCACGAAGAAGGCGTTGTGCAGTTTTTAGAAGTCTCATCATCGGTAGGTGTCAGCGTGAAATAGTTCATGTGCTGAAATTTGAGCACTTCGTTGCCCCAGCTTGTCCATCCTGGCTGAAGATTGCGGGCAAACAGCTCCAAGCATTTGGCCTGGGCTCCGATGTAAGGCTTCAGCACCTCTGTAGAACGAGACACATCAAGTTTATCGTTTTTTTTTAAGTCTTAACATATTAAAGGGATATTACGACGTAAAATTAAGTTAGGGTCAAACACACCGTAACACCAAGTTAGACACCCTGTTGAGAGATGAATGACCGTAGATAGCAATACCAGATAGCCAATGGTGCTATGGCTGGGACCCTATATGTACTGTTGATGGAGTTAGGCGCTGTTTCGAGCTTGTTCACTTCAACAGAAATATTGTGAATCCTTTTCGTGCTTGAACCAGTTTATTCTGGTCAAGAGAAAAAAAAACAAATAATCAACTTAAATAGCATTTTTAAGAACTAAAGCACCGGACTTGACTGACTTAAATGTGACACAGCTGTGGGATTAAGAATAATCAACATGTTTCTTTAATCATATAACTCTTACATGACTTTTAACCCCATACTGGTCAAGATTCCACACAGGTATTACAAACATATCTATTTACCCTGTAGGCAAATGTCTTTATTCGCTCTACAGATGAGAGCGATCACCCCTGAGGGATGTTTTTTTTTTGTCAGGAAACCTTGGAAAGAGCCTCGTGTAACATGGATTTAATGAGTTATGTCCATGGTAAACACTGTGGTAATTCTTTGGGGCATTCTCTGGTCTTCTGAATCAATTTGCAGCCACTATGATATGAAGTCTTTGTATATCTGAACTGAACTGCCCTACAGTGTCTTCAGCTTAAATAGTTCTTAATGGTTAGAATGAATACCTTGGTTGTTAATTGCCCGACTTATCTTACCTTGGCCTACTGTGTATTTATTTTACCTTACCTTGTTAATTTAGCTGCTTTCTGACTGTGAAGTAGGAGTACCATTGAGAGATTGTATTGTAAAGCACTTCTAACGACTACAGCGTGGGGTTACTCAAGGACACTTTGGCATGTGGACTGCTGGACCTGGGATCAAACCTTCCAATTGAGAGATGACCAACTCAAACACCGAGCCACTGCTGCCCCTGTGCTGCTAGCTGGAAGCAAGTCAAGGTGGGCAAGCAGAATAAACAAAAGGCTTTGACCCAGAATTTGATGGTTTGTTTCCTGTATGTGGCCAAAAAATTTCAGTGAATTTAAGTTTTACCCAACTTCAGGAAGTAGTTTGTTTTAACAGAAACTTTAAGGTTGGAAAGAGTTTCTACCTGGTTATGAGCTGATGCCTATAAGTGAACAAAGACTGAACATTTTATATATTCTTCAGATGACAGTAAGGCAACTTTGCAGTCGACTTTATTTCTGGCTTGGTCAGTAGTTTTAAACTGTTACCTCTAAAGTTGCTGACTGACTTTAAATCTGTTTGGAGCCTGTTCAACTCCAAAAACAATGACCACAGTTTTACCTTTGTTCAACTTTGGCACATCCACTCATGGATTTATTCAAGGCACTTACTCAGGACCTGTTCGAGACTATGGTCACCTTGTGAAATTGCCACGTGTGGTCTGGTTAGTTGTTGAATCTTTTTTTTCTATCATCCAATCGGGTGGATGTAAAAAAGATGAGACCCCAGGATGGAGCCTTGAGGAACCCCACATCTAATTTTTGATATGAAGTTACCTATGGACAAAAAGTGTTCACTGTTCTTTTAGTATAATCTGAAACAGCTTGAAAGTTCCAGTACGTTATGGTCAACTGTGTGATTGAGATCTTGTGGTATTAAGACTGAAATTCTACTACTGTCTGTGTTTGAGCAGAGCAATGAGGTCAAAACCTGGTAGTTGTGTCGGTGTCTGAAAGTGATTTAACTGTTGAATAATTGCTTTTTTAGTAATCTTGCATTAAAATGGTAGATTTTGTTATAGGCCTCTTTTTTAATAAAGTGACGACTGCAGGCTAAGTATTATCTTTGTTTGGAGACTCAATAAAACATGTTCAGTGGTCCTTTGGTTTGCTATTACCAATGTCTTTTTGCAATTTAACTCCATGTACATAAGCAGTATTTTACTGCCTTCTCTAGTAAAATTCAGTGTCATGGCACACACCTGCACACCAAGCCCATTCCTACATAAAGAAGTATGGAGTTATTGGATTGGTTATTGGAAAGCCCTGCTTCCTTTTCACGAAAAATGAAATTATTCTTTTTCCTTTCTTCATACTTTTTCAGAACTAAACTCGCTTCATAGTGAAGGTTTGCCAGTGGCATTGATTTAATTTCGCAGCATCCTGTGTGAAAATGTAGAATATCCTGGATGTTTGAATTCATTGAAAGTCAGGTTAGGGCGCTACATCCATTTTTAACAGGGTACTATCCGCTTTTCTCAGTAAAAGTCGGAGAACAGCTCTGGCAACTATCCAGCTCCTCTTCACCCCTCCACAGAGTTTCTATGTGGAGACTGGCAGTGACCTTGAGTCTATAAGTGATGATATTCCAGGAGCAGAACACCTGACAGATACGTTTCACTTCCTCTGCCCCTGCTCGACTCTGTCTGCTCTTGTGCATGCTCAAACCTCCCTGACACTCCCCTCGGCCAACACTCGGGGAGTTAATGAGCATGAAAGCCTGATCCACCAAAACCAATCCAACCTGCACCATGTGGTGTCCTGCCTCCCGTCTTCTCTTTCTTCGCACGTCAGAGAGTCAGAGAGTGGAAAGGCCAAACATGCAGCTCTCCGACTATTTCAACCCCAACCGGTGACTCAGCTCTCAAAGTTGAAGACAGAATAAAAGGTCTAATTACCCGCTTACATCTGAAAGGGGACAAGGTATGAAACTTCTGCCAAGAGGCTGAGGAAAGCAATGGTCAACTACTTTCCAACTAGGAACACACACCGATTCTTAAAATACACATATTTAGAGACAGTCAATATAACAAAAACTACCTTTTGTGTAGTGACCACACACTTCAATCTGCCCAATAATGATAGGAATCTTTTTCACCTTCATTATAGTAAAATAATGTTTAGAGTCAGCTAGGTCCACGGAACCAAAAAGTGGTGTGATGACCTCGCTCGAGTGCAAAAAATTACTATTATGTCTTTATCTGATCTGAGATGAGCTTTACATTTGTCAGCTTCAGCATGCTCCAAAACCCATGACCTTAGCAAACACGCCAGAAAGGTGAAAAATTACCTGTCAGCACCTCCATGATACTTTAATAAAGACAGGTTGGCTCGCCCTACATGTATAAAATTTATTGGACTTTTTCTATCATGTCAACAGCCTCCAAAATGCCTCCTATAACCATACACCATATGCCACTCTGACTTTTTTAATACACTGCAGCTTATTTTCAACCATATACAGGGTCCATACTTGAATGAGCTCCTACACCAGTCATTCGAAAATATGTGATGCTGTTCAGTTCTTGATTCTAACTAAAAAATACATACAATGTTCAATCTACCCTACGTTTCTTATATGATTTCTTATGTATGATATGCACCAAAGTGTAAGGGTTCAGTCAAGGCTGCATGTCACACCAATCTGGAAATTTGACTTGAACCACTTCAGCTCTGTCCACAACATACAAGACAGGACACATTGATAAACTCTTCAAAACAACATTTCATACACCAGATAACATACGAGAAGAAGATCAGTAAGAGTAATACACAGATTATGGTGTAGCAAGGAGAGATAATGATCTCAGGAGTTGGTGGAGATCGCAAATGGGGAAACAAAATCTTAAAAGTTTGAAAGCAAAGAGGAAGAAAATGTTTTTCCATGTCTGACTTGCATGTTTTTTTCAACTGTACGAGGAGATAAGTCAATGTTGTTTTTGTATCTGGTTGGGCTACCCTCTGGTGGCCATGAAATGTATCCACAAGCCCCCCTGGAGATTAGCTCATATTGAAAAAAACACTAAAGCAGGCTGTTCAAACTTAATTCTTCTTAATTTACTCACAACCTAAGAAGTCGGTGCATTTTAAATTTTAGATTTTGATCTTCAATGTAGGTCAACAGTGAGGATTCAAACCCTTTTTAATCGGACCCAAAAGAGGCCGTGCTACTCACTGGAGGAAAGTTGCTACACCATCTAGTTCATCTAATTCTTACATTTGTAAAGAAATGAAACGTAATGCTATCAGACCATGTTTCAAGGCTCTGAAACAAGCACTGTGAATGGTCTGTTAATGATGATAACACAATATAGACTCACTACTGGGAACAAAGAAGAGATTTTAGAGATGCCAATTAAACAAACCGGAGCGGATCACTATCCAAAAACTCATTCCCCAATCAACAGTCATGCAACCCACACAGTTGGCAGAGTGCCTCTTCTTGAGATGGGTATTAAGAGCTGCTATTTAACCTCTAATTATAGTACCAATTTGGGAGCAGAATTCAGTATGCGTTATTTCCAAAGAAGTAGAGGGGGGAGCTAATTAATAAAACACACACACGTCTTGTCATTGAGAGACGCTCTAACACTCTTTCTCCGCAGCTTGACCATCTGGCAAGGTGTTGCTGTAACTGTATGGGGATCACGACGGTGTCCCTTTGCAAGCAAATGTGTCAGAGGAGGAGAAGTGGGTCAGGGTTTCTCCTCAGAGCGGGCTGGAGGATTGTTGCCTCACATATTTAAGGTGGTATGTTTGATATGAACACAAAAGAGCAGCAGGACGACAGTAATGAGAGTCAGAGAGGTTATTTAGATTAATGCCACGGTTTCCAGATTGTCTTTAAATTTGTAGCCACAGCAGAGCTATAACTTCTTGCATTACCAGTGCTGGAGAGAGCGATTTATGATAACCATGCTCAGAGTGTTAAGCCACACCCACTGCTAAAAGAGGCTTTCTCGCCTCTGGAAGGGAGAAAGTGACAAAGTGACTGCAGAGAGAGATGCACAGTTGTATATACCGTTTGGTCCAACCTTTTATCAGCGTCACAAATATATGAATTTTCTTTCAATCTTGTTTTGTGTGATTAAGTCTCTAGGTTTTGTAGTGCAGTGCAGCTCTGTATTAAGTTGCGTACATTACATTTTGTGGAAAAAAACTTCATTGCGTCAAATAAAGTAACTGGGATTTAATAAATCAATGCATTTTAAAGCTGCCTGGGGTCATTGCATTTAATAAAGAAATTAAACACAATCTGTTCCCTGGTCTTCTTTATCTCTATGGCATCACAACTCCAAAATGGCACTGTTAAGATTTCAATCATTGTACTTTACAATCTACAGTCACTTCCATGAGGTGAAGGTTTTTCTGAGCTGAAAGGGCAGCGGCAAACACTGGCAGTGTTTTTGCCTTCCATACTGCACAATAAATCCCGTTCCCCAGGGAGGGAGGAGCATGACGTCAAGCCTCTCCTGTCCATAGTCGCTGCATATTCATAGTCAAGGTTGAACACTGGTTCCAAGCAGCTGAGTGCACGTTGAAGTCAAGTGTCGCTGCACCACAAATTAAATCTTTGCAGCACAAGTCCACTCCAATAAAACCCCCGAAAGCTGAAGACTGACTATAAATACAACTAAGATCAAGAATGTTGAGTTTGACCCTTATTCACGCTCAAATATCAGATTTCCAAGGATTTTTTTTACTGCTGTAGAAAAGCAAGTTATGAAGTCTAATATGTGTTTTATTTCTGAGCATCTTTTTCCATGTTAGTGTTTTTTTTCCTGCATAAACTTTCTTTAAAACAAATCAATCTGGCTAACTTCTACAGATCTAAAAAGTGACTCAGGCCTCATATTTAGTTTCATGTATGCACTGCACTGAGATTGAGGGATCTCAAGCGCATGATGGAGGCTGTGTAATAAGATAACAGTCATTCATGTTGCAGCATTGCCCTCTGGTGGCACAGAAAAACAAAACAGCACCCTGCTAAAATCGACATTGTGAGTAGAAAATTGATGTAAAAATGTACCTGAAAGTGAAGGCTTCTGGGAGTGTAGTGCTGATGGGATGCTGACAATCAAACGCTGATCCCCAACAGGGACAGATGGTATCTCCAAAGAGCTGAAAGTGATTCAAATAACATACACTATTAATGTAATCTACATAAAGATAAAGGAATACAAAGAATCTAACAGAGATAGGACGAGGTCAATCCGATTATACCTTGTGGAGTTATCTGAGGATGGACTGTATCGGCCCAGCACCAGCACTTCATACGGTTTCTTATGATGGGAATCAAGTGGAAACACAAAGTCTCCAGATGTGGTGACCTGAGGGGAAAGAGTAAGCCTTGAACATATCTAAAACCCCACCACTAAGTCAATATTTCCACGATTTGATGTATCTGTACCTTCACCCAGAACCATTCAGCTACAACTTTAACCCCCCAGTGTGGGTACAGCTCATCACGCACAAACCGCAAGTGGCTGGGACGGTTGGTGACCCAGGTGACCACTAAACAGTCTGAGGACGCCAGATTGGGGATAGGGAGACGTTTCAGCTGGGTAGAAGGCAGAGAACTGTATCTAGATCAAGAAATAAAAGAACACTGTTATTATAGATAGTAAGATAAGACACTGTACCCTTCTCTACTCTATCAGCTGAAGTTAATTTATAATGGTTATTACCGCTGCCCCATATAAAGTACTAATAGCTGTATAAAAGTATCACCAAAACAGTACAATTCAAACAAACTTTAAAAAGTTCTCTGACTTTTTTCAGCCTCTTTTAACTTGTTTATTACTGACACTTTTAAACTGAAGAGGTAAATGAAGTCTTACGTTGAAGCTTCTAAAATGCTTGACTGTCAAATTACCTGCGACTCCGTTTAACAGACTTGTTTTCCCACGGTGGATCGATAACAATCAAGCCGAACCTGCTCCCATCTGTGGGAGAAACAAGCAACAAGTCTGGAAAACATCTACTGAGCTGTCACTTGAAAAACAAACGGAGTCACGCTGGTATTATTTAAAACAGTACATAAAGAAAAGAGTTGTCATATGGAAGCCACAAAGGCCAAAAATATAGCTTTTCAACTTTCTGGAAAAATACCCACAATCCTTGAGGGATTTCTAAAGCTCTTGTCAAATTTGTTTCATATGGCCTAAACAAAAAACAACATATTTTCACACATTGCACTCACAGTGGACCAGTGGTTGTATTCTCGTGAAGTCAGACAGCAGGAAGGCTGTGTGTGCTGGAATGACATATTCCTCTCCCATCAGGGAAACCACTGTCGCACAGTCCTCTCTGTTCTCTGTCACCCGAGAGAACAAATCCAAATGTGATGTACGGCCATCTTCAGCCACTAGAGACTGAACCCACTCTTCCTGCTCCTCATCGTCCACTAGGGGAAGCTCTTTGGCCATTTCACAAAGCGCAACAAGGCCGCACTCCTGAAAGGGTAAAGGCTCCTTCACAGGGTCTGCCTCTTCAGTTAGATGTCCAAGGGATCGAGCAGAATCCACTAAGGATTTGGTTCCCTCCAGGATCACAGACCTGATCTGCATATAAACACATAACAAGAACGATTTAGTCTGAGTGGTGTGCTAAAAATGAGGATCTGAGATTTGTGCTGGCGAATTGAGACGCTTGGAATAACATTTCTTTTTCTCTTAAGTGAGCAAGATGGAGCAATAAAAGTCTGTGGATGGATAAACTGTTTGTATTCACCCATATGTGTGTGAATAATTTCTTTTCTACTAACTTTAAATGATATCTTGTCCAAATCTGGAGCAGGCATTAAGGCCTCAGTGGTGACTTCTGACAGATAATGCCACCTACCCTGAATTTCAGTCTATTTTATGAATGTGAAAAAACTCTTCATAGGAGCTTTAAACAGTTACCACAGTGTTCCCTCTCAATTTCTTTATACCTTCTCATGAAAAGCCTGTGAATCAACCTCTCCCTGGTTGAGCTCACTGTGTTTTCGCTTCCTTCTCTGTGGGTCAAATACAAACAACTGATTAATACATGGAATAAAAAAGCAACAACTTAAGGTAGGAAATATAACCACGCTAGTTATAACAATAACCTTCTGTAAAATTAAGCATTAATGACTATGAGAACTGCAGGTTGTGTGTAAATTAATTGATATTAACTTAATTTAGATACATGCACCATGGTTGTTAATATGAGTAACAATTCTACATGATGCATTTCTACTCTTGCTTTGTACGGTGGCTGAGAACCGCCACTGCTGCAAATAAAAAGGAATGCAAAAAAGAAGTCAAAACAGAAGTTACCGATGGGAAAAAAAAAAAGACAGAAACCAAAGCCTGCTGCAAATTAAAAAAAAAAAGTTAAATAAAAAAACCCACAAAAAACAACAACAAAAAACACAATGGAAGTTATGCAATGGTGATGCAAAAAAAACAAAACAAAAGGGAAATAAAGCCTGCTGCAAATGAAAAAAGATATGGTGAAGAAAAAAAAAACATAATGGAAGTTAACAACTCATAAAAGTGGTGATGTGAAAAAAAAGAAACCAAAGCCTGCTGCAAATAAAGAAATATATGGTGCAGATTAAAAAAAAAAAGTAAAAAACACAATTGAAGTTAACAATGAAAAAAAGTGGTGATGCAAAAAAAAAAAAACGAAAGAAACCGAGGCCTGCTGCAAATAAAAAAAGATCTGGTGCAGATAAAAAAAAGAAGCAAAATACACAATAGGAGCGGTCTTTTTTCCACATTGGTAACTTCCGTTTTGACTTCCCATTTTTTGCATTCTTTTTGTTTGCAGCATTGGCGTTCCTCGGCCACCGTAGATTTGTACCTATTCAAGCAATGTTAGGGTTTGGGTTTCGTCTTTTTCTGTTGTTTTTATCCTCGATATAACACGCTACACTTACTGATAATGAAATTCCCATCACACTGAAGAAAACATTAATTTAAACAACTGCTGCGTAACATTTTACACTGACGGATGCTTTTGTTTACCAGTATAAACGTGTTTGCTGAGGACTTCTTCACTGTGACAACCTAAGTATAATCTGGGTGAAATTGTCTATTTGTAACAATCCAGATCGTGGTCTGTAACTTTGGAGCTTTTGCAGCAGGATTTACCTTCGAAAGTTTGCATGTTTTCTCCGACATGTGAGAGTTTCCTCCGTTAACACTGGAACCTACACTAAAATGACTTTTAAAAATGTGAAAACACTGCCTTTTAAATCGGCATTTGACGTGAGACTTCAGTGAGTCTCTCAACAGGATGCAGGGCGAGTAACACCGATCAATTAGCGAGCATGCATCTACAACCCAGCCGTGGTTGTTTTGAGACACCACGGACATTATAAACCCGGATGATTCCAACACGACGAAACAATCAACTCTTGAAATTCAGCTCGATCTGGTTACGAGTGAGAATATCCCGCCTTTCTTCTCTGCCACAACACGTCCAAGAACTCTCGTTTAACAGTAAACGAAACCGAAAGCTAATCATGTTTTCAAATTTCCACCCTAACGCCATGTTGCACCATAGATATATTTGAGAAGGGCTAGATGACTCGAGGCGAAGTCACCGGCGTCCCTGCACGGCGGCCATCTTACTCCAGTATACCATTGTGGTACACGCTATGGTCGCTGACGGGAGGTGAGTAATCTGCATGATCAGAAATACTCTGAACTCGCTGAAATCTTGTCAGATTTACAAACGGTTTTGTGTATTACAGACCTTCATAACGTGGCTATGAGTTGGGATGTTTGGAAACATTGAAATGGTAGCTTTTCTTTAAGAAGAAGAAGAAAAAAAGACTTAAGTGTGAACATAGACTGTACATAGAACTGACGCCGTCTGCCTCCTCGCTGGGTGAAGCCACTCTGAGAACAGCACCCTCTGGTGACGAGCTGCAGTATAGGTCGAACAAAGTTGTCCATAGTATATACAGTCTATGATCATGAAGCACAGTTATATCACAGCTATTTGCACGCAAGGGCTACCTTTTGAGTTGCTTTGGGCGAGTTGTTAAGGCAGACCACAATCGAGATTTTAATTTCTTGCATGAAAGCTTATTTTTTATTTGTTTAGTCTAAATGACAGCCTTTGTGGATGTGCTTTGATGTGCTTTATCAGCTGTCTAACTTAGCTAACAGGCTTGCTGTGAGTGAGACCAAGTACATATTACAAAGTTGACCCAGCAGTTTTACATTAGTTGGTGTTGTATCTCGTCTGTCCACGATGGGTAGATGCAGAAGGATTATTATTATATGTTATTATAGTTATCCCTATAATAGAACTATTACCAATATGACATACATGGAATGAATAAATGTTTGCCTTGTGTGTGTAGGCCTATAGCTATTGCTCTACCTATCTGCTTAATGTTTATTCATGAAAATCCATGTTTAAAATTATTCTTGAGTATGCAGCCAGGAACATAATTAAAACTCTGAAGTTTGTTATAAACCAAACCGTTTGAAAATCGGTTAAAAAATAAGCAATCTATGGTTATTGAAATGCAACATGCACCATAGACTGTAATGTTTTGAGTGAGTGAGCGTCTGTAGGCGATATTTTTTTGGAGGATGGTAGGGGAAAGTCCCGCCTCCCTCCCCTCTGATTGGCTAGAAAAGCTTCAAACGTCATCACAAACCAAACGCGGGCTGTCGGCTCTGTACATCGAACAGAACATTACAGAACATTCTCTCACTTCTGAATCTCTTAACCCTCATCCTAATCCTAACCCTAACCCGACAGACGATGACGTTTAACAGCCATCAGGAATAACCAATCGGAGCCCAGCACATCTAGCCAATCAGAGGCGAAGGAGGGCGGGCCCGTCCCCTACCATCCGACGAAAAAAATACTAGTCCCGTAGCAAAATGGCCGCCATGCGCGGACGTCGGTCTCCATTGGCTTACAGCGTGCCTAAGGTATCTAGCGTTTATATATCTATGTGCTCACTATGAAATGCTTGACGAGATGTAACATGTCCTCGCTGAGCTTCCGTACGCGGAGAATTTGCGAGTGATTTTAAGTGAAACGAGAAAGCGAGAAGTGCTTGACAGGAAAAGGTGGGTGAGTCAAACGTCGTGCCAACCTCGGGGATGGTCAAAGACTAATGCAGAAGTTTCAGCTCATCGCGAGAAAATGATTGTTAGTGTGAAGTCCGCCGGGAAAAGTTAAAAACAAAAGGATGCAGAAGATGAATGAGCAGCGCCTCTCTTCATCAATCATTACGAAAAACAAAGTCCACAAGCGGATTTGCATTTACGACCGCCGCGATGGGACTGCTGAATCTGAAGGGACCTGGCTGGACACAGCTGGCTGGGATTATAACGCCTTTCTCCGAAACTTAAAAACGGTAAATACTCACGAAATTAACTTGAGAACAGATTTAATATTGTGAACACAAGAGCAATGTTTTTTAAAAATACACATTTTTTTTTTTATTTTATTCACAAGTTTTTGTATTTTATTTACAAGTTTTTGCATTTTATTTGCAAATGTTATTATGGTTGGCGGGTAAAAGATAGGGGAAAGTGGGGTAAGTTGAGCCAGCGGGTAGGTTGAGCCAAACCCTGTTCCTTGGAAATAATAAAAGAAATAATAAAAGAAATTGATCAAGTGACCAAATATTTAGGGGATGGGCATCAATTCATGGAGTCTGTGAAGGTTAGAAGCACATGGGTGAAGAGGTTAACATTTATTTCCAAAAAAAACAAACAAACAATTTTTCACTTTTGAAAGTGAATTTAGTCTGTCATAAGTTTTATTAGAATTGTGTTCAGACCAAAAAAGATAATTTTAATTTTGTTTTATACATCAATTGTGGTATCTATGAGCTACAACATGAGGTCAAAACCCTAGCATAAAAGTCCACCATTTCCTCCATTTTTTAATGGAGAAAGTAAAGGAGTCTGATGAGAGGATCAGAGTTTCAGTTCAGATTCAGTTCTGAAAAGTGTTACTTTTTCTTTTCAGAAATACAGCTGTGAATGTTCTGAATCACATAAAGACATTCCCATTTTAAAATGACTTTTTACAAAACAGCTTTTTAGCAGTTATATGCAATATAAATAAATCAATCAGTCAAATCAATTCCTCTCTGCCACAACACGTCCAAGAACTCTCGTTTAACAGTAAACGAAACTGAAAGCTGACCATGTTTTCCGGTTTCCACCCTAACGCCATGTTGCACCATAGATATATTTAAGAAGGGCTAGATGACTCGAGCCGGAGTCACCGGCATCCCTGCATGGCGGCCATCTCACTCCAGTATACCATTGTGCTACACGATATGGTAGTTGGCGGTAGGTGAGTAATTTTTCATACAGAAACAATGTAGCACAAAGTGCTTTACATAGCAGAGGAATAAAAGAAACAAAGAAAACCCTAATCTAGATAGCACAATACAGCACAATAGAAACATGCATTAAAATGCATGAACTTAAAAAGGGCTTGATTTCATACAAATAGGAATGTGCGCACTGAGGAAACACTGTTTTAAAATTTACGATAAGGAAACACTAGAGGTTTAAAATCTAAAAAAGTAACAAAAAATTAAGAAATAATAGATAAAATGAAATAAAAACAACAGTAAAAGATACTAAAATAAGAGCACTAAAATGGTTCAATAAAAGACAACCCTGTGATTAAAATTAGAATAGATAAATGCTAAAACACTTAAACAGAGTTAATGATATAAAATTAAGTTAAAAGCAAGACTGAAAAGGTGGAATAATAATGATATAAAAATATTTTACCAGTTAAATACAGTATTATAGATGAAAATACACATGAATGTGAAGAAGTGACTGTTATTTAGGGAGAGAGAAGGTGAGGGAGGGCTGGGGTGGAGATACTAACAATGATGATGTTCTCTTGATCGGTCAATCACCTGAACCTATGATTAAGTCAGCTCCAATTAAGAGCTACTGGACACATACCTGACTAATAACCACCTTTGTACCTCTTTACAGAAATTTGCATTCCCTCTACATGAAAGATATGTTTTGACCACCTCAGACAGAGTACCTCTGGATTTTGACAAATTTGGTGAGTTAATATGTCTGTGCTTAAGTAATCAAAATGCTGCTGCTGTTTTTAGATAAAAAAATCAATCATGAATGTTCCAGTTTGCTCTTAAAATGTCACAATAAGGTTTCTTAGATTGAATCATGTAAGGTGCTTTTCACTTGTCGAAACCAGATTATATAGACAAATGGATTAACAGTCCTCTTCTCCTTTTGGCAGGTGAGCTTCAGGATCTCAGCACCCTCTATTTGTTGCAGAGTGAGGATCAACCTCTCCAGGCAGCAGTAAAGGAGCTCATCAGCTTTACGCCTCACCATCATACATTGACTGAAAGTGGCAGCGACGTGTACTACCACTGTGAGGGAAAGGTCCCTTTAAGTGAGTACTTACATGGTTGACATTGTATATATGTGAAATAGATGGAGACATTCAAGCCATGTGACACTGCACATAATTTGCTTCCCCAGCTTGCGCCCTCGCTGAGCTGATCGACAACGCACTTTCAGCAACTGCAAAAAACGAAGGCATCAGGTCAATAGAGATACGAATGGTTGGTTTACTTAAAAAGAGGTTCACCTTTCATACCGTCCTTGACAGTTATCCAGGTACTTTTTTTCATTATCATCCGTCCAAGTGACTTGTTTTCTTTGTTTCCCAGCTATTTGATGTAACGCTTGGAGAAAATGCAGTCATTATTTTGGATAATGGGTGTGGAATGTCCTGTACAAAGCTTAAGGACTGGGCAACATACAGACTCACCAAATTTGAGAGGAAAGACGGCAAGTTTGAAAGGTTGGTAAGCTCTGTTAAAGAGCTTAAAAAAGCTGCAATGTGGTTGTTTCCTTAATATATGAGTGTCTTTTACTCATAGTCTCAAAGCTCAGATCTGACTTAAATATCTCCTTCACAGTGAGCAAGAGGGCTACGTCAGGCCTGATCCTGTCTCTCGACATCTCAACAGTGATGTGTCCTACTTTGGAGTTGGAGGAAAAAATGCAGCTTTCTTTATCGGAGAATCAGTCAGGGTAGGTCTTGATGAATGTATTGACAAATGCAATACTGAGGAAGTAACAAAGACTAATATCAAATCCACAAGCAGTGACAAACTGATCCTCACTTTTTTGTATGTTTAAGGTGTGTACTATTTGCATATTGACCATGATCCAAATATAGGCGTAGATCTGATCAGGAAGGTGAGGTGCCACACCTTAAATGTGGAGTTGCTCAGATGAAACTTCTAGATAAAAGGGTTCAAATAAGACCATGTAAATGTAGGTCATTTGAATCAAATGTAGGGGTTCAGTGTCGTAGCCAAGAACACTTTAATATCTGACAGTGGGAGCTTGGATGCCAACTTTCTGATGAAAGATGATCTGCTCGAACACTGGGCCACTGCCGCCCCGGAGTAGCCTGACAAGTCAGGACAAGGAGTCACTAGAAACTTCGCGTAAGTTTCCATAAAGACATTACAGCCACAGGCTTAAAGGCAGTGTAACCACTGGAATGTGTTTCTTTCAAGTAGGGAACACTCAAGTGTTTTGCAAATATACAAAGCCTGAAACACGAGTTACATAAAGTAATACGACTGAGAGGAGGAATTCTTCACTGCAAACCCCTGCCACCTGAGCCAGCTAAAGCTTGAGTCAAACTTCGGTGCCGTTCTGTTGTGTTATAGATGATAACGAAACCAAAAGAGTCCCCAGATGTTCATGAGCTTATCCTGTCAAAAAAACGGTTTGAAGAAAAACAGAAGAAACAAGAGGATGTGTACAAGGAACACATTAAAATCAGGAAGGTGAGCGTCAGACTCAAAAAGTCAATTCAAAGTAGATGCACATTCATGACTTCGAAACCAGGCCACTGAAGTTTGTGGTGCTGTCTTTGTGGTGTCCCCTCCTGCAGCCTGGTGAGTGTACAGGCCTGGATGAGCCGTTTCTCCGCAGCATCATCCGTGAGGAAACTGAACTAGCAAAGGGAAGCTTCACAGCTGTGGTGATCACAGAAGTCAAACCTGAGTATGTTGACTTTCTGAAGAAGAATTTTGACGTGGTGCCCCGACAGCTGGCGTGAGTATAATCACCTACTCCATCCCACATGCTCTCTGAAGTCTTTTCAAATCCTGAGTTGAATTCTTTGAATATCTTCACATTCATTCTTTTTGAATCTCTGTTTCAGTCATATTTATCATTATTACATCCATGGAGTCAATGGAAACATCATTGGCCGCAGCTCTTCAAATTCAGACGGTTCTGTTGACATTCAGGTGAGGCTGCTCTGCTGTTAAGGAAGAGAGGGGTCATTCAAGGTATAGGCAGATACCTGTTATCATGTTATTTTATGATCATAAGGATTCTGTTTTCCTATAAAAATTTATGAGTCCTGTGACTTACTCAGATGAAACACTCAGTGATTCAAAACTATTACATAACCTGCTTTATCAGGTCACAATGCGAGAGAAGCCTCCAAAGTGTCCTCGCGCCATAAATCTGAAGGAGGTTGAGAACGACATGCAGACCCTGTACATTAACAGTGCTGCAGACACATTTGAGTTCAGGGCCACCATTCCTCTGGATGATCACCCAGTGGAGGGAATCCTTCGATATCACCCTTTCCTCTATGACAGGGAAACGTACCCTCAAAACTTCGACATTATCCAAGGTATTCAAACTCTAAAAGCTGTGTGTAACTTAAGATGAGACGGCTTTGAATTAAAACCAGAGTTTTTACTTTTGTTTTCATGTGTTGGCCAGCTTCTCACAAAGAGGCTGATGGTGTTTCTGAGGAAACTGAGTCTGGTGGCGTGCAGGCCAGAGGCAAAAGGGCGTTATTTGACTGCTACTGGAACGGACGGCTCATACCAAGAAACGGAGACTTTGAGTAAATATTTTGTTTTTTTATTGATTGTGTGTGATGATATTTTATGGTTGTTAGAGTACATATTCTTAATTAGGAATAAATGCAATAAATGGTGACAAGATTATAAGGACGAAGATTGATTCAGAGTTAGGCTTGGTGTTCTTTCACCAAAGGAATGCATGTGTAGCGGTTTGAATTTGTAATAAATCTCTTAAGATTAATAATCTTAACCAACCTTAATGATGGGAAAATAAAGAAAAACAAAAGTTTAACTCAGAAATTAAACATTATGTCAATCTTGAATTAATCAATTTCATATCTGAAGCCGAAATTCTCATTTCAGGGACTCCACGTCTGAAAGAACACTAACAGACAAGAGCTTAGAAAAATAAATGATCTGTTTATTACAGGATAAATGATGGTACAACATACATGCAATAAATGATGATAAGATAATGAGGATAAATAACAATAGATGAATAATTAAAGATTCTGAGTCAGGCTAGGAGAACTAAACTTAATGATAGTGAGTGAATATGCTCTAACATATTAACCTACACTAACTTTGGTGTCAAGATAAATTTGGATACAGATCTGGATGAATCTAGGATTACTGGAATAAGTGAATGGTTGTATCTCACCCAGAGTTAGAATTTGTCATCTTTCTGAGTTTTGACTTGTTAGTGTAGCTGAGTTTGAACTTTTCCTCAAACAAAACAAGCTATTTTCATTGGTCAGTTTTGATGGACTTCAACTATTGGTTAAAAAAAAAAAAAAAAAAGGAAATAGTTTTTCCCTTTTAAAGGAGATTTTTCAAGCCTAATTTTAACCTTTTATCTTGTCAGTCTTGGACACCTATAGGGTATCTTTCAATGATTTCCACCTCAAAAATCTCATTTATCTTATACTGGACTCTGTCAAAGCTCTCATCTCAACACTTCTCTCATTATACATCAGCTTAAGGTGATAAGATTGTAAGGATAAAGAATGATTCAGAGTTTGGCTTTGTGTTCTTTCACCAAAGGAATGCATGTTATCTGCTATCATCTACATACAGCTGAGTAGTCAAGATAAGCAGTTTTATGAGGGAGGTGGGGAGGTGAGTGTTCACTGCATCCTGCTGATTTCAGTGCTCAAAGGTTGAAGGTGGTGAGAATGATTGTTTGTTTGAAAAGATTTATACCATCCTGTGTCCTGCTTGGACTATTCTGTGGGGTGTGAAGTTCCCACAGGGTTGTGTGTGTCCACCCAACCTCTGCACTTTTGGGGCCAAGTAGCCCTTATACTACTTTACATTTTCTTACCTTTATTTAAAGAAAAAGTCACACTAATTTGAGTTAAATTCATACAAGTACTGTGACTTTGCAGTAGGGCTGCACGATATGTCGCAATAGTCACATTGCGGAGCCTGGGATGTAGGAGGCGAATGAACTCATCTAATTTCAAGTGTAGCTGACTGAGATACAATGCATGTGACTCTGCATGTGCTATGCAGCGATCCACTCATCACATTCGTTCTTTATTCAGTTGCCAATCAGACTACCCTGCTAGAAAACCACACCCCTGCACATGGAGTGAATCGCTGACGCTGCTGGTGTTGTGCTGAGAAACGCCCGCCCGCCCGCCAAGAATTACTTTCGGAACATTCCACATCACTGTTTAGCCCTAATAAGAACTGGTTAAGAATGGGTTTTCAAATCGTATATTTTCCGTGGACCACTCTACTATAAGCGGTGCGCGTTTTGCGAGGTGCATACTATTCTCGGCGGGCATGCGTTCCTCGGCACAAAACCGGTAACAACAACGATTGTGAAATGAGCAACGAACAAGAGAAAACCACTGAAACTTAAGACCTTTTGCCAAAAACAAAAGCAACTTCAGTTATCTGGAATTATTTCGGTTACAGGAAGGATGATGTCGACCAAAAACATGGTCTGTGTTCATCTTTTGCCACAATAACGTCCCAGCACAATAAAAGCGAGCTAAAAATATCTCTTAGACAGACAGAAGCCATTCTACTAACATTCACAAAAGAGGTAAGATCAGCGCAGGCTAACTGTCATCAAGATTTCAGCATAAAGTGCTATTCAGGTCATCTGGTGAAAATTCCTGGATTTTTTAATATCCCAATTTATATCGCAGGGTTGAAAAAAATTGCAATGTTAGTTTTTTCCAATATCCTGCAGCCTTACTTTGTAGATAGGCACGCATCATCACGTTGAAGCAGTTTCTTAACTCGATTCAGGAAAATCAAATACTTGTTCTTCCTCGTTTGTCACAGGTTTGATTGGTGCACTCGTCCCAGTACTGGAGCCAAGCTGCCAGAAGAGTGTTACAACCGGTTTTCTGGGGTACTTTTCACCAGCAGCAACTTCAAGGTCAACACAAGTAAACTGTCTTTTGTGAACATGGAGCAGATCCTGAAGAGCAAAGATGTTATCTTCACCCGTGTCGTCAATGGACAGGTGACTACATACAAACAGCTTTCTGTTTCAATTTGTGTTGAGTTACAGACTGATACTTTTGATCTATGATAGAAGATGAATTGAAGCTTAATAGGTCACTGGTGTTGATATTGGCATGAAATCAAATAAGTAAGCATATGCATCAATCAAGCCTCGGCCTGTCTATGTTCAGCACAAATAGGCTTCAAGTTTAATCATAGACTGTTTTTACAAATAGAATAAATAAAATGTTTATGTCCACAGAGTCAAAGAGGCATCATTCAGAGGGAGTTCACAAACTGGCTTCAAAACTGTTACACCAAGCATGACAAGCAAATCAAGTTTATGGGCTACAAGGAGACCATAGAAAGGCCAGAGATGACCCCCAAAGCATTGCAGCATCCTTGGGAAATATTTTCCTCCATTGAATATGATGGAAAGATTTACAGCAAAGGACAGCTGGTGAGTGTGTGTGTGGAGTTTCATTTCTGAGCCCCAAATGTACGTTTGTGTTTATGCTTTTGTACTTTGTTGTGCAGGTGAAATCTTACAAGACAAATCCCATTCTGCATGGTACCATACTTCGGTTTTTGCGGCACGGAGAAACACAAAAAAAAAAAGGCAGTGTCTACGCTACAGGAGGGGAAGTTGAACTGGCTCTGGTAAGGAGAGATTGAGAGACAATCTATAAGAAGGAACTAAAACTGGATTTATCATATTTTACTAAAAAACTTTTTCCTTAGGAACCAAGAGCTCTTTATGACACGATCAGAGTCATCCAAATTAGCAAGATAGACAAGACGGCCACTGATGAAGCCCTCCAGAGACAAATCGACAGTGACTCCAAGAAGTGAGTTAGAAGAAGAGCTTTCATTCTGCCAGGGTCAATCCAGACTCTACAATCACTTAAAATACCTTATCTCTGTATATTGTCTGTCCACTGTTATCAAATCCTTGGCAGCTATTATCAGCTTTGGTAAACTCGCGTCTGTTTCCAGGCTTCCAGCGAAACTCGATGTGTCTTGGCCTGAAGGTAATCCCTGGCCACACAATTCTGAACAGGCAGCCGGGACCCTGCTAGGTAAAATGCTGCATCATTTGTCCAGCAATGGCAATCTTTTAGGGGGAGCCAGAACCGAACCTGTTTTATTTTTGCTTTTTTATCACTCAAGGACCACTAGGAGTTCAAATATTAAACATGGAAGGAAAACCAATGAACAAGATGCCACCAGCAGACCGGAAGGGACAAGGGAAACAACTGGATATTGAACTCAAAATAGTTAAGGCTGGTAAGATTTATGAAATACACTCCTGAGGAGTCTCTCACAAGTTAAATCAAGAATTTTTTACAGGGACCATTTTTCTGACCGTGATTGCTAAGTGACGCCCTGCAAGAAGCAACGATGCATGGTGGCAAACGAGTGTGACATGCCCAGGGTTTTTCCTGCAGCCTCTCAGGGGCGTGTCCAGTCAGGCAGCAAGGAACGGCACTGGCTACCCTGAAATGTGATTGGCTGCCCCAGACGCCATCATAAAATCAACTGTTTCGGTTGTGTCCTTGCAGGCTGCCAGCTGCTCTCCTTGTTTTCTCTGTGTTGGTGTCTCGTAACGTGACCTCAGACAAAGATCTTGTTTAGAGCCTTTAAAGGTGCAGTTCACAGAATTTAGTGCCTCGAAGCAGAACAGACTTGGTCTGTTAAGGAAAAGGGATAATTGTATGATAACATGATTTAAAAAAATCTTTTGTTTCGATTTAAAATGAGAAGTGGTTTTCTGCTAATAACAGTAATCAGTGTTTTATTTGGTGAGTGGTTGGGCAAAACGTAACAGTTAGAAGATGAGGAAGATGAAGAAGTGAGTGGTTCTTGTTGTGCAAAAGAATTTAGATGGATAGTCATATTTTGGTGATATAAACTTATCCGCGAAGGCCACCATCACTTCACTGACAGGAGGGATGAGCCAGGATGAGTTTCAACCTAGAATCTGAACCAAAACCACTAAAACAACTCTTCAGCTATATTACTTTGGCAAGTGCATAACTTTGTCATTCAGCTTCTTTTAATGCAGCTGTTAAAATTGTTGAAAGTTTTTCTGCCCTTTACTCTCAGATCCTAGAGGAGACCGGAAAGTCCACCATGTCATTGCCCCACATACAAAGACGGGTTTCTACTTCAAAAAAATCGGTATCATTATTTTTATTTATTTATTTTCCATAAATACTTTTTGGATGCATGGATTTTAACATTGGTGAAGCAATTTTGTAAACATCTTCCCTTTGGCAGGAAATCTGAAGGAGCTGGGGAAGTACACTCTGTATCTGCACGCCGTGACGCATGACAAACATCTCCCTGATTTTGGGGGCAAGGAACTTCCAAAGCATGAATTAAGCTTCACTATCAAAGGTCAGGAAACTGTCTAAAAAGTCCTGTCACATTAATCACCTTTTGACTGTGACATCTTGATCATAAACTTGTGCATTTGTTTTCTCAGAGGGACCGGCTCAGAAATTTGTTATCAGTGAGTTGAACTCTGCCATTAAAGTAGGAGAGCCGTTTTCCGTTGTCCTGAAGTTTAAAGATGGTTTGGACCATCCAGCTGTTCCTCCTCCTCATCTGGAACCTGTTCTCGAATGCAGGCAAGCCACTATCTGAATTTAGTCTTGAACCATCTTGTGAAAGAAATCCCCTTAAATCTCACCATGTTTTTGATTTGCACCTTTAACATTGTTTTTATTCAGTGGGCTGGTGCTGACTTTTGAGGAAGTGTTCTCGAGTGGGAAGATTTTCATCATCAGAGGCGTCCGAGCGAGAGGAAAAGTTGGGAGTTTCCAACAATCAAAGGTTTGTATCCTACCAAAACATGAACTTGTCTTTTTAGCAGAACAGTTGAACAATAAAAATAGTCACATTAAGTGTTTATATGGAAAGTTTTTGTGGCTGAAGTTTCATTTCAAGTGTAAAATCTCTGCATAGTTTTAGAAAAGAAGACATGCCTGTTTCCTGTTTGATACAAAAGTACAGTGGCCCTGAATGTCAATAGGACAAATAATCCAGGAAGGAAACAAATTAAATTTTAAATATGTAAATGTTTCACATAAATGTGAAAGATATTTTAGAAAACACAAACAAACTTTAATAACCTCAGACTTTTTAAAAATACTTGGAAGCAAAACAAATTTTGAAAGGTAAAAAATGAAAAAAGAAAATGTTTCAGGAAAGACAATATGTTTTAGTCACTTTATTATTTTTTTCATTTTCTAAAATTTTTTAATTCAAAATCTATATTGTCAAAAATTTTGATGTTTTTGTCATTTATTTGTGTGTTCTAAAATACATTTTCTGTAACAAATGTAAAATATTATTTTGTTCTGTTATGTGTTTCTTTGTTTATTTTGTTTTTTGTTGTTTCATGATTTTGGTTTTTGTTGCCTTATTGAAATATTTGTGCCATTGACCTTTGGGGCCACCATCTAAAAGAGACACAAGCTTTGATCTTTAATTTTTAATTTCATTCAATTTTTTTGTTCATAGATGCCGTACCTGAAAGTGACCTTGCCCGGCTTTCCAGCAGAGACACAAAAGATCAGTCCTGTTCCTGGTGAGACTTTTAAATTTAGAAACCATGATCAGGTTTATATCATGGTTCATACTTGACCTGGTGTAACCGGTACTGGTGAAATGTTTTTAAAAAGTTGAGATCCAAGATAAAAGCATGAGCCCCAACGAACTGTTAACAGTCAAAGAGACGACATACTGATTAAGGAATAAAGTTGATGGTTGTATCTCACCCTGAGTTACAATTTGTCATCTTTCTGAGTTTTGACTTGTTAGTGTAGCTGAGTTTGAACTTTTCCTCAAACAAAACAAGCTGTTTTCATCAGTCAGTTTTGATGGACTTCAACAGAGTTGCAAATAGAAGTCAGTTAAACGCTAAACATATAGGAGCAGCTTCAGTCCGCTCTGATAGCTCTCATCAGCCTGCTGATCGCCCAGTCTTACATATACCCTAATTTTAGAATAAGAGCCACAGCATCAACTTGGTGTAACTGAATAGTTTCTCAGCTGCATGATGTTTTCCAGGAAATCCACATTCCCTGCATGTAGGACCAGAAGATGACCCAATCACAGTAGAGAATGGAAACCCTGTAAGGTTTGATGTGGAAGTTCGCGATGAGTCAGGAAACATCACTGCTAACCCGAAACAGATGGTTCACTGTGAGGTAAGAGTGTCACTGGTTTATGGCTGCAGGGCTCATCTGTTGAACCTGTTTGCCCTGACAAAGAGTGAGAAACTTGTGCTCTAATTAAAACACTCTCATCGATGGAAGGCGCGCCGTAATGATAGCACCTGTTATCACAGCAGATTTTTTATTGACTCAAAGAGTTTTCAATAAAAGAAAGTCGGTCCTGAGGCGCAGCAGTTCATCCTGCTTAGCTGCCTTAAGGCAAACAGAAACCCTCTCAGTTACAACCATCAGTCGTCATCTCACACATTTATTTGTGCTATAAATTTGTTCATTTTAAACAATAAACCACAGTCACAGCCCTTGTGTTTTTTGTCGTTATACTGCAGATATCTCAAAATGTTAGTTACCCAGTTGTTGGTGTGGATTCCAGAAATGTAGTTCTTGATTAGAGTGTTATAACAGTGCAGGTACCAATAAAAAAGAGGGGATTAATGTTGCTGTCCCATTGTAATCGCTGATTATTGATAATTATAAGAATAAGAATATCTTTATTAATCCCAGAAGGGAAATTCAATTGTCTGTTGTCTCACATAATATGTCTTTAAAAGTTATCTACTATTTTCACAAGAGTTATAAAGTCGAATGGCTGTTGGTACAAAAGATCCTCTGAATCTTTCTGTCCTGCAGCAGAGAGGAGCCGTCCACCACTATTGGCCCTTTGGTCCATCAAGGTTTTGTAAAGTGGGTGATCCATGTTCTTGAGAATAGTCTCCACCTTCCTCAGTGTAGATCTCTCCACCACATCCTCCACTGAGTCCAGCTTGATTCCAACCACAGAGCCAGCCTTTTTCACAAGTTTGTTAAGACGTCTTGCATCTTTGTGTTTGTTGCTTCCTCCCCATCAGACTGCAGCGTAGAACAGCACACTTGCCACCAGAGACTGATAAAACATCTGCAGTCTGTTGTCTGATGTCTATTGATCGGAGTCTTCTCAGGCAAAAGAGGCGATTCTGCAGATGAAGTCTATATTCTTAAACCAATCCAACTTATTATCCAGATGTACACCTAGGTATTAATAGGATATCACCACTTCAATGTACACTCTACAGGTATTCACTGGCTGAAGAGGGGGTTTGGATCTACGGAAGTCTATGACCATCTAATTTGTCTTTGAGGTGTTGATCTCTGTATTCAGCTTCTTGTCTATTTCTGATACATGCCACAATAGCGGTGTCATCTGAGTATTTCTGGATGTGGCAGGACTCAGTTCTGTATTTGAAGTCTGACGTGTACAGGTTGAGAAATTTGAACAAGATGGAGGAGGAACAGGAGAAGTTGTAGTGGAGATTTGTTGCTGAGAGGAAGGTGGAGTAGCAGTGGGAGTGGGTGTGTCAGCAGTGTCAAATCTGTTGAAGATCAGGTTGAGTTCATCAGCACTTTCCAGATCACCCACCACTGGCTTGCCTTCACCTTTGCATCAGCACGGCAACCATGGTAACACCTCCTGATGTCCTCTGGAATTGTATGTTGTTGTCCAGAATTGCTTTTCCTCAATGCAAGGAGCTCTTCTTTTGAGTAAACTTCGTCCAGCAGAAGTATCCATCAGCAGCCAACAAAATTACAACAAAAATATGAAAAAAATCTAGCAAAAAATTACAGATAATTCAGAGAGACCAGACTTGCAGCAACCTCTCGGTTCAAGCGCATCATTTAAAAAAAAAAAAGAAATTATAAAAGAACTAAAAATGATGATGGTTTAAATGGTCTTTAAAAACTGCCAAACCTTGCACACATATCAAAATCAAAATTAACATAAAGGACACAAGCGTCTTCTGGTTTTCTCTGAATTTGTTCGGTGTCTTACAGACTCATATTAGATTAAAAACGATCAAAGATGGAGTGACAGTGGTCGGGGTTTAAAACTGAAGCCTTGTACTTTCTTTTAGTGGCTTTATTAATAACATACTGATCCAAAGTGTTTCATTATATCTTTCATTTGTGTGTGTGTGTGTGTGTGTATGTGTATCTCAGGTTACAGGGCTTCCACTGGAGACCATTGACTGCAGCAGCACAGGATTAGGGCAGATTTTGACCAAGCCCATAAACCTAAAAATAACCAACGGTGAACCGCAGATGCTCAAAGCTCAGTTTGAGATGCCTGTAAGTTGTAGGAAAATGAAACAAAGAAGAATCTTATGCTTTAATTAGTTCCCCAGAAACTGAAATAGTGGTATCCTCATCCTGTCCTTTTTTCTCTTTCAAGAATCAGAAGAACTGTGTGGCTGTGGTGAGGAAAGTGAAGGTGGTTCCCAGCAGCAGAGTGTCGAGGATGGAGCTCACTCAGAATGATATGAATCTGGTGCTGAAGAACGATGAAAAAATAGATTGGCTGGCTGGAAGCGTGTTGGAGAACCTGTTCTACAAGCTGTATGATGAGGCTGGTAGAGAGGTGCCTCTCTCTCAGGAAACAGCCACAAAAATCAAGGTGTGCCCGGCAATTATAATGTTCCTGTTGATTTTATTTTTCCCTATCCCATCATACAAATGTTTGTGTTTGTGTTTGTGCTGAGCTGTCGTGTCATCTAGAAAGATTCTTGTGCTCTGGGTGTGTTAATGTTGTTCTTTCAATAAACCTGATTTACATTAGACGTTATTCTCAGTGTCCTCTCCCACTGTAGCTGAGAGTTCACCTGTCGCTCTGCTTGTGTTGAAGGTTTCCTGGATTAAAATGGTGAACCAGGAAGATCTGACCCAGGGAAAACTGCCCAATTTACCAGTGCCCACACAGGCGTACAGAGACCACTTCTACCAAGTGTCCTACCAAGACCAGAGTGTGTCTGTGTCCTTCCACATCACGTAAGACACATCCCTGACTCCAAACTGTAGTTCAGTATTCAAAGCGGTTCTCCAGAGATGAGTTTTGCAGACTGGTTTCAAACCAAGGCTCTCTAAAGGCTCTCTCTAGATGAAGCAGGTATAGGAGGAGATAGAGGTGAGGTTGTCCTCGTCTTTTGGCATCTCCAGATTAGCATCACACTGAAAGCAGAAACATGTAAGGACAAAAGGAGGAACCAATAAAATACTCAGTGTGACTGTATTAGTAAATACTGTCTTATGGGAATGAAGCTACAATGCCTCTCTGTATGTTGCCTCATTAATTGAGCCTTAAAATAGCAGAGAATTGGTTTGAAGCTAAGATAAGCTAAGCGTCCCCTGGCTTAGGTTTATGTGTGATCCTAAAGTAACAGATTGGTATTGATTTCAGAACTAACCCTCACCATGAGAGTCAAAAATATCAGATTTTCCTTTTAAAGGGATATACCAGACCTTGGGCCAGTCCATTACGGACTACAGCGGGTTGACACAGCTCAAGGAAGAACATTTATGATCATTACTTTATCATTTCTTTGAAGTAATAATCATCAAAATACTGTCATATACAGCATGACAATGCAGTGCATATAATAGCAGCTCTAAAAACAGGATGTACAATGTACCAACATGTTTCAAAATCCACTCATTTTTCTGAGACCGACAACTTTCCAGCGCTAAAAATCAGGTGTCTGCAACATCCAAAGACTTCAATTTTCCACAGATAAAATCAGAGACTGTCCAGATCCAACCCTTCAAAAACAAAAATAATCATAATTTACGTATTAAAAGGATATTCTGGCATAAAATTAGGTCCCGGTCAAACATACTGTAACACCGAGTTAGACACCCTGTTGAGAGATGAATGTTGCCGACTGCTTGCTTCAACCGCAGATAGCAATACAGAGAGCCACACGCTCAACCAAAAAGCCACTCTACAGCCACAGATAATGCTCAGAACAGCACCTAACTTCATCAACAGTACATATAGGGTCCTAGCTTCATGGTAATGCAATCAGACCGACATGCTTAGGCAGAAGAACTACCACGTCTGCAGTGCAAAATGATTAATTTGGTGATTATTACTTTAAAGAAATGATCATAAATGTTCTTCCTTGAGCTGCGTCACCCCGTTGTAGTCCGTAATGGACTGGCCCGAGGTCTCACAACAAATAAGCGGCTGCTGGAAGAGAGTAGGTGAGTTGTGTTTAGTCTCTTTGCTAAAGAAATTAGGCAAAGTTAAAAGATGTTTGGTGGCTAGTGCTGTGGCTAGGACCCTATATGTACTGTTGATGAAGTTGGGTGCTGTTCTGAGTATCATTTGTGGCTATAGAGTGGCGTTTTGGTTGAGGTTCGTAGGTGGCTCCTCAGACCGCTATGTATTGCTATTGTGTGGTCTTTACTAAAGTTGGTATAACTAGAGAAGCAAGTGGTCGGCAACATTCATCTCTCAAGGGGGTGTCTAACTCAGTGTTGCGGTGTGTTTGACCCTAAATTAGTTTTACACTGAAATATCCCTTCAATGTGCAGTCTTGTGTCTTTTAACCCAAATCCCTCTTTGTTTTGTCCTAAGGCCTCGTCCAGATGAACCAAGAAAACTGAAAGCGACTCTTGGCCAAAACTCGGTGAAACTGGGTGAAATCCTGCATGAAAACATCTGTAAGCAACAACCTGAAATTTTTTTTTTTAATCACAGGACACAGCGCACACTGGCTGAAACATGTGTTATTTTTCCTTATATAGTGTTGGAGCTGGTGGATCAGTACAATAATGCCACAGCGACACTTAACCCATCCTGTGTGAGTGACATCAAAGTGGGAGCAGAGGGCCTGGTCCAATCATCCATCAAGTTTACGTGGCAGGTGGGAAAGGAGGCGCACAAAGTTAAACGACAACTTATCATATCTCACAGGAAAGGTTATCTGGTCCCAAGACACAGGTTGAGATAAATCTTTACAAACTAACATTCTCAGTTTGATGCACAGATTCTCAGTACATACAGGGTTAAATGTGAGACCATACTTTTCATTTCAGTAGCTTCACTGAGAATTACAGATTGATGAGGAGATGAGAATCTAGCCTGAACATTAAAGTTCACATATTGGCAGAGTCAGAGCTCAACTTACTTTTTTCCTCCAAATATTGCCCACTTCCTTTGCATGGCATCATGGGCAATGGAGTCCTGTTTTAGCTGCTGTTTTGGATGCCAATCACACCCCTGAGTTGTCACATTTGTTATTCATACCTCAAGTTTGATTCACTCCTTCTCTGTTGTGCAGATTTTTTTCTAGTTTTTTTTCTGTGTTTGGACTTTAGGAGAACAGCAGTTCTGTTCTGGTTTCCGGGGTCCAGTTTCAGACCGTGACGCTTGGCTCCAGAGAGCTTTGCTTCACCTACAAGGACTTTGAGGAGCGAGTCATTGTGAAAGTGACGGCTGGAGCTCCTGCAGAGCTGAAACTTATCAGTGGGCCTGAAATGGTGAGAAAAGATTTATACTGGGGGTCCAAGGAAGCTTGAAGATCTAGAGATTTCAGATATGATCACACAGTCCGGCTACGCTCCCCGTTATTTCTTGGCTCCTCCTTACATTTTCAAAATAAACACATGAACACTTTAAATAATAGTTTTTTGGGCAAAGACAACTTTTTGTTTGAGCTGATTTCAGATTTTATTTTCAACAAAATAACATCAACCTGCATGTCTGTGTTTTCCATCCACAAGCCTTTACAGGTTTTCAGTGATCACGCCATCACCACACCATTCATCGTCCAACTGTACGACAAATGGGGGAACCCGTCTCCAGACCAGAGGGTTGTGGTAGAACTGAAGTCCTCACCTTCGACACTCCAGGTCTGACTTCTATCGTACTCCATTTTCACCTTAGAAACAAAGGGATAAACTTAATTTAATGATCTAAGTTTGTGAATGTGTTGTGGGTCATCATGATGTTGTAGGTATCGACACCTGCTATCTCACAGCCCGTGGACTCCGAGGGGAAAGCCTCTTTCAAAGTTACTAGCGTACATGGACTGAAGTGAGTGTCACCACATAATATGGTATAATGAAATGCTTTGGGTCCATAATAAGAGATGTACCCTGTTCTTCCACTAGGGGGTGCTATCAGCTGGAGTTTAAAGGTTCCTTATCCGAGAAACCCATCCCTGGTCCATCTGTGCCCCTTACCATCATCCCTGATCCCAAAAAACCTGTCAAACTCCAGGAGCACTTCGACAGATCTGCCAAGTTTCCTGCAGGAGGAAAATTCCCAGGTTTGCATCTTCGCTGTCTTCTTTCTCATCTCCTTGTGGATCATTTCAACATCCGCTTTAACGTCTGTGTTTTTGTTGGTTCAGTCTTCACTGTGTCCGTGGTGTCAGAGGAAGGAAGTCTGATCACAACTTTCAGCCCCGCTGCTGTGTCCATGTGGCTGTGGAAGGGGACTCCATCAGTACAATTGCATCCCCAAATGGTAACTGAGAGACTGAAATACACACAGACTGTCACGATTAACTTCTCAATATTACATTTATTTTTTTCATCATTATTTTGTACGTTTAGTCATGTTTTCCCATTTTTCTTGTTCAGGCTTTGGAGCTGAAGTGTAGCAAACCCATGGAGAATGAAAAGACCGGCTGTTTTTACTTCAGGTGAAAAACTTTTTTCTCCTGCTGCTATAGCTTGGTTTTTACTGTAAAGACGGGAGGGTGGTTTGAATCCTTTAAACTCCCTTTTTGGGTTTTGAAAAATCAAACAAGTTTCTTTTTCAAGTCTTCCTGATGCCTTAAGAAATACTGACTCTTAAATATTTCTTTCACCGCAGAGATAAAGACATACCTAAAGACGTCGGAAAATACAACATTCAGTTTTCTCTTCGTCTAGATCAAAACAATGTCTTGCACAGTGTTCAGGTTTGTTAGATTTAAACCCTGCAAACATCAAAGGGCTTCATTACAAAGTATAAAAGGTTTCATTACTGTTTTGAAGTGGTTGTTTTGTGTAGATCAAAATCACAGTTCTTTTTCTTCCAGATACCTATCAATGTGGAGAGCAACCAGCCCTACAAACTGAGCCCTGTCTCTCAGCCTCCCAACCCTGGTGTTTGCTACTGCGAAGAAGTTTCTGGAAGAACCTTGGTGCAGAATATGACTCTCATGATAACGGTGAGATTATATTGAAAGACGATGTCAGTTTTCATTTGTCGTTGATAAAACAAGCAGGTTTTCAGGGTTAGCAGATACTCAGCATGATTGAGCTGCTCTAACTGATTTCTAGGATAAATATGAAAACCCAGCGGGGCAGGACCTGTATGGAAAGGTGCTCGTTTTTATACAGAACTCCACTGAAGGGAGCGGAAACCTCCCGCTGTTTGAAGACAGAACCAGCAGCTGTCAGATAGACTTGGTGAGAGGAAGAGCCCACATTGATGTAAGTAAACCTTTGTTTAAGGACACTGCACAAGTGCAGCCTCAAAACCTACCTGCTGTTATTGTCTGTTATCATTTGACACTGAGAGAATCGCAGTGTATTTATTTGCTGGTGTGTGCTCAACTCCTCTACATGGACTGTTTTCCACCTCTAAAGCCTGAAAACTTAAAGTATATTACTCTCAAGAACAAGAACATTTCCCACAACCTAAATTCAGAAAGATTAGCGCCTGCAAGTATAATATACGACAGAGTATATGGGCAACATAAAGAAAATAAAAATTAAGACTGCGGGATTACTTACGAGAATTAAGTCAAAATAAAGTAATTACTTGTGAGAATAAAGTCGCAATAAAATCATCACTCACAAGAATTATGTCGAAATAAAATCATTACTCAGAAGAATAAAGTTGTAATAAAATCCTTACTTACTGGAATCAAATCATAATAAAATCATTACTCACGAGAATAAAGTCAAAATAAAATAATTACTTACAAGAATGAAGTCACAATAAAGTCATGACTCACAACTTAGAATAAAGTGGTAGGAAATCATTACTTACGAGAATAAAGTCATAGCAAAACAATTACTAACGAAATGAAGTCATAATAAAAGAATGACGAGAATAAAGTTGTAATAAGATCATTACTCATGAGAATATATTCTTAATAAAATTATTACTCACAAGAATAAAGTCGTATAAAATCATTACTTACTGGAATAAAGTAGTAATAAAATCATTACTTACAAGAGTTAAGTTGTGACAAATTCCTTACTCACGAGAATAAAGTCGTAATAAAATCATTAATTACGAAAATTAATTGGTTATAAAATCAATACTTAACAGAAAAAAGTTGTAATAAAATCATTACTCACAATAATAAAGGCGTAACAAAGTAATTACTTACAAGAATAATGTGGAAATAAAATCATTACTCACAAGAATAAGGTCCTAATAAAATCATTACTTACGAAGATAAAGTTGTAATAGAACGATTACTTACCAGAATAAAGCCGTAATAAAATCATCACTCACAAGAATTAAGTCCTAATAAAATCATTACAAGAATAAAGTTGTAATAAAATCATTACTCAAAAGAAAAAAGTTGTAATAAACTCATTACTTACAAGACAAAAATTTGTGATAAAATCATTACTTATGAGAAAAAAGTCGCAATAAAATCATTACTTTCAAGAATTATGTCGAAACAAAATCATAACTTACGAGAATCAAATTGTAATAAAATCATTACTCATGAGAATAAAGTTGAAATTAAATAATTACTTACGAGAACAAAGTTATATTAAAATCATTACTCACAAGAATAAAGTGGTAGGAAATCATAACTTAGGAGAATAAAGTTGTAGTAAAACAATTATTTACGAAATGAAGTCGTAATAAAATAATTACTCACGAGGAATTAAGTTGTAATAAGATCATTACTCATGAGAATATATTCTTCATAAAATTATTACTCACAAGAAAAAAGACTTAATAAAATCATTACTTACGAGAATAAAGTCATATTAAAATAATTCCTTAAAGAATTAAGTCGTAACAAATTCCTTACTTAAGAGAAAAAAGTGGTAGGAAAATCAATACTTACGAAAATAAAGTCGTAGGAAAACAATTACTTACGAAATGAAGTCTTAATAAATTCAGGAGGAAGAAAATGGCTGAACTTGTCAACTGCAGAGTTATCAGTGGGCCATTCAGAGGGATTTCAGAGGGAGGCATGGGTTTATGTGAAAAATTTGATATCACGATATTGGTGGCCCAAAATATCAGGATTCATGATATTATACCGATATTAGCGCATTGCTTTTAATGTTATTAAAAATGGCAAAAAACTGCGAAATCACTCCTCTGTGCACAGCGTGACACACACAAACAATACTAGCAAGAGGCAGCTAACGCGACGTTGGGAGCATTAGCTTTTTGGCGCTAAAGTTAGCAGGAACCTCACTAGCGTTGTCAATAATAAGCAGTAGAGTAGACCAAACTTGTTGCGGCCATGTTGTTTTTACCTTGATTTGGGCGAACGATGCTGGATGGTGTTCACGGAGGTGGGCACGTAGGTTCGAAGTGTTGAACAAGGGCGCTGCAACTTCCTTACGGCATAACCTGGTGTCAGGTTTACCTGCTCCGTCTGTTTTGTGAAGCCATACAACGTCCATACTGCCGACGAAACCTTTTTAATAGGAGGATACAGCCGAGGTGTTTCGTCCTTCTCAGTCACCGACTGTTCTTGGTCCGGTGTTATGCCGCAGAATGCACCCCTGCCGTTGAATGCACCCCTGATGGGAGCGCGGTTGGAAGTTCACAATAAACGGAAATAATCCGAGTTTTCCTTACCGTTGGGTGGATTCAAAAGCGCGTACCTTCGAAGCCGAAAACAATAGCCCTCTGATTCGGAATATTTGCTGTCCCGAAAATATAATGCTCTCTACCTTGACAGTTTACTGTACAGTTTATGTATCCAAGTACACCTCTTTATGTGCATCTTTGGGAAACAAAAAAACAGAAAGTACGTTTGCTGCTCCATTTGACATGTTGTCATGATCCAGTACTCCTGTTTTAATACTCCACTTTAACAAGCGAATGAGTTAATGGGATGCATTGTGGACACGCTCCACAGTGCTTTGAGTGGCCGCAATGCATTGTGGGTGGCTACGCATTTTGTTGTAAAATTTCTCTATTTTCTCTTTTAATGTTCCCGTAATGCTACCATTAATGTACTTATTTCGAAAGGTGAAAAAGGTTACTTTTGTGGTGGTTTGTTTGTACATTTTGCTACCGAGGCTTTTGACACCTTGGGTAAGACTACAAGTAGGTAAGTACTCGGCTTCGCTCACCTTCTTTGAGTGACGCTGCCTCTCGTCTTTAAATTGTGATAGTGGAAAGATATTTACAGTACCTTACGATTTCATAGTCGCGGCCGTTCAATATCGCATATCGCGATTGAATCGTATATTGGCACATCCCGAGTTCTGATACCTATGACATTGTGATGCTGAAACACCAAAGGATTTATCTCTTTGTTTGTGAAACCTAGCCACTGAAGTTCAGTTCATCTAAATGCTCCACAGTGCAACTAACAACAGGTTAGAATAGCTATTAGCTACAACTTTATTCTCGTAAGTAATTACGAGAATTAAGTAACCGCGGAGTCTTCAATTTTTTTTTCTTATTGTGACCCTACTACTCCATCGTAATAATCTCACTTCATGTCAATGTATCCTTTTTTTCTGCACAGAGGCTGATGATCATGGAGAACAGCCCGGGTGATGACAACCAGTCATACGTCCTCCTCTTCAAACCTGAAGTGCCGATGGTTCCTCTGGAGCCGTTTGAGCTCACCTTCCATTTCTACAACAGTTTGTATTCGACTTTTCATTTGAAGGATGAGGGGTTTAAAGTAAATAAATGCAGCTGTTGAGTGTCAGTAGAAACCTCAGTGAGATTTTTTTTTTCAGAATTTTCCACACAGGAGTTTTAAATTGTACTTAAAAAGTACATTTCTGTGTTTTCACATGTTGTTTATCTGTTGATATTTCAGATATGGAGAGCCGAAAGAAAACCACTGAGCTGTCCAGGAAAAAAGCAGAGCTCCTTACTGCTATTACCGTGTCTAAAGAAATCTTCAAAACGCACAATGAAATCCTTTCTTTGCAGCAAGGTAAGGTTTAATCTTAATAACAGGAGAGAGAGTGAGGAAGCGTTCTATTCCAGAATCTCACCATTAGATGGCACTAGATATCCTCATTCTGCACACAGCACCTGTATGTTTTTTTTTTTTTTTTTATTAATTAATTAATTTATTTATTTATTTTATTAAGGCATACTTATTCTTATCTCATTAATTTATTAATTTTTTATTTATTAGTGTTATTTCTTTTTTATTATTGCTTTTTTTTTAAAGAAAACTCAAAACGTACCTTTTTAGTCTTGCTTTTAACTAAATTTTATATCATTAACTTTGTTTAAGTGTTTTAGCATTTATCTCTTTCTAGTTTTAACAACAGGATCGTCTTTTATTGAACTGTTTTGGTGCTCTTATTTTAGTATTTTTAACTGTTGGTTTTATTTCATTTGGTTTATTATTTCTTAGTTTTTTATTTTATGTTGCTTTGTTTTTAGACTTTAAACCTCCAGTGTTTCCTTATCTTCAATTTCAAAACGATGTTTCCTCAGTGCGCACATTCCTATTTGTATGAAATCAAGCCCTTTTTAAGTTCATGCATTTTTAAGCATGTTTCTGTTGTGCTTAGATTGAGGAGTGGGAATGAGGGGTTGGATTAGGGTAGATTAGGGATTTCTTTGTTTCTTTTATTCCTCTGCTATATAAAGTACTTTGTGCTACATTGTTTCTGTATGAAAAGTGCTATACAAATAAAGACTGATTAATTGATTTCAACAAAATTCAATTCTATTTCAAGAAAATTACCTTTTTTCTTGTGAATTTCCTTGAGGGAACCTTCCCAAAAGGAAAAGTAAAGTTGTATCAAATGTAATGTAATCTAATCTAATTCAGTTTTATTTTTAGTTTGTAATATTTTTACACAAGATATTAATATGGACTTCTCAAGTGTATTTGGTTTATATCAAGTCAAGCAAGAGATAAGACGTAAAACACTCAGTTGATGTGAGTTTTTGCAGTGTACTATCATATATCAGCCATCAGCAGACTTAGTCTTTTATAACTAGCAGTTGCGAAGGTAATATTGGTCGACCACAAATTCAAGAATATCAAATAGTTTTTGGAGCTGCACTGAGATGAAAAGTTTCTTAGATTTGAAAGCTCAGCAGCTGTTGTGTCGCTTCACTTTTCATGAAGTTCAACCATTATAATAAAAACAAACTGTCTTTTTCTAGCAAAACTCAAGGACTCTACTGAAAAGGAGACCATCCTGAGACAACGCCTGGCTAAAGAAAACCTGATATCAGCAGCAGATGCTAATGTAAGCTGTGTAGTCGAGCGAACCTCAAAGAAATCATGGTGTCATCTCTTGATTTTCATTTCACTTTTGTATATCGTTTGTGCTTTTTAGATACCAGCTATTGACAGACTTATAACAGAGAGGAAAACCAAAGCTGAGCAGATCCAGAAAGCCCCCAGAAGAGTCTGCACTCTTCGTAATCCTTTTGGGGGGCAGCAGGATGTTTTGGGGATGGTAAGAGAAATAAGAGGTTTTGCTTGGTTTTCTTTTTTTCAAAATTTGCCTGATAAAAAATTGCCTGAAATACTCTGGTTTGAGTGTGCACTGGGTTTGTAAGAAACAAAAGGGTTTAAAAATTAGCTTTACCAGAGTTTTGCAAGTTTGACCATTTACCTTACTCGTATGCAGATCATTCACCTGGCCGTGGTGAAAGACGATGCTGCAGCGAAGGTTATTTCTTGGCACATTCGCGGGGATATGGATTGTATTGTGACAGGAAGCAAGGAAACAGCAATGAAGATCTTTGACAGCACTAGAGGAAATCAGCAGCTCATGCCCCTGACTGGTGTGATTGTGCAGCAAGGCAACAGGTAGGTGACCTGTGTGGATTTTGTGTGAAGTACAGGACCTTCAGAAGCGGTGAAATCAGCTCCTGGCAGTGTTGTCTTTAGGAGTTTTGTCTGTGCCTGATAGCTTTCCTGATGAGATTACTTCATGTACTTGATTATAGTCTTTTAAGCCTTCTCCCACCCGAACAACTGTAATTTAAAGAGCTCACAGCACTTCCGTCTTTCACAGACTGTTTGACAAATGAGTGAAGTCCTGCGATCATATGTGGAAATAGGTCATTTTATAGTTCAAAGGATTTTTTTATTTTTTTTTAGGCGTGTCTGCTTTAAAACTTTGCCTTTAAAGGCAGCTGAAGTATCTCAAAGCTTCATCCTCATCAGTTATAAAAAAAGGTTAAAAGTACAGCTGTCTCCTTTTTCTCTTTTAGTTTCAGGCTATTCAAGTACTCCCAACTGTTCGGCCTGTAATGGCCTTGCTTCCCAACTTTTGGCCTGTAGTGTACCTACCTACCTACCTACCTACACGCACATGACTGGTCACTGCATGTCCAGACGGTGCATTTTAATACTATTTTAGCATTATTTTAATGATGACTGGACTACTTTCAGACAGCTGCCTCATATAAGAAATGGCTCCCTGCTCTTCAACCCTCTTGGGAACCCTGTGTATGCCAGAGAACTCCTCGAATACACCCATCAGGATCATGCCAGTTGTGAAAAAGGTGAGATGCTTTGACTGAAATTCCCTCACTCAGGGTTGTGTTTTTACTGCAGATGAATATGGAACTTCTTTTGTTTTCAAGCAACCTCCCCGGTCTCCTTCTTTTTACCATATAAGGTTTTTCCCCCTCATTTCCCACAACTCCTGTTAAGTCATGAGTAAATGGTTCCACCTGGACTCGACCTCACAGAGGTGGAGGGGGTTCCTCAGCCAGGGGCCTGTCACTTGAACAGAAATTGGACCTCCTTCACCACCTTAAATTGCTCTTTAATGTAGGGATTTCCTGTAGTTTGGGTTTGTTTTTGTTTCATGGGTAAAAGCTGCAGCCATCTTAAAAGAGCACTACAGTCTGTTCTTTTTGATTGTTAAAGTGTTTTTTTCAGGAGTCTTAGCAGTGAGAAAGCTCGAGTATTAAATGTTTGGATTTGTCCTGACAGCACCGCCGGTTTCTTACTCATGCTTTGTCCTTCACAGTGTTTAAAAACATCCTTGGAGACACTATTCTGATCGATGATCTGGACTCTGGAAACTCATATCGAGAGCAGGTGAGTGATGCTGAGCTGTGCCACAAACCAACCGTCTGGGGGTTGTTTTTTTCCTCTAAATGTTTCATTGCTCACAGCTGGCAAAGAGGAACATACTGTGTCCCACCATCCTGACCAGGCAGGGAGAACGGATCAGTGGTAGAGGCAAGTTTGGAGGCGCACAGAACAGAGCACCCTCCACTGTATCACCTGTGTTTGGAGCCCCACTTCCAGAGCAATATGACACTCTGCAAAGCGAAATAGGTGACATCCCGAAATTCCCTTTAAAATGTATTTTTTTCTTCTTTTCTTTCATGTTAAACTTCATTTATTTATTTTTTGTTCCTGCAGACCTGCTCTCTCAGTATCGGTTACATATGCAGAAGAAAGAAGAAGCATCGAAAGAATATAACTGGCTCGAAACAAAAATGAAATCCCCTGAAAAAGTGAAACAGAAACGGGATCTGGATGAGAATATCAAACAGCTCGAGGAAATCAACAGACAGCTTGGTAAGTATGGCGACCTCGAAGTAAGGGGATGCTAAAATTTCTGTGTTGTGGTTTGTACTTTCTTCGTATTGTTGCTAAATGTTCACAATCTATTTCTTGTGTCTTCACCTGTAGGACGAATGAAGCGGGGCGCAGAGCAAGCTGGTGAGCCATCTGGGAACAGTGCAAAGAGAGCGAAGCAAAGCTCATAATTCGAGCAAAAGTTTCTCCCGTGAATTTATCGACAATATTTTTGTGTGACCAAGTTTTTGTCAGTCAATTTTTTTATCGTATTTGATTTGTTTTCCTTTACATCTAACTGATCTGTTCACTGATAATCATGTTGTAATACTTGCAATTCAATATATGAAATACATTTATTTTATACTCAATGTTTCTGTTGCCTGTCTCTTTATTTGTACTCAGTGAAAAACAGATCTTATGGGAAATTATGGGAAAAGAGGCTCCTGGTTGGCCTTAACGTGACAAGTGTGCATATTTCACGCTCCAGATAATTATGGTCCCTTTTCAAAACAAAGACAATCATTATCTCAATTTACGCCTCCGGAAATTTTGCAAGGCTGGCATTGTGTTTCTCGATTCCTAAAGGGATTTGGATGTGCGCTTTAGTGTGTGAAAAAAAACGCGTCCGTCAGTGTGGGAGGGGGTCCCAAAACGTCACACTCGGGACGCAGGAGGGAGCAAGTTTAGGTCCGCAGCATCGAGAAGGAACGACCCTCGGTGCCTTTACTGAGGGACGGATCACAGAGTTTCATTACAGATCACAACCTGACAGAGACTTGAGGATATCATCTGTTCGAATTTCAATCATGAAGCGCTCACCCTGCGGACTGCAACTTGTTCACTTCTTAATAATCTTCCCTTTCATCAGTGGGTCTCCTTTCCAGTACTATAACATGTTTCGAGGTGAAGCATATTCAGGCTCAGACACGCGGCAGAAAAACAAGTGAGTAAAAGATGCCTAAATCTTGCATAAACAAGAAACTGAAATCAAAATCCTCCTTAATTGATCGTTACGACAGTATTTGCTGTGCGTAAATTCGATTAATGTCGGTGCGTAAAAGTGCGCACCAAAGCTGTCGTCGTTCATACGGTGTAAATATCTAGTGATTTTTTGCAGAAACTGGTGCGCTTACGTCGTGCACAAGAACGTAACCTGCGCCGTCGTGGGAGGCACGGAGAGTTTCGTGCAGCCGGAGCCTTTACCGTGTCCACCGGAGCTGCCAAACTGTGCGAGAGAAGTCATGTAAGTTCCCCAAAGTCCTCACACTCCAGCATGATATGTGAAGGATGTATTTTCACTGATATTTTTGACAGTGTAAATCAGTCATGGTTGTTTTAAAATAATCAATAACAGAATAGTTTAGCTGGTACATCTTTGGCTTGATTAATCCAAGGTTCAGGGGCGTGCCCGGACGTTTTTGACAGGGTGGCTCAGCTCAGGCATCGACTCATGTAGGGGCTACATGGGGTATGTGTGTAGGGGAGAGTGGGGTAAGTTGAATCAAAAGGTAAGTTGAGCCACCCTCTGTTGCTTGGAAATGGTAAAAGAAATTGATCATCTGACCAAATATTTAGAAGATGGGCATCAATTCATGGAGTCTGTGAAGGTTAGAAGCACATGGGTGAAGGGGTTAGACATTTATTTCTGAAAAAAAAACATTTTTCACTCTTGAAAGTGAATTTAGTCTGTCATAAGTTTTACTAGAATTGTGTTCAGACCAAAAAAGATCATTTTAAATTTGTTTCATACATCAATTGTGGTATCTATGCGCTACAACAGGAGATTTAAAAGTTACCACATTGTTGTTTTACTTTAAGTTCATTCGAAATTAACAGGAATATATTCTACAGTGGAATATAAACATGGAATATTGCCCTTCGGTGCTCGAATTTAGCCACCCCAGTCAAAAAAGTCTGGTTCTGCCTTTGTGTCCACCATAGTTTGGTCTCATAACTCAGTCACAAAATCACGTTGATAATGAGAGACTATGTCCTCATTTAAGACAGTCTATGGTTGCAACACCGTCCAGACATTTAACTTGAACATAAGTTTGGATTTTGGGTCAGCAATCATGCCACCTCATGCATTTGCTCTGGACACACCCCTGCCGGGATTGTGGGATTAAGCTGCTGCCTGCTTTATTAAATGTTTTGTGTTAAATTCCTTTCCCAACCCTCAATATTCTTGAACATATTCTTGTGGTTATGTTGTCATACTCCAGAAACATAAAATATGTACTGTACATTCCTACATGAGAATAAGACGAGTGCTCAGAAGAGTCTAAAACAAACCTTATGGAGTTGTTTTATTCAAGCATCTGTGTTGAATCTTCATCGATGGTAAACACAGACTGACTATGCTCTGGCTTTGTTTTGCTTCAGTGTTTATTGAGCAACAAACACACAAAAGATGTAGTTAATCATGGGGTGGTAGGGCCGTGTGGGCCAATAGTGTCTTCATGAGGGGAAGCGGAGAGCGGAAAATCTCCAGTTGTGTGCTGCCAACTGCATAATTAACTGGTCGTAACTGTGACCTGTGATCGTACAATCATGAGAGACTAACTGTCTAATTAATGGAGTTGTGCCAAGTCTGATTTTGACAGATAGAATTATTCTTAGTGTACTATCAGGTAATAAACCAATTTAAAGCAAAGGTTTTGATGTCCTGATGTGTTGAATCCTTCCAGATATCGTACACACTTCAGACCGATGTATAAGATTGGATATAAGACTGTGACAGAACTGGAGTGGAGGTGCTGCCCAGCGTACCAGGGGCATGACTGCACGGAGGTCAAAGACATGAAGCTACTCCAAGGGGAGGGTGTGCCTCATGCTGCATCTACCTCCAGACATATTCCAGTCCCACAAGGTGAGAGGCATTGAAAGAGAGCAAAGAGAAAAACATGAACAGCATGAGAAAAAGAGTTTCCAAAGTATGCAACTGCTGGAAAAAAGCCAGAATACAAGCAATCAGATTCTTGTTACCCAACCGTGTCTTTTGTTTTCCCCTATAGCTCCATCACAGCATAAAGACAGCCAGAGGAACCATCCATGGGGAGGGGAGAGGCAGTTGTCGGGTCAGACAGGTCACAGGCCACAAGGGGGTCATGGAGGATCTCAAAACGCACAACACCTGGAGGAGGAGGTGCAGCGCCTGTCCCAGATGGTCCTCAACATGCAGGCAAGAATGACGGACATGTCGTCTAACCTGAGACTGGATTTCCAAGAGGATGCCAGTAAAATCTTTGTTACACTCTTGAATAACTACAAGCAGCCGGCCAGTGCAAGAGGGGAAGAGGCCCAAACCGGCCAAGTGCAGGACTTCTCATTTGAGCGCGATCCAACAGCAATCGATGAGGTCATGAATAAGATCAGCCAGGTGTCACATGATCTGGAGTCCAAGAAAAACACTCTGGAGGATCTGCTGGGCCGTGTCAACCACCATGATGGACAAATTCATCTGTTAATGGAGGCTGCTCAGAACCAGCTGCCTGCACACACTCCTCCGCAGACTATTGATGCAGATCTGCGAGCCTACCTGGACGAGAAGATCAGCGCCCTGAGAGAGGAGTTAATGGAGGGAATGGATATCAAAATGGCGGACATGAAGAACTCGTGCGATTACAAAATCATGTCAGTTCAGGAGCAGTGCGAGGGACAGGAGACTAACTACCTCAGCCTGGCCGAGCTCATGGACTCAAAGGAAACAGACCTCCGCAATGAGATCAAGGACCTCAAGAGCAAGCTTGGTAATCCGGCTAACCGCGACCATGGCTCCATGCTAGCACAAGTGGAGAACCTAGAGATTCGCCTGAACTCATCTGAGAAGACAGCAGCTGCACGATGCCTTTCAGTGGAGGAGAAGCTCAAGAAAGAACAGATGGAGGCTTTCAAAGAGCTGAAAGAGACTCTGGAGGACAAGCTGGCCTCCATGAGAGACAGACTCATCACTAACTCCATAACTGGTGGACATCCGGGGAATCAAGACAGTCTACAAGGGGACATTAAATCTTTAAAGATTTCGGTTCATTCTCTTGAGTCTCGCTTCAGTGTCTTGGACCAGTTGTGTTCGAAGGAGTGCAAGGCTGATTTGACCGCTGTAGAAAGTGTTCGACAAGATTTGCAGAGCTGCAGAAGTGCCGTCGATGCTCTGGAGACGAGTCTAAAGGCCCAGACCAACGGCCTTGGAGCCATGGAGGGACAACTCCTCAACTGCAGCACCAACATTGAGAATGTGTACGGAGTGTTGAATGGTGTGAAAGGACACATGGGCAAGTTGGAGGACTCGCTATCAGATGTAGTCCACCGGCAGTCTCAGACCCTGCAAAGCCTCAACTCCACTTGGAGTCGCGTTAGATCTGGGGCCGAGCAGGAGGCCAAGGAGCTTTTGGATCTCCACAAGACTCAGAATCAGGAGCTGAGGAACCGGCTGGAGGAGCTGGCGAGGCAGGTGAAGGCTGACACTGATGACTGCCGTGGACAAACAGAGGACATCGGGAAGGAGGTCGCCCACATGGACAGCCGAATTGTCAACGTGGAGAGTTTATGTGGCAAGCTGGATCCTATCTCCGGTAGCCTTCAGAGGATCAAAGAAGGTCTGAATAAACACGTCACTGGGCTGTGGACTTGCGTGAACCAGCTGAATGCTACGGTTCGAGGTCATGCACGAGACATTGGAGGACTGAGAGGAACCAGTCAGAGCCTCCAGAACCACATCGCCAATGTTGCCAGAAATCTCCAGGAGCTGTTAAATGGAAACCCTGGGGGGGCAGGTAAGCTTCCTTGCATTCACGATTCAACCTTTGTAGCTGCTGTAAGGCCTAGGTAACAATTTTTTCCCCGGGTACACAACAAAGAGACGTCCTTGGTCTGATAAAACCGATTGCATGTGTCAGTTAATGTTAGTTCGTATTATTGCTGAATTGCAGGCATTCCTGAGCCTCTCCATGACATGCCCCAGTCTTAAGGATCGCATTTGCCCTTATCCTTTAGGGTTCACTTGAGGCAAAAATGCATGCTAGTCAGCAATAGTTCCTCGTTTTCATTTAACACAAACTTCTGCGAGCTTATTTCAAGCTGAATCTGATTTATTTTCCTGATTCAACAGTGGAAGCCTGAGATCAGTCGAATAGCTGTAATATTTCCCGACATTTTTAGATCATTGCTTGGACCCGAGTCCATTTGTGTATCACACCCTGGCTGTGTTGCTGGAGAAGTTTCAATATTAGAGTGTGTTTCAGTGTGTAAGTGAGAGGAAGTTGGATTTTCATTTAACCATGTTCTCAGTTAAAGGAGGCAGACTTGATTGAAGACATATGCTTGAGCTAATAGAGCCCACTTGTGTTGAGCAATACCTTGGCTTAAAGAAATATTGCTCACTCGGCTTGTTGTGTGCATCGAAGTGTGCTTTTATCTGTGTTTGTTTCTGAACTAGGGAAGCCCCAAGCATGCATCCATACATTTTTGAACTCTGTTTGTCGGCGCCAAGTTGATTTTGTCAGTTTTCTTGGTATCTGGACTGAACTTTGGCATTTGACGAACGGCTTTATCTTGAGATAATTTGGCGTTTTAATGTGTTCCAATGGGGAAAATAGCGCCTTTCTCCCTGATCTGGAGAAAACCTTTTTCTTTCTGCATTTTCCTGGAGAAATAAGCTTTGATACTTTCAGTTAATGAGATAAATAAGACGAGAATCTCTTCAGACAAATGGAGTAAATATAAAATATATACCTAACAGTGTGCGGCTTCTGTAAAACAGAGTATTAGGGCCACATTAAGACTTAATTAGATTTTATTAAGACTTTATTCTTGGAATTAATGATTTTAGTACAGCTTTATTCTCATAAGTAATTACTTTATTAGGACTTTATTCCCGTAGTAATTAATTTATTACAACTTTATTTTCATAAGTAATGACTTTACTCTCGTTAGTAATGATTTTAGCAAGACTTTATTCTCTAAGTAATTACATTATTACAACTCTATTCTCGTAAGTAATGATTTTATTACGACTTTATTCTTGAGTAATTACTTTATTACTACTTTATTCCCCTAAATAATGACTTAACTCTTGAAAGTGATGATTTTAGTATGACTTTATTCACGTATATAATTAATTGATTTGGACTTTATTCTCGTAAGTAATGATTTTATTGGACTTTTTTCTCGCAGTAATTACTTGAACAACGACTTAATTCTCATAAGTAATGATTGTAGTACAACTTTATTCTCAAATTCTCTACAAATTTAATCTTGTAGTTATTTCTTTATTACGACTTTATTTCTTTAAGTAATTACTTTATTATGACTTTATTCTTGTAGTTATTTTCATATTACGACTTTATTCTTGTAAGTAATGACTGTACTCTTGTAAGTAATTACTTTTTTACAACTTTATTCTCTTAAGCAATTAATTTATTACAACTTTATGTCCATGGTAATTACTTTATCCCAACTTTTTTTGGTAAGTATTAACTTTATTCTCGTAACTTTAATCTTGAAGCCTATTTTTTTGTTTTCTTTACGTGACCCCAATACTCCGATGTACTTCTGTAACATAGCAATGTGAGAACATGAGTACGATCAGGTTGGGTTTTCTTGCACATGGACTTGCCTTTGTTGATTTTATATTGCAGCATATGTTGCATACTTCTTGTATGAGTCCACTCTGTAATAGTGCCTATGAGACCCTGTTGGACTTCTCTGGCTCTCACTGTTATAAACGTGACCTCGAATCACACCCAGTATGTTTACAAGCCAAGTGTCTTCCTGCGGGACCAGTTAGCTTTTAATCACTGCTTTATGGAGCAGGTGATGTAGCACATGATCCACTTCAGAATCTTGAGGGAGGAGAGGTGAAAGGAAAACAGTCCTGGTTCTTGTTCTGGTTCCGGTCCAAGTCCACGACCAAAGGATTTACATTCAGATATGTTTCAGTTTCTGCTTCTGAGTTGTCTCTGCAGCCCTGACGTGCCAGTTCTCTTGTTATTACTGGATCTGTGATAACTGGGACATGTTGCCACTCCACCCCAGAGTTGCTGTCATAAAACTGCGTTTAATTTATCATCCTGTCAGTGGGAAATTTTGCAACTGGGAGCTCATTTTGCATAATTTCCATTCATGCTCCCAGTGATGTTACCAGGGGCCGTTTTGCAGCTTGTGAAGCAAAGTCTTGAGCTCTGTGTTCACTTCTGCTTTCCCAGCTGCCTCATCCCATTGTTTCCCTGCTTGCTTATCTGCAGAGGCTGGAAATTTTAGCTTGCAGAAGTCCATTACAGAAAGATCTCCACACAGCTTATCAATGATCCACTCACAGAGGCCACTCCTGGGCGTCTTTATTTTCAAGCCAAAAGCATCAGCATGTTTAGATTAGGTGCTACCAGATCAGCGTGGCCCATTTTCCTCACACCCTTTTCAGGACTTATTTTGTTTCTTTCTCTTAAAGTTCGTCTGCAGCACTCTCATATATTTTACCTTCCACGGCTCAGCTCCTTTTTTGTTGAAATAAACAGTGCAAACACTAAAAGCAGCAGCAGGGTCCCAGGGGCCATATGTCAACGTGTTTACCATGATGTCATGGTGGCGTAAACCTTGAAGGAGAGGGTCAAGAAAGGGAGGAAGGGAGAGACAAGATGTCACCCTGATCGTGACTTTCACACTTGAGTTTATTATGACTTGTTGACACAGCATGAAAGAAACACAAAAGCCACTGACCCTTAGTTTCGCCACCCATCTCCTCATTCAACAGCTGAGCACATATTTCTGAGAGTCTGTGACTTCAGCTGCAGCTGCTGGAAGTAAAAAAACAACAATATTAAAGTCTGTTTTTGGCTTTAAAGGGGTAACTGGATAAACTTGTTTTAGTTGTTTCTGATCTTTTAATGATTCATCTAACACCAAATAATACAAACCAGAAATTCTGAAGTATTCTTACTTTCTCACGGATTATCAAGCTGAGTTAAATACTTGATTCTGATTGGATGAGAACAGATTCAGCTGCAGACAAAGCAGAGCTCCTTAAGCACTTGCACAGTTGGACCCCCCACTCGGATCTCAGCTGTGAGAAGGAAACGAAGCGATCCTACCTCTCAATATTAAAACAAGTCGTATCTTGTAGCCCAGGTAGTACCACCGTGATCAGTTGATCCTCTATTTTCCAGATAGATGTCATCAAGAAATCTCCATCCTGATTGGCTATCGTGGTGAGGATTCGCTTGAACCATTAACAGTAGTTACAATAGCAATAGTAAAAGTCGTGTTTACCTCAAGATGTTTCAACAGAGCTGCATGAGGCCTCGGCTCATTTTAAACACCACAGCAGAGCTCTATTGTTGGGACATTTTGAGATAAGTAAGCATGTTTTCCTGCTCCTGATAGGACTCAGCGGTTGAGCTCGAGGGTCAATGACCTACAGAGATAAAATAACTTTTTCTTTAAGTGACATGCTCCAGTCAGTGGTCAAACATGATAACCCCATCATGTACCAAAGACAAGACAGGACCTGACAGAAAGCCCCCCAGAACAATGAAAACCTGTGAGGAAGCTGGTGACTATGGCTGCTCTGTTTATGCCCTGTTATCCTGACGGAGTGGGTGTTACACTATCTGACGTAAAAAGTTCAACCATAGCTTCTTTTTTTCTTGATTCTGGATTTATTAGTTCCTAAATCAAAGTCTGAAGAGCACAGCTTGTTTTTGTTAGAAGTGACTCATAAAGTCAACACTCACTAAATTGTCAAGCAGTCATGATTATGTGGTGTGTTATGTGGGAAATTGCCATTCTTGTGACATACAGGGTTGTTGTATCCAGGAACGAGCAGAGGAAGGGTGCAATTATTATTTTTCCTGTCAAGTTCAGATCCAGCTGCATTTATTTAGAACTCGCCTCTTTCATCATGATCAAAAAAACTCTAATAATTATAGATGTTCTCATACAGATACCAGTATTTAATGCTGATACAATACTATTATCAGTATAAGCCCTCTATGAAGCCTGAAATGTGCCATTCCAACTGGAAAACATACCAGCATGCTCCAAATGGATACCCTACTTTAATAGCCGTACTTAAAAAAAATCAAGTGATTCCCGTTAAATTATCAAGTTACTGCAAAATCAAAAACTGTGCAGTGTTACAGTAGAAAGCTGTTATTGTTATTATTAAATATAAATTAGGTAAAGGTTATCCAGAGCTAAACAGACATGTAGTGAAACATGTGTTTATAATAAGTAATGGATGTTGCACAGCAGATAGTCTAAAGCATGATGGAGAATGTGTTCTGCATTGAAAAGAGAGTCTTGACTTGGAAGGTAGATGCAAATAATGGAGTGCATGGTAAACAATGGGATTAACCTCATAGAAACTAATGTATATTTACAGTAGATAACGAGTTGTATGGCAGATAATGAATGTGGCACTGCAGATGGTCTGTAAAGCTCAGTAAATAATGTGTATTTGACAATAGAGAATGAATTGCATGGCCAGGAAGTGCAAATCAGATGGCAGAGATTATATACTCCATATAAAATACTGATAATTGTACTGCAGATAATGCACGTTTCTCCAAGGGTAATAAATCACATGGCCAGATAATGTTATGTTACACAATAGAAATTTTACATTGCCTACAAAATAATGATAATTGCACTGCAGATAATGCAAATTTCCCCAAAAGTAATGATTTGCATGGCCAGGTAATGTTCAATAGACAGTAGAAATTCTATGCTGCATACTAAATCATGAGATTGTGCAGCAGATAATGCATATTATATGCAGATAAAATGGTTTAAAATGAATAATGTTATGCATATTAAAAATGCACTCGTGAATTGCAAGGTAAACAATATATATGGCACAGTAATAAAGTTTTTGTGCATGGCAGATAATGTCTTATTGCATCATAAATAATATATTGCATGGCGTACATGTATTTTGCACGATAGGTAGTGTTTCACGTTTCAAAGTCAGTCAAAAGGAGCAGTAATAGTAGTCGTAGTTAGTAGTAGTCATCTGTTTTATATACATGTTAAAGTCCTTATACATTAATGCAGTGGTTTTGCAGTGGTTTTGAAGGGTTTTTGGTATCAGCTGACATTTGGTCTTGGTCTTGGTAGGAAAGAAAGGACATCTGCACATCTTTACTCACATGTATACATTTCCCTCTCTGGTCCTCATTGTTCCAGGTCTAAAATCAGCTATGAATCCTCTCCATCAAAGGCTGCTTACTGCCACAAATACCTCAGTTTATATGAGGAGCAAGAAGACTAACAAATGCAGACCAGTGAAACACAAGCATATGTGCAGACTTTTGCCCCCTGTGCTGTTTTACGGTCACACACCGGTTCCTCTACACATGGTGGGCTTAACAAGCAGACTACTCTGCTTTTTTATACCAAATTACCTTTTTCCCCGGGGTTAGGGGACAAGCTGCCTGGTGATTGAACATGTGGCGGTGCTTTGGTATGCTGCTGGTATGCCTTTAATGTCCCTATTTTCCCAGTGAAACAGCAGAGTGGTTGTCCTCTTATGGAAACAGTGACAATGTGCCCCCCAGCCAGGCCGAGTGATTTGATGATAAACTCCAGGGTCCTTCTCAGGAATCCAGAGTTCCATGATCACTGTATAAAGCCTGATGGGGTGGTGCTCTGTCATTTTCTTAGTTTATTGCCACAATAACAGGCTTTGAGAATCACTCTCTGCTTGGTTGTTAATGAGTCACTCCCATAAACATCAACACAATTACATGCACTTTAAAAAAACTGGATAGCACTTAATCACATGTTGTTTTATTTACTCGATATTTTTGCAGCAGATAATTAATTTTACTGATTGAAAAAGAAGAGGTGAAAGAAATACAGTAGCTGAACATGACATTAGGCTAATATGAGAAGACCTTAAATGATTGTAGTGCAGTGAAACCCCAATTATGGTTCATTTAAAACAGTGGTTCTCTACTGGTCTCACTCTGGGACTCCTTGAGTTGCGACCCACTTTTATAGAATTTCAAACCAAGCAAATTTGTTTTTTATGTATAAAAAAATAAAAACCTGTAAAAACTCTAATCTTTAACATAAATCCACTTGTTTTATTGTATAAGGGGACAACATGATGACGGCAACTGCTGAAGTTACATATAGAGAAAATATCGATTATCTAGTAAATATCGCATTAAATATTTATTTTTTAACTAGCTGTTCGTGATCAATTCAGAATGTGTCCATGACCCACCAGTTGAGAAGCACTGATTAAAAATGCATCATAAATATTTTGAGTTTGTTTTCAGGGTAGATGTGGTTATGATCCTGTAAATTGATTAAAAAAGTTAAAGCAGCTGAGGAACTTTTGCTTGAGTTAGTTTCGGCGCCCCCTTGTGGACCAAAGGATTTGGGAATTTCAAGACATAAAACACAGATTAACTCTATCATTGGAATTTTTTAAAGATGTTTTTATGTATGGTAAAAATCCAACCATTCTGTACATACAGGAATCTTTAAAACCTGTACTTAAAGGTCCCGCGACTTGATTCATGTCAGAAAAGAAATCTTATGTCGGCATATGACAGTATCAGAAAAGGGAATATGCTAGTTAAAATGTGCATGTGGAGTGAAATTGCGCAGTTTTTGTCCACAGAGGGCACTAAAAGCAGCAGAAATCGTAAATTCAAGCTCCCTAAAGCTCTGACAGCAAACTTTAACCTGCCATTGAAATGAAAAAAGCTGAGGTCAGCAGCATTATGAGTGCAAGTCATTCCAGTGAGTCAGTGAGGATGAGATTTACGACTAAATTGTGTATTTAGTGTATGATGTTGTAAAGTAGAGATGACTACAGCTGGCCTTCATTTCAGTCCATATTGTATTCCAGTCAGGTCTTCTTCTTCTGCTCTTAATTGAAAAGTCTTGAACAGCTTTATGAGAGGACTATCTGACAGAGTTACAGGGGTGAGGTTAGTAAGCAGCTGGTTTGTTAACACGTCTGACCTCCAAACATCTGGCCCTGCATCTGTCTCTGTCAGACCTCCAGCCCCAGCTCCATCGCTCACCTCTTTATCTGTCTTTTTCAGGTGTTAGCGTTGCCGTCGACAACTCAGGTCTCATCCAGAGTTCAGGTCAGAGCCTCACAGAGCCCCTGGACCCCTCCCTGCTGCAGCCCCCTGTAATGGAGACGGGACAGGCGGGGCCTCCAGGCAAGATGAGCTCATCCAAGTTGCCGAAGGGGACAGATGGCAGCATGATGCCTGTTCAGGGTTTTGCTGGAGCTCCAGGTGAAACACACACACAGAGACACTTAAATGGACTCTGCTATGAAATCATCCTTCAGTGTTTTCATTGTCTTGTTTTATTTTGCAGCTTCACCAACCAAAGTCACTGATTCGCTGAAATTTGACACACCCTTCAACAAAGGTAACCTCGAATTCCTTCTTTTCTGTCATCTCACCAAACTCATTTTCGTTTTCAGCAGATGTGACAAGCTCCAAGTGAGTTTTTAATTTATGATTCAGCTCCTGACTCACTTGATCTTCAGCGTGTTTATGTGTTGTGTCCTCCGCTGTGCTCAGGTGAGACCGTGTCCTTCTCAGCTGGTCTGACTCTCCTGCCATTCCCAGGAGAGATCGGGATCATTCGATTCAATAAGGTGCTCGTCAACGATGGAGGACACTATGACTCTCAAACAGGTAGCTGACCCTAGTTGTAAGGATGCCTAGTCCACACTCTAAAAACTCTTGGGTTATTTCTTCAACCCAATTCCTGGGTTATATGTGTTGAGTTAAATTTCTTGGTTATTTTTCAGATCTATACCCATTTCTTGGGTCATATGGATTCTATTGTAACCCAATTCGAGGGTTATTTGAATGGGTCAATAATTATAATTAATTATGGGTCAATAAAATAATTTTCTGAGAGTAACCCAATAATTGGGTCAGACGTTGGGTTTGATTGACTCTGCGTGGTTTTTAGGCCTAATGGCAATCAAAGTGACCTGGTGACCTTGTGAACTTTGACCATATTGGGGTAGCTCGGGGTAGCTACCCCAATATATATTGGGCGGCTGGGGTAGCTCAGCGGGTAGAGCATCCGGTTGGGGTTCGAATCCCACATGAGACTCATCTGTAAGTAGAACTACATCCACCAGTATGGGTCCTTAAGTAAGACCCTTAGCGCTATGGCCTACAATCAGTTTGATAAAAGTACATGGGAAAATAAGGTACAGGTTGTAAAAGCAAAGTTCCCGAAAAAAAGCTCCCCATACATCAATTTAATCCAAGATCATGAGTCAAATTAACTCAAATATTGGGTTAACTTGACCCTTAAAAAGTGTTATTGAGTCAGCCCAAAATTTGGGTGAATTTGAATAACCCAACATTCATGGTCAAAATAACCCAATAAGTAGTTGGTCCCTTTTCAACCCTGGTGTTGGGTTAAAAACAACCCGAGTTGGGTTATTTTTAACCGAGTAGAGTGCATGTTCACACTTTAAAGAATGGAAGGTCCACACAAATGATCATTTTCACAGGCTTTACTGGTCGCAGATCTGGGTTACAGCTTCATTATGCCACAAGTGTAACAAAGACTGGTCTGAGACTGTTCAAGTAAATGTAGTTGTCCACATTTCCAAACATTCTGATTGCATCTTGTTGACCTGAAGGAGAGTCCATGTAGGGTAATATTAAAGCACAACATATTTTGGGAGCCTGAGGGATGTTAAACATGGGTACAAAGTCCTTGTTGAGGATGGTTGTTGGAGGCCCATGGCTCCAGAAATCTAGCACCAAAGTATCCAAGGTATTTGAGTGACACAGCTCTACCACCCTTAAAGCTGACAGGACTGGCTAAAGAAAATCACCATAACACTAGTTGAAATGGTAAGAGACGCCTTTAAAGGTGATCATACCTGCTAGTGAGAGCAGGTATAATGAAAACAACAGAGGGCCCAGGATAGGACCAAGGGGGACTCCAAGACGGCCTTGTTTGGTTGTTGATAAAACCCCTTCTTCCTGTGTTCTCAGGTATCTTCACAGCTCCTACAGACGGCCGCTACCTGTTGACCGCTGCGCTCACAGCCCAGCGAGGCGAGAGAGTGGAGGCCGTCCTGTCTGTGTCCAATCGCAGCATCCAGAGGTTAGACTCCTCCGGCTTTCTCTCTGGAGAAGCAGCAGCGCCGGCACATGATCGCTGTAACTGCAGCAGCACGACGTCTTTGAGTCTGGTTCTGCCGCTGAAGAGAGGGGACCGAGCGGGACTGGTCATGACCGCCGGAAAACTCGCCATCTCGGCTACCCCTGAAATACTGTCGAGTTTTAGCGCCGTGCTGCTTTACCCAAGTCCATCGAAACGGTAGCCTTGCTTTTTTAAAGACACTGATGCCTCGTATAAGCCGTAAGTGGAGTGTGGAGTTAATTGAAGATGAAACAGTAGAGTTATTATGATATCAAAAGAGAGACAGTCAGAAGGAAAAAGGAACAACAGAAACCTGAATGAAACAGTACCTAATAAGAGTTTTTTCCTTTCTTAAGTACTAATATATAGTGTTTACATCTCAGTCATTTTCCAGAAGATATCTTTAAGGTCTACGTGTTGTTTTTGTCCTCTACAGAAATCTCCGTCTCAGCTTTTAAAAACAACAAAGTGCCTCTTTACCTAAACTAACTGTTGACGACGTATTTGTGTGAAAGTTGAATTGATCGCATTTGTTTATATCTGGACAGAAACCAGTTTTTCTCTTACATAGAACATCTTTCACTTCCTACAGTTTACTCTCAGACTGTTTGTCTTTTTGGTGCTAAAATGATCAAAAATGGAGAAGATAAGCTTTTGTTTTTCAAAAACAGTTTTATTAAAGTAAAATCCATTTGATTTAAGTTTATGAAGACAGTATTTCAAATGAATAAACTCTGTGTACAGACTTCATGTACAGTTTTTAATCCACTATAAATAAGACATAAAACGATGCATGTTTTACTACTCATCTCTCTGTGCAGAGGAAAGAGGCCACACGAGGGAATAAAAGGAATGAGATTTTGAGAATGAGGTTGTAAAGAGAGTTAATACAAAATTTATGAGGACAGATCCATGAGAGAAAACAGTCAGAAAGATTTATGAGGATTAAGTTTAAAAAAAATGCACCAAATTCCCCTTCAAAATAAGATTTGGCTGACCACAGACCTAAGTATGAGTTTGTCCTTTTAATAGTCAAATATAATTATATGTTAAATATTTTTATATATGATATGTTGAGGATAATGTCTTACTTTTGTGTGGCTTTATTCTCATACTGCTACAAATTTATTCCAAAAATAAGCTTTTTAATCCGAGCGAAATAAGGACTTTTTCCTCATAAATTTTCACATTCCTCTTAAATTTACAACTGTTCATTCTCATAAACTTTAGTGTGGCAAATAAACTTTTTTTTTTTTTTAATTAAACTAATTTATAACCTTTTTGTTCTAAACAAAACAACCTTTACAGCAGAAATTTACAAGTTTATTTATTTTGAGGTATTGAGATTTTATTCTTGTTAATTTACAATTCCCATCTCATCAGAAATATAGATTATTTCTTGTAAATTTATTAGATTATTCTGTTATTTCTCTATTTCAACTTTCTTTCATGTAAATTTGAGACTTTTTTCCCACTTATGATTGAATTTTGGTAAAATCATGACCTCTTGAAATCGACATATCCCTTCTTGACACCTCCATTTATTCATTCAGACCCCCCAGGAAAGAAAAAGCAGTTTAAACAGTTTGACACAGTTTTATTTTCCAGTCATCACAGACAGACTTTGTGCTTACACTGTTTGATAAAACTGTGATCTAGATTACCACAAAGTAATCCTGAAAGTCCACTGAAAACACCTGAAGCAGCTAAACAAGGGGAATACTGTGTGCTCTCTTCACACAAAGATATTCACTTTCATAGAAAGAAATCATTTCATTTTACCAGCAGGTGTGACTCAGTGAAAAAAAAGCCTGACAATAAGTGACTGCAATATTTCTGCGAGGAAATCAAACAAACATCAGCAGAGATTTGTTTCAAATTTCATCAAAAATAGTTTCTACTTTAATCCTATGTTTATGTTTATAAGGAAAAATACTTATCAAGCCTGGCAGTATCTACAGCTCATAAAGTGCTTTTATTGTGTACTATTTTATCAATAATCAAGTTTAAGAAAGTCATTTCTCTGTTTCTGAACATAAAAGTGCAAATATACTTGAGGTTTAAAACAAAAATGGTAACATTTATACATTTTTATACGACTGCATTAGACTAAATAAGGCCTTAAGGGACAGAGGAGAATAACTTAGATAGTTCAACGTCAGGAAGCAGAAGTGAGGCACAGTCAGTATTTGAAATCATTATACTGAGCAGCTTTTTCAGTTTCTTTTCTAACAGTAGCTGAACCTCTAAGATATGAGTGAGTGCTTCTGCTGTGGGAATCTTCTCACAAATAAACTCCAGGTGAGAAGACAAACTGATTTCTCAAAGGCTTTCGAGCTCCAGGAAAACTCTGCAAATGCGTGATGGGAAAACTCCTCAAATGTCAACAAACCAAATATTTTTTTTTAAAAGTAGAACACGTCTCAGACATAAACAAACTACTCCAGTGGCATTACAAAGAATTATCAGTATGAAATCAGTGCAGATGGAGGAATGACTGCCTCTGAGTTCCTTTAAATTCAAGTCCTTCATGAAAACATTGAGAGTGGTTAGAGTAAGAGCAGCTCCTCTAAGCACAGCTCAGCGATGGGCTGCCTCCAGTAACAGAAGGAGCTGAACTCCGGGCAGCTGAAGGTGGCGTTTTGTTGGGAACTTCTTAAAGGAAAAACATGTTCCACCAACTCGCTCAGCCGGCTGTATCTGCAAATAAAAACCAGCATCAGGGAACAATAAATGATTGTCACACAAGCACAAACAATGACTCCAGTGAGGGTTCAGACTTACGATGTTTTATTGCCTTTGGCTTGCTCCAGGATTAACTCGCCCTTGGGATTCACAGTGAATATCCGACACACGGGCACACCCACTTGCTTATAGGCAAACACGTCCTGAAGCAGAATAATCGGGATCATTTTGGAAGAAATGGCGCTTAAAAATATCACCAGTTTGGGAGAAAAAGTAACAAAAAACAAGGATGGAAATGTAACTCACATTTTCTCTGTTTCCAAATGCTGCGTAGAAAGGAAATGTGTTTGGGAAGAAGAGATTCTTGATGTCTGTGAGGCATTCGATCTTGAACTTCTCAGGCTTCTTTTCAATAACCTCTCTGAGAAGATAATCACAAAGAATAATTTAAAATAGAACATTTAGGGGAAATAAATTGAGGGCGCCTCTTACTAAGTTTGCTTAAATAGCTAAGACTGCTTTTTAAATACACAATCTCCCTCTTAAATCTTGTGATGAATTCTACGGCTGTCTTTCCATGACAGAGCTGCTGGCTGAGACTTTGATACCTGTGAAAGGCCGAGAAGAGGCTGCTGGGGGAGAGCATGAGGGGTCCCTGAGGCAGCAGGGTCCCTCTGTCGTTCACCCAGTGCAGATACCCTCGAGTCATGTCCGCCATGCCGATCGCCCGGGCCGAACAGTACAGAAACTTATAACCATTCCTGTGGTTGAAAGTAATGTGTTAAAGGATTCACAGTTTAAGTGCTGCTTATAGAACAATAACGAAGGAGAACAGATATCTGTGTCTTACTCGTGCACTGAGTGGTAAAGCTTAGCGATTCCTTGATGAGTCCAGTCCTTCCCAAGCTGAGGGAGGATCTGACCGAACACGTCTGACCTGAGAGAAGAAAAACAACAATTTTATGAAGTAAAACAACCAGATGAAGATTTTTAGCGCCTGTCAGCATCTGATTGATGTGAGACATTGTTTGGAATAAGACAATCATACTTGGTGATGGTGCCATCTATGTCAGAGATGATGACTTTGTCGTCCCAGTTCCACAGGTAGATCGTTCCCTCGCAGCGACATGTCCCCTGGTACTGAGTGGTTATGCTGAAGGTGACGTCGTTTGGTCCATCTCTCAGCTTCAGACTGGCCTGAAAGGGATGAAAATGACTGTATAAATTCCCATACATCCTTGTGGCATGGTCTGATTCAGAGATATGAAATAAGTTACTCTGCACACAGAAAACAAAGAGGAGGTTTGCTCTTTCCACTTGAAGCTTTAGCATCTCATCTCATAGCACAGCCATACTGCCAAATATTAAACTTATTACATGCAAATAGCTATAAAGAAATCACGTCGTACTATCTGGTCAGATGACAGTCGGAGTGATTTCTTGTAGGAGTGACAGGGTGCAGCAGCAGGGCTCTCACTCTGCACATGCTCAGCAGGTTTCTGAGCAGGAGCCACAGCATTCAGCTCTTTGGTCTCGTCATCGCTGGACCACTCCGCTGCTTTTCGTCTGCAGGGGAGAAACAGCTTTTACCGGCCAATAAAAACAATATAAAATGAGTCATCCTGGGTTGTAGACAATAATTGATCTGAAAAAGCCCTGCAGAATCATTTGCAGCCACTAGAGGGCAGCAGACCGACTCCTGTGACCTTACTCTGCTTATCACTAAATGCAGCTTGTGGTTGTTTTTTGGACTTCTTGTTTGTGGATAAAACTTCATGCTTTATAAATCATCTCTGACACAAACCACAGTCACCCTGCCTGGAAAAGGAATATCCCAATGATTAATTTATGAGTCATAAAAAGAGGGGCCTAACTGACATGCTAATCCTGCCTCAGTGGGACATGTTTGCCCAACACTGCTTGTGTTTGTGAGCGAGGGAGGAAGCTGGAGGTTTGCTGCTGACTCACTGTGTTTCTGGGGCCCGGCGAAGGGCAGGGCTGTCGCTGCTCGGAGACTCCTGGCTCTCTGACTTCGTGTCTGATGACGACTGAGGAGAGGAAGAGACGGAGTTAAAAAAGCTTCTCACCGAAACATCAGCTTGTTTTTCTAACCTACAAGTCCTGATGTAATAATGGAAAACAAAGTAGTTAGAGGCATTTGGGTAACATGTTCCTCATTTGTTTGGAGTCATTTACAATTCAAAGCGGCTCAGTCAGTGTGGGATTCCCACTGACCGTCACTGATGGAAGTGTGACTCATAAGACTTCAGTCTGAGTCACACACTCAGTACCTGCTTCACGCTGCTCTTCCTCCAGAACCACCACCGTCCAGACTTTTTGGGCATCTTCTCCTTCACCCAGGCTTCCTCTGTAGCCTGCAAACACACAAAGAAATCAAATGAGAATAAATATGATGTTCAGCTACAGTGAAGCATCACTAGAAACACTATAGACCAGGAGGATACTACCTTTGGTAAGTTCTTCTGGAAAGCTTGCATGCTGAGAATCAGCGGTGCTGCAAGGGTCCAGTTGTAATACCTGAGAGAGAAATGATTTTTAACTTGAAGCATTGAGCAGAGACAAAAGAGTGATTTTTAACTTGTTATGGTACAAGTGAGCATCATTTTTGTACAATTCTCGCAGGCATGAATTGTATTTTAAGATATGCACTTGAATGATCCTCCCACCCACAATAATCGTTCTAGATATTTACAATCTTCTCATAAAACAGAATCACCGTTTAGAGTTTGTGCAATATAGTTATTTCCAGGAAAAACTCCCACATGACACAAAAAAACCCAGATATCCATGATGGAATTTTTTAAAACCCAAACTTATAATAGCTTATATACATGTTGCTACTGATATTAATATAAAATACAGTTTTAGATGTTTGACTAGAAACGCCTCTATTGTGTGTGTTTTACTTTCTTATCAGAGTGGCGTTTCAAGATATCTCTACTGATGTTTCCACTCCTTTCCTGTTCTCTAAAACTTTCCTTCCTCTGAGTCTAAATTAAATGAAAGCTTTAACTCGATAAAAGGTTTAAACGGATATTTCAACATTTGATAGCAAGAGGGGATGTCTGGTACAGAACACTGTAATTAAGTTAATTCTGGCAAAAATTAACATTTCAGATACCAGAGTTTTACCAAAACTAACGTCACTTTACCCATTAATGTGTATCGAGACTCTGCAAAGCTACCTATCTGTCCAGAAGGAGAGTTTCAGATACTAAAAGGTACTCTTGAGGGGAAAAAAAACTCATTTTGGATACCAAAAAACAAATATTATATGTTATAATTTCAGTTTTAGATATTTAAAAGTATGTTATTGCATAGTTGGAATAATTATTGATTAAAGATATTAAAAATTAAAACTTTGACTAGTAACATCTTGGCTGAGTGTATCTGAAAAGGGAGATTAACTCTCAGAATGTTGACAATGTGGACACCTTAAACTGAATGACCAAAGTGACATTAATGGTGTAATCACGACCTTTTGGATATCTTGATTTGCAATAATCACTCCAGAAAAGTCAGTTTTGACAGGTAGAAATACTATAATAGATGTCTGAAAAATAATACTGACAAGAGTTACCTGTTAGAAATTCTAACCACCAAGTTGGGATTGTCGATTATCGCTGGATTCTCTGCAAATTCATTATAGCTGATGATGTGCTCCATGAATTTTTCTGTGAAAAACAGAAAAGTTGAGTTAGAAAATGAGGTGAATAAGGTCAGATTGAAACGTTACCGCGAAGATGCAGAAGAGAGCTGTGAAGTATTTTTCCGTTCATTTCAATTTTCGTAGGTGAAAGCACAGACAGCTGATTACCTTTAGGGATCTCTGAGTTCTCGCCAACGCCTCCGCACAGCGACAGGGTGACGTCAGGGAGGTCGCCGGCAGAGTCAGACAGACACTCTGTGCCGCTGTCTGCTGCTGCGCTGCCAACAGACTGAGGGGACTGTGATCCAGAGCGGCGCCCCATCTCCACCCAGTGTTTAGGAACCTGCTCAGACTCACTGAGGAGACAGAAACACAAGGATGTTGTGAAGAGAGCGAGTGGCATCCTCTCGTGTTGAAAAGAAGAAGCCAACCCTGCAGTTCCTCAGGTGTCCACTTGGGCCAAAATGGTTAAAATGACTGTTTTTACCAGCAGAATTAAACGCGTTAACACCTGGATCACCATTTCAACTCTAGTCTTTTTCTTTTCTATACAAACCAGAAGTTGCTACAGAGCAAAGTGCTTCTCATCAAAACTCAACCATCCCAAACTGGATGGTATCACTTCTCCCAGGTTTATACCTCTTTGGGAAGTATCGGGCCACAACATCCGGCTCAAGTGCATTCAGGTCATCTAGGTAAATGTCCTCAGGTCCCTGATGCTGGCTCCTCTTTCTCACACCTAAATGAAAGCAGAACCAGACATAACTGTGAAATTGCAGACTTGAGCATGTGCAGCAAAAGCCCTAGACGCAGAATACAGACTGGAGCATGAAACAGAAACCACATCCTTCCTGTTAACATTCACGCTCCGTACATTCAAACTGGCTGGAGAGTCGAGAGTCACTGAACTGAGGAACAAATGAAGAAATAAACTATTTTAAAGTCTTTTGGACCCCGTAAAGGTCTGGATAACTTGACCAGAAAACTGTAATGTAAACTAAATATGAAGAAAGGAAAGTTCTCATCCAAACTTTGATCCCATGTGGTTCTTCCCATATTCTCCTTATGTTTTTCATTATTTTAATAACAGTACACTTTCTTTATGCCTGCCATAAAAATATTATCTTGAGAGACTGCGAGGTGGGGATTGCATATTTAAAGTAAGGTCAGTCCTTATTTTTTAATAAAGTAAAACATTCAGCGCTCCTCCCAATCCCAATCCAGCTGCTTGAGAGAATCCTGCTTTGTTGAGACACACATGCAACCTTTAGAGTGTACGTTTGAAATAGCCAGGACGCTGTCTGACCCCTTGTTTGTAATGTTCCTATACTAGTCCTCAGGTAAAAAGCACACAGAAACAATCACACCCTGTATTAAACAAGTGTTAAAGTTGATTTACTTCTCCTCTTGCTGGGGGTGTCAGTCATTTTAGAGGAGGCTTTTGAATCAGGATTAGTTCCAGTCGAGTCCGTGTTCGTGCCTCCACTGGCCGCAAAGCTGCTGTCTCTGCGGTTGGGAGGCGAGGACTTCCACCTGGTCTTGTGTGCACCCTTAGTGCTGACTTCAGAGTCTGTGGCGTGAGTTTCAGAGGTAATAATACTGCAGGGGATTAAATCTGAAAGGTCTGTCTTGGTCATGTTGGTATCTCTGGGAGGCTGTGGTTTACAGCTGCTCTGATCCACTTTGACAGTCCGAGGCTCTGGCTTCACAATACTGCAAACAGGATCTGTGCTTCTTCCGTCACCTTTGGACTCTTCCTCCATGGCTTCAGCGCTCAAAATAACCCTGAAGTGCGTGCTCTCTGAGGGAGTAATGGTCAGTGTTTTTGGCTCGGATTTCTCCTTTTTGTTCACCTGGATGCAAGAAAGATGAGCACAAAAATGTTTGAGTTATCCAGCATGCATTTCTAAAATCATTCACACTAATCTAGACGTGATCCTCACCCTGGTAGATTCTGGAAACTCTCCCCAGCTCCACTGCATGTGGGCCTCGGCCCTGAGCATGCTCTCTGTGGGCTTCACCATCAGCTCAGAGTCACTCTTGGGTGACGAGGGATCCGACATCTCCCTGCTGTAAACAAACACAACATTTCCACTGAGTCAGAAAAGTGGACCTTGTGGGAGAGATTTGTTCGGCTCAGCCTGTTTTGATAAGCAGATTGGAAACTTTGTGTTTTCTGTGTGCGTGGATAAACAGTGTGAGTATTTGCATACATAGTGCAGGGGGACCAGTCTCCGTCAGAGAAAGGGTAGCTGTCCCATTCGAGGGTGGTGAGCGGGGAATGCTGCCTGTGGTCCATATTGTCCTTCATCAGGGACAGTGAAGACGTCCTGAGGTCAAATAATAAAACAAAGAAGAGGTCAAATCAAAGAAACAGCTAAAAATATCACTTCTAAACTGTTTACTCACCGTCCATTGTGTGCGTTGTGCTCATCATCTGAGCTGAGCTCACACAGCTCCTGCTCTCCTCCTCCTCCTCCTGGCGTTTGCTCCTCTTTGCGAGGCTCGGCTTTGTGCTTCCTCCTGCGTCTCTTCCTCTTCTTCCCGGCTGTGCTTGAGCAGCTTTGAAGGTTTCCACAGGCCGGGTCTTCTGCACTCACAGGCTGACCGTTCTCTACCGCTGACCCCCCACATCTGGGCTCTCTGCTCCAGAACATAGCCTCCTCTGTGGGGATGGGCGAGGTCACCAGGTGGGCCGGGACCACCTCCTGTTTCCAGGGAGTGAAAAAAGTTACTGGTGTAAGGCAGAACCAAGTTGTCCATAATATATACAGTCTATGGTTTTGACCAAATAGGGAAATGTATCACGGTCTTTTACGGTTCATCACTCACGTTGTTCTGCTCTGTCTCCTGGACGAAAAAGGCTTCTCCATTGTCTCCGAGTTTCATATGTAGCTCCACAGGCTCTCCATTGATTTCTATATCAATCTGCAAAGTCAAACAACACCCTTCTGCTGAGAAACTCTCCTAACAATGCCTCATTGTGTTCGTTCAACTCACAAGCAAACTGTGCCGCAGATTTACCTGAAGAATTAAGAGTTAAGCCACGGAGAAATAGGGAACAGCCTGTGCGAATGCTTGCTATTTTCAGCAGCGAGTTTCTATCCATTTATTAAACAGACAGGGTTTTTATTCAGAAGTGGGCTGCCTGAGTGGAATTAGGTTGTTGGAAAAGGGTCAGACACGTAACAGGCACAGAGTTTCTAAGATATAACCACTTTTTTTTCTATCTTTGCATCAAGAAACAAACTGAGACGCTAAATTGTCTGCTAGATTCTGATATTTTAACAACAACAGATGACTTTCTGAACTGTCTGGCTTACCGGTAAGCTTGTAATGATAAGACTGACCCCCTGAGACGCTTTCTGAATGGGATGAATCTTTACAAGCTTTGAATAAGTGGCTAAAATGAGCTTTAGTCTGTGCATCCCACCTTAGTGGTCAGCTGACGACTCAACAGGGTCTATAAATAGAGATAAAAGGGCTGTCTGTGCTTGTGGGAGGAAGCGCATGGATTGGATGGGTTGGTAATGTTCAGTGAGATACTTGGAAAGGAAAGCAGAGAAGCAGGGAGTCATTAGAGAGAGAGACAGAGAGAAGAAATCAATGTGCAGATCACCACAGCACACGGGCATGAAAACTCAAACTGTATCATCTCCAAAAAGCTAAAAAAAGTAAGCACCACGAAGACAGCAATGATAAGATTTTCCTTTGGGTATCGTGGGCACTTACTACTTTCTCCCTGGAGCGCAGCACCCCCAGTTTCCCAAAGCGGACATGGAAAGGCGAGCACTGGAACGTCCCATCAGGCTGTCGCACCACGATCACATCAATGCAGCCTGACAGCGTGGCCTGATTGAGCCCCTTATACAGCTCCTTCACCGTCACCAGCACCTGGCCCGCCAGCTGCCCCACGTAGTTCATGGTGTCGACCTGTTGACAAAAACGCTCTTTAACAACAGCCACAATGCACTCCATCTAGATCCCGCAAGAAGGCTTAAAACATACCTGGATTACTGAACGGATAAAACCTCACGCTACTGTCTTTTTCAACCTTACAAGGCCGCTGTCCTAGAAGTCAAGTTCCTGTTATTCAAAATAGTCTGCAAAGGCAATGCTGGCTGGTCTCTAAGCACAGCGGTTCTGTCCCACTTCCCTCAAAAAAAAAGAGTCCTGAGCTGAGGGAGGCTAAATCAGGCGATGACAAACCAAAGAGAGCAGGCTGAGCGGGTAACACACTTTGGAGTAATAAAGTTCCCAATTGTGATCAATAAAGCCATCTTTACGGGTTATTTTCATGACATTTATTACTCTAATAACATGTTAATAATAGTGCAGTTTTGTGCATCATATGCAAGTTGGTTGGATTCATAAATCACTCCCTTGCCTGCCCTTCCCTTTGGAGAAGCTTTTCAAGGACAAAAAGCTCCTGTGATGCTTCTTAAAGATTGTCAAGTATCTTATTTTTTCCCTTCAAAAATGTCTCTACCTATTTAAACTTATTAAAAACAAATCATTTTCATATCCAGGTGGTTTCACACTGATTTAAACAAAAGATGAATATCTAATTTCATTCTTATCAAGTTTGTTCAGCTTCTAAAATCTACACACTGCACCTTTAATGACTCAGCCGTTATCTACCCTGGTTACTGAGTCAGGTTATCCTCGTGCTTCAGTGCCACAGTGACCCAATCACTCTGAGTTCATGAAGCTATAGCCTTATTGTACTTTATTACTACAATAAACATGAGTTAACAGAAGCTTAGATTGTGTATAATAAAAGTTTTGCATGTCCAGGACAGCAGAGGCATCAAAAAAACAAGATAACTTGTGACATCGCTCTGCTGTATAGTTCAAACTTTATGCTATACTATGACTCTCACTTGTTATGAAATCTTTCCTTGTGACAATACGCTGTTTTAAACAACAATAAACATACATTTTTGATGAAAGTAACAAAGTTCAGACAAATTTAGCCTAACCTGATCCTCGTCAGGTTTGTCAGGATTGTTTTTTGTGTATCTGCGGCATGAACTTAGTACACAACTTTACCTCCATGTTGCATTATTCCATTATTTACCAGATTCTTTTATGCAAAGTTACTCCTTATCAAAACCTGGTTGCTCTTCACTTCACCTCATGAATCATGTGGGTGTCATCTTGTGGTTACTTTATTCTGGATTTAGAGCAATGGACTGCACTGATGAAATCAGACCTGCAGACCAGCAGGATGGACTTTGAAACCATTCAGTCTCTAAGACTGCCGATCTCTGTGCAAATCTTTAATGCCCTCAACAGCAGGCAAAGGGAAAAATGGTCCAACGTTAGACTGACTGAAATTAAATAGCTGTTATGAAATGATCACCTCTTACGTAACAGGACTAACAAACATGACAGCTTTTCCTCTCGGCATAATATAAATTTCTAATACATAATCGACTCATAATCACATTACAACTGTGTATCACCAAATCTCTACTGACCTACACGTGTTTGCACGCATATTTATTCATACAAGTTGATTTGGACTTTGATTTGGAGCCTGTTTTTTGCATCATCTTTAAGAAAATCATAACTTGAGGTAGATTTAACTGGTCTCCAATCTAAATTTTAGCTATTTTTGCATTTACAGAGTTAGGAAACATCAATTAAGACGTAGTAAGAAATGGACCTAGAAATAAAACTGGGCCAAGGTTAAAGTTAGAACAAGGATGAAATCAGGGTCAGGTTTACTGGACAGGACAGACAGCAATACTGCACTATTCAAAAAGGATATACCATGCACATTGAGTCAATAACACCCTATTTATGCAAAACAAGACAGCTTTACAGAGAAAATCTCTTAGTTTGTAATTGAAACAGAAACTACAGCTCCCTAACTCACCAGAGTCCAAGGGGACCTCAGGTGCTGGTCACGCTCCAGTACAGGTAACCGCCCTGAGGACTCCATTTTACTCCAACAGGACTGAGCTGCACTTAGGCCTTTTATTCTCCCCTGTCCTCTTCAGCCATGCACCAAGGCTTAAGCAAACCTGTCTAACCCCTCTGATGAAGCACAAACTCTCTGAAGTACCCCCCGAGCCTGAGCCCTAAAACCCTTACATAACCCCTCTTAGCACGGCCCCCCATTACAACAAACCTCAACTGTTGATTTCTACAGAAAAAACAAGGAGAAAATAACCATGAGTTTAACAATCGATAAAATATTTACTCTATAATAATTACAAATTCCTACAAGAAGCTGCATTTCACTTGTCATGCTAGCTCCTGTCAAGCTGTGTATTACATTATGCATTCATCTCCACTGAAGTGCGGCTAAAGCCAACAGGAATCTGGTGAGCTGTTCAGATCACAAGCTAAGTTAACCCTGACCAGTAAGTGCAGCGGCATGAAAAGTCAAGGAGCACTCAACATATTTCCGTACATTCAGTGGACATCATCAGAGGGTAACTTTACCAAGCTAAAAATAACAGTGCTAACATGCTCAGGCTGCTCACTCAATACTGTGCAAGCTAGCTAGCATTATTTTGGAGCATAGCATTGTATAATTACACCAGGATCGTGTTGGGATACATGAGTGATTTGGCAACTATGACTGGAGTATAATTCTCTCCTACTCAGGTGTAAACAAGAATATACAATGCCAGATCTCAGAGTGCAGCATGTTTCGGTAGTATTTTGATGTCAGAAATGTAGATAACATTGTCTGTTGTCCATGTCTGGTTAAACTGGAATATAGCCACTCACCCAGAGGCATGTGCACCCAGAGCAGGCGCTTAAGAAGCTGCTTCTCCAAATTTGATTATTTGACCTCACATTTTGAGTGTTTTAGAGGATTCATCATGGCTTAAATTTAGTCTGAACAAAAAAGCAGTGACTCATTTTCCCATAAAGTTGAAATTATTACCCCTTGCATTTAGTTTTACGACATTGTTTCTCAAACAGGAGCACTTCTACCCCTTGAGGTACTTTGGAGACCTGCTGGGTTTTTGAATTTTCCTCTTAAAGGTGGGGTAGGCAGGATCTGAGGAAGTGCCAGTTTTTTGGGAGAAACTCTACCCCTCCCAACCAGTTTTCCCCTCAGCTCCTCCCTCTCTGCTCCAGCAAACCCCGCCCACAAACAGACGCTCCTGCTCGCTCGTATCGTTCCAATTAAATTCAGATATAATGCAGATAAATACTTCAGATAATTACAAACAAGGCCCAGTCAACATGAAATTAAAGAGCATTGGTGTTACTGTAGACGCCAACAGACGACCAACAAACACGTTTGCAGGACTTCTACAACTAGGATAAAGTGACATAGACCAGGACCCGAGGTAAACAGTTTGACAAGAAACACTTCTGTTACAGACACTTGGCTTACTTTGTTAAAGCGGTTTACCTGTCCAGCAGAAGGGTCACAGATCCCAAAGCATCCCCCACCTTTTAATCACTGATGTTAACCCGCCTTTTTAGCTCTTGTCCGGTCTACCTCGTTTTTAAGCGCCTGTTATTCCGCCAGAGTCTCCGGTATTTACTTCATTTTCTTGCTTATGTTGGCAGTCGTGGCCAAAGGAGGATTCTGACAATTTTTCATACTTTCTGGTTGGTTTCTACTGTCCGATATTGTAGCACGCTAACTGTGTTTGGGCTTGTTAACAACACGGGGAGCAGCGTCCACCTCACAACCAATCAGGTCGGAGGAGGCAGAGAATGGCTTTATTTACAGTCCGAAAGAGCGGACTGCTCAAAAGATTTAAAATGTTGACTACACAGACATAACAAAACACAGCAGCATCGTTATATTCCCAAATGTCATCAATGACTAATAGCGATTGACTGATATTAAAAGCTTTTTTGTATATAAACCAAAAGATGCTTCTTTAACAGAATCCTGTCTACCCAACCTTTAATGTGATTCTTGTCATCCTTCTATAGAGGCGTTTCAAAACCAAAATAAGCACTGGTCAGGGGCTTCTTGCTGAAGTTGTAGAGCACCTCTCCTGTGACACAGCCTGATAACAGTATCACAGTGTTTACACTCCGACAGTATTATCAGCTTCCCCCTGCAAACCACAGAGCATTATCAGCTGAATGTCCAATACTCTTTTTAAGGGACAAAGCAGAAGTGTCTGGATGATTATCATCAGCCATGATTGGACAAAAAAAACCAGCACAAACAGATCTCTCTACTGAGCTGACTTCATACTGTCTGCACTATCTACGCTCCGAACCAAATTTAGTAAAAGCCTCAACTCCCACAGCTCTTCACCTAGACCCCTCCGCTCCGCTGCAGCTCTTCAAGCCTGAATACAGATAAAAAAGTGTGATGATGATCTACTGTTTTCTGTGTGGGTTTAAAATTATGGAGAACAGCTTCCAAACTACCGACCAATACAAACTCGGTCCAGGAAAAACAGCATGTACAGACTCTATGATACTAAATGGACTTCACACATTAATGTGAGGTTGTTTGGAAACAACAAAGATGGCGGTACATCGGTCACAAGGGTGTTAAACTATCTCAACAGTGGTTCAAATTTTTCAAACTCACAATTAGTTTAACTTCACCTCCTAAAAGGTCACCATCTTGCACCATCATGTTGCTATGGTAGCAGTACGAGAGGTTTTAGATGACAAAAGCTTGACAAAATGAGGGTCACATTCAGGAGCTTCTTGTCCTCCAAGGCCACCATTGCTACACCAGTAGGGAAGGTTGAGCAATGGAGCGTTTCAGGGACATGACCTCTAGATATTTCAAAATATTCTCGTTTCAACACACTTTACCTCTAAAAGGTGCTTTGATCAGCACCTTTTCGTGGACTATCCACTGATAATCCTGTCAGAGAACAATTTCTATCCTGTTCATTCAAGTTAATTATCTTGTGAGACGAGGATATTGTCCATCAACACTTTTTAGAAAATATCACCAAAAACAACAACCATTTTCTTTTAATTTTTCAGCTGTTGAAATTTTAAAATGTATATCAGCTTATTCACATCTGTATTTAAAATTTAAATATTATACCAAAAATAAGGACAACAATTTTTGGTTGTTGTACTTTTACTTTCTATCCTGTTCATTCAAGTTGTTTATCTTGTGAGAAGAAGATATCGTCCATCAAAACTTTTAAAAAAGTATCACCAAAAATAACAACTGTTTTGTTTAGTTTAGTTTTTTTTTTCAAATTTTTAAAATGTATATCAACTTATTCACATTTTTGTTTAAATGTTAAGATATTCCCAAATTAAGGACCACAGTTTTTGGAAACTGTCATAGAGGTTGTTATACTTTCACTTTCTATCCTCAACATTAAATTGGTTGACTTGTAACAACATAATAGCTTAATGTCATAAATTATAGTTTAAATTAAAAATACAGATGTTTTTGAGGATAAAGTGTATTATCAGAAATGTCTAAAGATGTCCATGCTCTTAAATCTTTTTTTGCCACATTACAAAATCGCCCCAGAACACCAAAACAAATCCAGCAGACCCAGATCTCACCCTGAGAAGATCTTAAGAAGGTGTTAATCCTACTTAGAAGATTAGTACAAATCTAGCTTTCACTGTCCCTGCACGTTTGTCTATACCTGTTTGTCCAACGTGATTCTGAATAAACCACTGGTTTGTTTGACCATTATTGTCAAACTCAGTCTGCAGATTTCTCATTTCAGTCACCATTTCCTGAGAAATTAAGTCCTCTAATAATGACTCAGCTGATTTTGTATGAGCTGTGCAATGAGAGCTTTGGCTTCAAACTGTTTGTCTCTTTCTTTACATAAACCAGTGCTCTGTCTTAGTTAACATAGAGTTATGTAAAAAGAGAAATGGGGCAAATGTTTACATCAAGAGTTTGAAACCAGGACAAGTATTTACAGCCTCTGAATCACAGTCATTGAATTACACATATTTTTGTGCCTTTGGCTGTATGGACTCAGGGGAAAATATAAAGTATCTCCTGGTATGTTTCAACACTTAATACTCTGAGTATTGCAGTATTATACTGACCTATATAACAGAACCTCTTGTAGGCTATAAGGACTACTCGTTATTCCTAACAAAGTCAGATGAGGTCAGAGGAAGACTATCAACCTCATACAGGTGTTTATATTATTGTCAGAAATGTTGTCATACCTGCGCACGAGCCCCTGAAAGTGACGTTTCGTTTTCAGGTAACGTTTCACCAAAGTAGTTTCGCCCTCAGTGAGTTTAAGTGACACCGTTAAATGACCTCCGTTAAAAGAAATAACGTTCACGCACAGTCGTAAATACTCGGTTTAGACGTCAATGTTCACGTTATAACACATAGAAAGAGTCAGAATAGGACTCACATCCCTTTACATTAGTCGATAGATGAGTTAAAGGACTCCATTACCGGGAGCTACTGTAACAAGGACAGAGAAGCGATATTCGAGATATTTAACTAGTTAGAAACACACTTTGACTTCTTCTGTGAGCTAAAGATACTGAGGATAACAGTTCATGAATGATAATTTCCTTTACCTGACGGAGTACAGAGGCTCGCCCGCAGGCAGTCGCACCTTCATTCACTTCCTCCGCCGGTACTTTGTTGGGTCCTCTCTCTCTCTGTCTCTCTCACTCTCGGAGCTGACGCGGACACCACAGCACGTGACCGTATAGCGCCGGGGCTGCACGTGATTACAGTGGAGGATAAGTTTAGTATTTTGGTTTATTATTTACAGTTTTTTTCATAAATCACTTCAGGGACTAATTTCCACCAAAATAAAACTACAAATATGGAGACTACGTGCAGAGTGTATCTTCATACTTAAAGCTGACGTACAGTTTCATTATTCTACATTAGGGGAGAGTGGGGTAAGTTGAGCCACCCACTGTTGCTTGGAAATGGTAAAAGAAATTGATCATGTGACCAAATATTTAGGAGATGGGCATCAATTCATGGAGTCTGTGAAGGTTAGAAGCACATGGGTGAAGGGATTATACATGTATGTTCAAAATAAACAATTATTTCACTCTTGAAAGTGAATTTAGTCTGTCATAAGTTTTATTAGAATTGTGTTCAGACCAAAAAAGATCATTTTAAATTTGTTTTATACATCAACTGTGGTATCTATGAGCTACAACATGAGGTCAAAAAATAGCATAAAGTCCACCATTTTAGCTTAGAGGACTAATAAAGTCATCATAGTAGTTCTGGGGTAAGTTGAGCCAGAGTTTCAGTTCAGTTTGTTGAAATGTTTTACTTTTTCTTTACAAAAATACAGCTGTGAAAGTTCTGAATCACTTAAAGACATTCTCATGTTAAAATGGAGTTTTACAAAACAGCTTTTTAGCAGTTATATGCAATAAAAATAAATATTGTTCCAGTTGAATATTATATAATAGATAAAAATACACATGAATGGGAAGAAGTGACTGTTATTAAGGGAGAGAGAGGGTGAGGGCTGGGATACGGCTCAACATACCCTGCTCCTATGCTCATCTAACCCCACACACAGGGTAAGTTGACCATAGGAGACCACTTTTTTGGCATGCTATAATATCAAGACAGTTATGTTTACACTCAATCTGTTGGTTTGCAACATCTTGAAATATATGCAGATACACTAGTTAGAGACAAAACCATGATTGTCTTGATGTAGTGATCCGAAATATGAAAAATGGCTCATCTTACCCCACTCTCCCCTATACATTTAACAATTAGGCTACACTGTTACTCCACCAGTTTCTTCATATAACAGGCTGCGGCTGCCTCGGTATACAAACAACGTAAGTGACACTTTAGGCTGTCACTGGTGGTTAGTAAATCCCCTGACCACTCTTCATAACAGTGCGCAACTTTACCTCAGAGTTACAAAGTGAAACAAAAACTATGCAGTTTGAGGTTGTGGTAATTTACCCATCCGTGGGAACTTCTTCACAAGACTCAACTTTTCCTATAACTTGACTGTTTTACAAAAAGGTGAAGATGTGGCGGCCACAGAGCCACAGCACAGTGTACCAATCTGAGAGTGAAATTCTCTGTGCTGATTAACAATCAACAGTAACCTCAAGTTCAAGCACTTGAAACTTCTTGATTTCAGTCCTTAAACTAACTGATGATATCTCAGCTGCTTTTTCTAGCTTTTTAAACTTTATAGTCATCTTGTTACTTTTAAGATTAAGTTTGACCCAGCAGTTACACGAGAATATACATATAGTTGTCTTAATCTGATCAGAGAAGGACCCCCGGGGGAAATTTATATTCACCGATTGTTATAAAGCCTGTTTTAATGTAATAGAGTTATTTATTGCATTCCTTTTAGCTGAAATGAAGTGCAGGAAATGAACAATGATAGCAAGGAAGTAGATTTTCCATGCTCTGCATTTTGGGTCAGAGATCACAATCAGCTGGGTATCGGATGTCTCAGGGATTTGCTCTAGGACTGTTTTGCAGAGCGGATGTTTGGCAATAGTTGTATCCTCAGCCAAACTGAAAGCTAATCACCATTTGACTTTTTTATACATAAGTGCATGGGCAACATATCACGTACTCTCTCTGAGAGGAAGTGAAAGTTTCAGTTCCTCAAAAAGCATCAGCTGAGTCAAACTGTTGCTGTTTTTTAAGTAGGTACTTCTGAGGCAAGTAGGTTTTCTGTTTGTCTGGGAGGCTTAATAAAAATGACCTAGATCTAAAAACATATATACTCAGGGAAATAGAAAATAACAAAGGTTTTTTAGCTCACTTTAAAAGGTTTGCATGTAGATCTGCTAAATCACGTCTACTCTGAGCCTGAGAGGACATTCAAATTAATTCTGCTTTGTTTCACACCAAGAATTTCCCATGTTTTCTTTGTCCTCCCCTCCGCCAGGCAAGTGCATGACCTCTGCAAGCCTGCAAGCCTTTGTCACTTGCTATTTCTCAATCTTTTTTTGAAATGTATTCTAATAAAAGTCAATAACTAAACCAACAGATACAGACTTTTATTCAAACAATTATGTAACAGATTCAAACAGTTGATAAGATATGAAAATAAACTGCAGGTAAAGCATGAAAAACATGGTGTGCAGTACTCATATGGATTCAATAAGATACAGTTTCTTTCACAAGTATGTGGCACATTATCACACACAAGAGCACAATGCAAGACAAAGTGGAGTTAAGTAAAACACACACCAATCACACTCAAGTTTCTGTGAAGCTTTATGTATAAACGTGAGCTCTCAACACTTCTCTCCTCTATTTTCACTCCACTAGTTTGAGGCAGTTTCAGCTCCTGCCTCACGCTCCTCCACCGTGTCTCCAGGCTGGGCAGGGGTCTCTGATTGTTCAGCAGACAGGAGGAGAGGCTCAGCGACTTCCTCTTCTGCATCTCCTGTTTGTTCTGGAGTTGTAGCTTCGGGTTCCTCAACAGCATCGACAGGAACCTTTTCTATATCTTCCTGCTGTTCAGCGTCTTTGTTGTCTTCAATGTTTTCCATCGGGAGGGGTTTAGTCACGGATTCTGTTAGAAAAGTTAAATCACAACATGATTCAGCATCTCAGAGGGCAAATTAAACCCACATTTCTGTTCGCCCCCTCTTACCCTTTCGTTTCTGAGTTTTTGTTTCAGAGCCTGGAGTTTTCATCCTTTCCTTTGGGGTGTTTGGGCCGAACTTGACGTTACCTTCTTCATCGGTCCAATAAGAAGTCACTCCTAAGTCAGGTGTTCCTTCAATGATCTCAAGCTAGGAGATCAAAACACCAAAGTTAGATTTCAACATGCGAAAAAATGTAATAATTATAATCACATCATTCAAGGAACAATGTTCACTACTTACCAGAAGAGTTCAGAGAAGTCAGATATAACATAATCCAGAAAGCCTGACAAACTTTCATGATAGATTTATAAGAAATATAATAATTTATAACCAAATTAATTTTACTGTAGCATCAACTTTTATGCTCATATTGCATCCAGCAGATATTATCCAAATTATTTATCTAACACACAAGGAAATGTAATGTCACATGATCAATTAATCATGTTTTTATTATCAGTTAAGTAAATTTTTCTGTATTTTTTCCAATGTTATACCATATTTCAGATTGTCCGTGGGGTCATGTCAAATAGGAGCCACGTTTCCTCTGTAGAAATTGGTGCCATTTACCCCAAATGCTCTGCTGTCATTGTCAAATACCCTTGAAACTCTTAATATCTTTGGATTCCTGCTAAACTATTATTTGTTGTTGCCTCTATAACTGGTTTCCCAATATTCTCAATTACCCAGAAGGCTTACTGAGTTATCTGAAGTAAGAATATAAAGAGCCCCTTTACATAAGTCCAGTAATGGTGATTATTTCTATCACATGGGTAGAAGATAGTAAGTCCTTCTGTGAAGGGGTTGTGTTCATTCTTTCCTACCCAGTGTGATGAACTATAAGTGTTCACTTCTGGCTTAAACTCTGTAAAGGTCCTTTCACACCGGGAGCGTTTTTTTTTTTCGTGCGATTATTTCAGACGTCAATATTTTTTTTCGAATATCCTGTCAATACAAGTGTTCACATCAGCGACGTTTTCCCATCCTGCGATATTGCTGCATTTATTTTTTTTGGATCACAGTCAAGTTTTCCAAAGTTTCACATACTGTGTGTCCACTCCTGAGCAATCAGATTTCATGTTGTTGCGACGTCTGATTCACCGGTATATCCAACATGGCCGACCGGCTGATTGTTTACGTGTTGGAGAACAGAGTGCTTTTTGATAAAAAAACACAAATATTACAAAGATAACAACCTGAAGAACAACTTGTAGAGAGTCACGGCGTCAGATCTCTCATATGACAATAGTTTTCGTGCTTTAACAGTTTGCTAAACGTCTTTGTTTTAACTTTCATCTGTGCTAAGTAACTTTAGCTCGTAAGCTAACCTGTTCAGATACAACATACCATATGTATTTTCACTGTCTCAAACTCAATCGTGTTGCTGTCAAAGCACCATTCGGTCTTGGTTGTTACCTTACATTTATGGATTATAGTTTAATGTGCTTATCTGGTACTGGCCCTGACTCAGTACATGCTATCATGACAGACAGACATTTCAACACTAGTGTCTGAACAGAACTGAAAAAACAGTCAGTCTGCTGTTGTGTCAGTCTTCATGCTTCCACCCGGGACGTGTCTTTCCCCCCCGGAAAGTTGCATCGCATTGCGCTTGATGTGTATAGTCAGGCGCGTCAAAATTAGCCTCCGAATATTTCGTAATTTCGCATCGTATATTTGCATTGGTCCCAGTGTGTAAGGACCTCTGTTCTGATAACATAATAATAGATACTAATGTGGTAGCTGTGATTTAGCCAGTAAAGCAAAATATGGTAAACCAATCCATGTCATCACAAAAATGTTTGATATTAAATCTGGGACTGCATGTGGATAAAAAGCCTTCGGGTTTGGTGTCAAGATTTCTAAAATTCATGGATTCACTAAGATGTGACTGTCGGTCCTGTTTTTTTCTGCCCTTGATTTTGATGTCAATCTTTTGTGGTCCACATTAAGTTTTATGTACCTGCCATGTTCTGCTGTGTAGGTAGAAGATTATATAACTCTCGGCACAGAACGTAAACAAAATTGTGAGAAGATTTTGTCTCAATTTTGTTTGAATTTTTTTCAGACTATCCAAAAATACTTGAATCAGAATGAAGAAGTGTAAACCATGCACCTTACACATTAATACGTACTGTAAATATTGTTCATCTGTTCATAAAATAAGGCTCATTACTGTAAAATCATTGGATCTACTTGACCGAACAACAGGGTGGTTGATGCATGTGCTTGTGAACAGACAGTGCATTAGTTTTCTCTCCGTAACAATCAGGCAAGGTGAAGTTTGTTGTCTGTTGGTGTCGTCTAGAGGTGAGTTCATTTAGTGTAATTTCTTTTCCACTTATGACAGTAGAGAAGGGGTTTGTGTCCATGCTGGTCGATCTTCATGCTGTCCAGACCTACAGAAGAGTTGTGACTGGGAGTGAACTGAAACCAGAGAGTGAGCGGTGAAGTTTCAAACCAAAGTGAGACCAGAAGGAAGAGAAGGAGAGGGAAGTGGGGAGATACATGCTTTGTTTTTTTATTAGTCTCATTGAGAAACAGGGGAACAGGAAGTGATGCAACAGTAAAAACTGTGTGATCTGACAGTCTTCATTACAGTGGCATCATCATCGTCAACATTATCACACATAAAGGAGGCATCGTAATCATAAATAGAGGACTGTTGAGGGGATGTGTAACAATGATGAGTCACGACACAGACAGTGCACAGACAGCGTTCACTACAGACAGGGAGGTCAGGGAAGTGATGATCACGATCACAACATTCAAATGACGGTGAATTATTACAAAACAGGACTTCATGTAAACTCTGATGAAATGGCACATCACATTAACGTCATGTTTTCGCCCTTTTGTGACAAATTTTGTGAACTCTGATGTAATTTTCTCGAAAGTTTTTTTCAAAGTCACTTTAGAAAAAAGAAGAAAAGTATTCTGACTCTTCTGAAGCTCAGTTATTACAATCTGATTTGCTCCAATTCACAACGAGACATTTCTCAAAAATATCTAAGCAGCTTTTTCCCGCCTTTTTTGGAGTCACGTTTTGAGAAATGTTCGAGTTACACTTTTCGAAATACTCACTTAGCATCATCTTATCGGCCATCCTGTGCGAGTAACACTGAAATCATATGGCCCTCGATATGATTTGTCTTGTTTAAACACATTTTCTGTTTTTATTGACAATATTTCAAGTCTTAAAAATTCTTTCCCTATCGTATTTAATTGCACTAAAAGACTAGAAATTTGCCCAGATCATTTTAGTGATATTGACTATTTTGAAATTTCCAAAGTTCACAAAATTCTCGATAAATGGGATAAAACATGTCAACTGTTTATTTGGCATTATATCTGACATTCAGTGCTAACTTCATTATTTAATTTAAATTAACATTCTTTCAATAAAAGTCCTTCAGAATAATTGTTACTTCTGCTGAGTTATGTTGTATTTTTTCTCATGAAACTAACCAGGTAAACTTAGTTTGGCTTTTTTCAGGCCATAACCACACACAGACATTACCAATAACATTTTTATGATCGATTAGATCTGTTTTCATTGGACCAAATGACTGCACACTTACTATAATTTTACTCATACTCACACGTTGTTTGTTCTCTCTGAACTGTGTCTCATTTCATTTCAGATTCAGCACCTCTAGAGTTAATTTTTTATCCTACACAAAACATCTAACACATTCCTCAAGTCTTTTTTTTTCTGAACTGTTTCCAGCGTTTTTCATTTATACATATTTACGACAAGATTTGGACCGCTTTTACTTTTTCTTGCCGCCCGCCTCTTCAGGGATGAAGACACTTACGGTGAAGTCCGCGCTCTCTGTGCCGTACTTGTTCTTCACCAGGATGCTGTACTTGCCAGAGTCTGACGTGTTCACGCCAGTCACGGTGAAGCTGGCAAACTTGCCGGATGCAAACTTTAGGATGCAGTGATCATCGGACGTGATCTCCCTGTCGTTCTTCAGCCAGGTGACCTCTGGCACGGGGTCGCCAGAAATGTTGCAGGTGAGATTTAGAGCCTGAAAAGAGAACAAAAACAACACCCATGACACCAGGGAGCAACAGAAACAGATTTTTGAGCAGATAGCAGTAGATGACCAGATGTCTCCGATTTCTGTGGCTAGTCCCTGTATTGGATGACCTGTCCTCGGCTAAAGCTGTCCCGGGAAATGTCCCAGATTTAAGCGTTTCATGAATGAGAGCAAAAATGTTGTGTGTAGACTAGAACAACGATTATTATGGTAGCTGAGTTGATAGGAAGCACGAGTAACCCCCAATTTCCACCACATCCAGAGCGGCTACGAAAAGGCAATATCCTCCAATCGCAGCCGATCGTAACGATCTAAGTTCATGTGTCAATTTCCACCGGCATCTTTTCATTCCGCTGCGGATTGCCAGACACCGCAGCTAATCACAGGAGTTCTACTTTTGCACGCAGTCCTGAAAAAACAGTTTTTACGGGGGTTATCATGGGGTGCGTGCGCCGCCACTAAGTAGTACCAAGAGGTTATCTGTGATCATGCAGCCGATGCCCCCCCACACTCTGGATGTCCCCGAATTTCATTACAGAAATCTGGTCACCTTACAGTGGAGTGACTGGTCAAGTTTACCTTGCCCTCCTGTATGGTGACCACATCAGGCAGGCCTCCCGCTACTCGAGCACGATCTGGAAAAAAGAGTGTGAATTACAATAGAAATATTAAATAATCAGAAATTTTATGAAGTCAAAGAAAGCAACAACACAACTTTAACACCTTGTAATTAGCAGGATAATGTGTATTCTGCAGGATGAGCTAGACCCCTCTGCTCACCCTGTATTGGTTCTGTATGTTACAACAACCTGCTCATTATACATGATCTCTTCTATGATCCCTTTTAATAGTTTTAGTTAAAATACAAGTTGCATTAACTATATTAAGACTGTTTAAATCCGGCAAACATAAACACAGCGCCAATAAAACATCACTTACTTCTCTCTGCAATGGCAGCAGCTCTGAGCAGGTAAAAAAAAGAAAGGAGGAAGTTTAGAGTCAATCTTCTACAAGTGTTTCCTCGTGAAAAAGCTGTGGGTTTTATTCATGTGTTTTTATTCTGTGGCCACATTGAGCTGTGTTGTGTGACTTACTTGAGTCTCTGGAATTCTGCGAAAGCATCGTCAAATGCTGCGAAACAAAAGGAGATTATGAGAATCTGGGTCTGGTTTATTGGCAAACAAAGTTGCGCAAGAGATTCAGCTTTCATAAGAGACACTGAATCAAAAAGAGAAGAAAAGCAAAAGATTGAAGGGAGGTAACAAACTCCCTGATGGTCTCACCTTGACCAGACAGTTCAACAGTCCTCCTCAGGCCACCTTTTCCATCGTTGAACTCGATGGCGTATTTGCCCATGTCTTTCTCTGTGGGCTCTTTGATCTGGAGCCACAGCTGCTCTCCCACCACTCCGCTCTTGATACGGTCAGAGAAGGCGATGGCAGAATCCCTGACAAGAAACAAGACAGCTGTGTGACATGGAAACAGGACTACAAGTTTACGTGTTCACATTGATAGAAAGGTGGATTAAGAACGTACTTGTAGTGCCATGTCACCTGCAGTAAATCATTATAGTAGCTGACGAAGGTGTAGAGTCGGATGCCCTCATCTGTGCTTGTGATCTTCAGGGGAGTGGAGGAATTGGCTGGAATGAAAATAAAAACCACAAAGAGGTGATTCAAGGATTTATTTGCAGTAAGATGATTAATTAAGATGAACAAAGGGATCATCTTATCTTACCAATATAACTGAAAACTTCATTCATCAAGTCTTTGAAACCTGAGAGGATAGGAGACAATTCATGCTGAGTGATTTATTCTCTCAAGTCAAAAAGTGGTCGTTTTCTTCCCTGTGGATTCAGTGGGATTACCCTGATCTGTCAGATTCAAAGTGGATGTGTCCTTCCCTCTGTCATCCTTCAGGACCACCTCGTAAACACCAGAGTCCTTCTTGGAAATCTGACAGAGAGAGCAGGAGGGTCAGATTCAGGCGCAACACGACTCGCCAAACAAGAAAATGATTTCAACTGATCAGAAAAGTCAAACTTTTCTCTTCTGCTATGGGTGCTGCAGAACACACACATACTGTATATATATATATAAGACGTAAAAGCAAGAAAGCAAACGGACGGACAAACAGAAACAGACGGACAAACAGAGAGCAATCGCAGGCAGAACAACAAAACCAGAGGTGGGCGTCGGCCCAAGGTGACAACAGAAATCTGATCCCAACTTTTAGTGTTCTCCAGATTACGCTGTCGGCATAGTCTGCTGTGTCTGCAGGGGAGTCGCGCTGAAATGGGACACATGTGACATCAAGTTTATACATGTGAGAGCGAATGGATGGATGTCATGTGACTGAACGCCACTCGGACAGACGTTTAGAGACAGAACAGTGGGATGGGGATGAAGTATGAGGTAAAGGGAGGAAAATAAGTTTTTAGGAGACAACAATCACTAAAACAGAAGAAGACAGGAGAAGGAGTTAATGACAGCTTCCTGAAAAAGTTGGAGCTCATTCTGTATCCAGAAGTTTCTCAGTAAAATAATATCAAACAACTTTCTTTTGTCCACTTTGGTTTAACTTACTTAATTCCTCTGAAGGATCCATATATTTTTTTTGCTAGGAGTCGCTGTTTACATTCACATATGCAAATGATTTCAACAAGTGTAAGGCACAGAGAGAAACAGATATATTAACATATAAACACACATAAATTTACACTTAGTAGAAGTTTCCCTTGCTTATTCTCACCTGAGCTATCTCCAGTTTGAGCACCCCTTCAGTGAAGCCCAGATTGTTGTCTGATTTGATCTCACGTCCGTCTTTGTACCACAGCGCTGTCGTCTCCTTCTTCATGTTGCCCACCTGAATGAAAATGAAGTACAGGAGGTTTAGAGACGAAGACAAACTCTGTGATTTCTTTTGAAATAGTGCAAAGTCTTTAAAGTTTTATCTCACCTTGCATTTGAGCACAACGCAGCACTCAGGTGTCACCTCATAACCCAAATACTCGATAAAGTGGGGACCTGGGGCACAGTTGATAAAATGGAAATCATGATGAAAATGATACTCAGTGCAAACAAGAGTTTAAACCAATCAGATTAAAGCTGAAATAAACAAGACCTTATCTTTTTACAACCCTTTTTGAAGGATATTAAACCATTTATAAGGTAAATCATTAGATTAGATCTCTTTTTTTAAATCATCAATCCATTGGTGATGAGGTGAGATAGTTATAGAAGAACTTGAATTGTCAGAGTTCAACAACAGTAGAGTTAAAGTTTGATAACAGCGCTCAAAGTAAAGGTTTATTTGAGGTATTCAAGTGCCTTAAAAAGCCAAATAAAAGTGTGTCAAAATTAAAAACAAGTTCAAGCCCAGCAAAAAAAGAATGATTATAATTTACAATGATGAAAGTTTTTGATTGTGTACTGCAATGTAAAGGAAACTAAGAGTAAAACTGATACTTAATGTAGCTCTATGGAGTAATGATGGAAAAAAAAAAACAACTTTGAGAGTGAAAATGAAAGTAAAAGTAACATTCACACTTGACATTAACAGGTATATTGGATGAGAAATGCTGCAAATTACCTTTGAGATTGAATATAATTTTCATATCATATGCTGGCAAAATATAGTCCATTATATCAAGCACAGTTACACACAATATTATGAAGTGTTGTATTGCACAGTATTGGAGGGTAATGGGACTGTGGTGCTCACCTTGCTTTCTGAACCACTCTTTCCTCTGGAACTCTGATTCCTTCTGCAGCTCCTTGAAAACTACAGAGAAAAACAGTTTTTAACACGACGATCATACAGTTCAAATTAAAAAAGCAAGAAGAGTAAAGAAAATATTGAAGTAAAATAACCAAGTAGTATTTCTTTTGGTCTATGTTGGAATAAAATGTTAATAAAATAGAGGATCTTCAATTTTACTTTTTTTTAACAGGTTGATGTTACTTTATTATTTCATGTCTATTTTAGACAAATTTCTTTTATATTTGTTTTGTTTCTTTGTGATATCAGGGTTTTGACTCCTGTAGTTTTGCTTATTACCTATTTTCCACCTTTCTATCTCTTTCCTAGTGAAATTCACCAAAACATCGAGTTTATTGTTATTTAACTGTGCGTATGAAACCTACTTTGAGTCCTTTTAACATGCTTTGTCGCCCTCTAGTGTTCAGAGCTGTGTGCTGCATCATAACTGCTCCTCCTGAACAGGTTTTGAAGTTAACCCTTGTTTCTAATGGAGTTACTAACGACTGATCCCCTTAGTTTTTGACCTAAAATCATCTCTCAGTTCCCTCAAACTTTGCCCTCGATGGTGAAATCATCAAACTACACACCGTCTCCTATCAGGACCAGACTGGACTGGTTTGTAGCTTTCCCATCCTGCATCTGGAAGGTGTAGGTGCCCTCATCTGCTGGAGTCAGAGAGTCCATGGTCATCTCAATCACACCGGTGTTTTTATCGAAGTTCATCTTGTATTTCTGGGAAACAAATAAAACCACATCACTGTAGACGATGAGACGGATTTTTAATCTTGACAAATAAATTGTAAGTTTGTTTTGATTTCTCTGACTGACCTCTCCCTGAGAGAGAGAGTTGTCATTGAAGACGTAATCCACTTTGCCGTTTGCTGAGATCTTCTCTGCCTGCAGCCAGAAGCGAACTTTTCCTTTTTCCTGCAGCTCCACAGCCAGCTCTGACTTCAGGGGGATTACTGAAAACAGTGAAAAAGACGAGTTCCCCTTTTATCCTCTTACATTAGTTGCACAAACTTGGAGTAAAAGTATATCTATGTTTTAAACTGTATATTAGAATTACAGAGTAAAAATTGGATTTTACAGATAAATGCTGAGATACTCACTGGGGAATTTGTGGTCGTGGCTGATCTCCAGCAACCTCTTCAACTCTGTGCAAGACATAAAACACAAAAGGTTGACATAATTTTCCAGGATTTTCTTCTCAAACATGTTTTTTTCCAGGTCCTTGTACCTTACCTTCCTCAGAGAGAGTGTAGCTGGATGAAGCACCATCAGTATGAGTGACGATACAAGAGTAAACACCGATGTCCTCCTCTCCGGGAGCGTTGAAAACAGCTTTGGATCTGCAGAGGAACACAGTTTTAGAAGTTATGAATATGAATATTTAGTGAGATTCAAATTCAGCCATAATGAGACCTCACTTGTTCCCCTTGGTCTCGATGGTCATGCGGGACAGGTCTGACATTTCCTCGTAGTTCTTGGACCACACGAATTTGGAGTCAGGGGTCAAGTCACTGCATTCAAAGTTCAGGGAGATGACACCGTCATCATCGACGTCCACAACGATCTCCTTTGTGCCTGAAAGGAACAGCAGTGTTGAAATATTTGCTTTCACTCAGACTCACCACTCATCGCTGGCGTCATGTTTTTACTCCTACCTGGTTTGGTCACAGCTGGGACCGGCTCTGTGACAGATGAAACTTTACCAACACCGGCTTTATTCTGAGCACGCACACGGAACACATACGACTCTGCTTCCTTCAGGTTCTTTATCTGTGAGATGTGAAAAAAAACAGCAGATCAGACACACCCACACACACACACGGACACACACACACACACACGTCCATGAGTCTCGAAGAGGACGGCGTCAGTCAGAGGTTGGTACCTTGATGTATTTCTTCTCTGTGGCCTTAGTGTTCACTCCTCTCCACGCCTCCTCGGGCGCATCCGCCTCTTTGATGTCGATGTAGAACCCGTTGACTGGGTCACGGCCCTGGTACACAGGTGGTTTCCATAGCAACGCCAGGGAGTCACTTCGCACCTCTCTGATCTGCAGGTCATAAGGAGGTCCTGTGGTCCAAAGCAGAATCAGAAACACATTGAAAACAAACCGGAGACGACAGATGGGTCAGTTTAGTTTTGCTTGTTGTTCACACAGAGAAATGATATGAGGACTTATGAAAAACAGAATTTAAAGTGATATCATCCATGTGCTGGACTACAGTGATATCTTTCATGCTTTGGACGCTGTGCATCATTGAGCAGAGAGATTCATCACACCCTTGTTTGTTTTTTGGGACCTTCTTGTTTACAGGAAACTTAAACACTGGTTACAAGAACAGGAACTTTTCTTACTGTCAGTTTTGAGGGTCAGATCCCCACTGAGAGAAAAGGTATTTAAGTTTGCAGCTTCCTTTACTGAATCTAATCACAAATAGACCTGAGTCATTAAACTCTCCTCAATGAATGCTTTTAAAGTGAAGCTTGAAGGCAAACACATCTGGTTCTATGATAGTCAACAGCTTGTTTTCCTTGTTATTGTATGTTTTTAATCTGTTGTAATCAGAGCTTTTATTGTGTTCGTATTTATAACTGCGTCATGGTTGTTGTAAACTTTGTAGGCTGTGCTGGACACACTCAAAAAAGAGACTCAGTGAGTGAGTTTTGGTTAAATAAAATAGAATAAAAAGATAAAATGTGTTTGTGTGTTCATGTGATGATATGTAATGTCCATGTATATATCATATATGTCACGTCCAAATATATATGTTATTCTTAATATTTATTTACCGTACTATTGCACTGTTTGCACTGCACTAAAGAATCTTTAACTTGTATATATTTGTACCTATTTTATTTTATCGTACCTTTTAATTCTGTTTCTCTACTGCACTGAAAAAGGAGAAGCTCTCCTATCTCATTGTACTCCAGTATAATGACAATAAAGGGCATTCTGATCTGATCTTCTGATGTACTAAACTAATGTCTGGATTAAAGATAAAACTTGCACCAGGATGTGACAACTAGGATTTATGTGAAGAAAGAAAACAGCTGTCTAAAGACGAAATAAGGCCATTAAAACATTCATTTTAGTCACCCTGGTATTTGTGTTCTCTCATTTTAACAAAGAACACAACGTTTGATCATAGTTGGGGTTTCATAGCAAGATCAAAAACCTTTAACATGAATGATATTATGATTTTGAGGACATATTTGCTGAGGATTAAAAAGATTTTTGGGGTTAGCACACCTGGCACAGCGATGGTCCACTCCTCACACAGGAAGGTGTCACTGGGCAGTGATGGGATACCGACACCTGCCATGTTGGCTGCCCTCACCTGGAACTGGTACTTCTTGTTCTCCTTCAGGTCACACACCTGGAGACACAATTGTGAATTTTCTCTTCAGCTCTTGGGAATTAACTGAAGCACTTTTTTTAGCGTAGTGGTGGAGTTAAATATCTGCTTACCCTGTAGGCCCTCTCGCTCACAGCCCTGATGTTGGCCTCGTGCCACTTCCCCGGCACGCCATCGATGACTTCACGGTAATCCACAAAGTATCCTGTGATGTCAGCACCGCCGATGAAGGTTGGCTGTTTCCAGGCCAGCACCATTGAGTCACGCACACACTCCAGCACAGTGATGCCATAGGGTGGAGTGGGAGAGGCTGACATGACAGAAAACCTCAATTAACACCATAATCCATCAGCTGGGGAACGGGATGATGTAATGGGAAACTGCAGCTCTGCTTAGAGGTGATAACTCTTTATTCCCTGGCATGTTTTTACACCTCTTGACAGCTGCTAATATTTACCAACAATTCTTCTTCAATCCTCATAAAAATGGGTCATTTTAGGAGTTCACGGTGGCCTCATGAGGGAGCCAAGCTTTAGTGTCCCATTACTTAAACTCTTAAAACACTGATTGAAAAAGTCTTTGGTGATTTGTGTTTATTTAAAAGACAATGATAAGTACAGAAAGTTGTCAAACCCACAACACAATTGCAACCTAAACCCTCAGATATAACTTTCCAATTGTAGTATGGCTCTTTAACCTGATTATCCATATTCTTCTGTTGTGTTTATTGACATTAAAGTGCAGTCACAAAACATCTCTGCTAACATGGTGATAATTCTGTGGTTCATTACATAGAAGTGGTCATGTGAACTTGATATATCCCAGGAGCATGTCTAACTGGTACCTAAAAGGTCTCAGGTCACAAGTGTCCTGCTCTTGTGTTGGTTGGATGACCCACTTTTCAAGAACAGGGTGTGATTAGGCGGCTCCTGCCATGTTATACCTGTATGTGTGTGTGTGTGTGCGTGTGTGTGTGTTAAGTGCTCCAGGAACTCAGTGTGATGGCAGGATCCCGAGGTGCCGAGTGACAAAGACAGAGCCACCCAGAGTGGGGGGTTGTTGTGGTAAAGTGGTAACGATTGACAAGCGTGATTGTGTTAAATTCAAAGTCTGGTGGTGTTTTACAGTGACTTACCTTTACGAGAAAAACACCAGAAGAGCTTGTCAATGACTTTTTCTGAGAAAGTCTGAAGTTAGCTGATATGTTAGCTAACTCACAATACTGTAAGCAAGTAATCTACACATCTGCTCATGATGTAACTTTGATAACATTTTATTAAAAGTTGTTGAATGCAAACCTTAATTGTAGAATGATAGTTTTTTAAGCTAACAGTATATGAGGGCTGGAAACACTCCCCTCTGTAGGTAGGGTCAGGTAATGCTTCCTGTCCTTATAAGGCCAGGTGTGGGCAATTATACCCTCTTTGTCTGATCCTGGTAGCCGTATGGCAGGACTGCTAGCTGTGTGTGCAGGTAAGAGAGAGCTGGTTATTCCCCTCTGATGTATTTTACGTTTTGTCCATAATTCTCACTTGTGTTTCCTTCATTTCAGATTTAATTGTCAGACTGCTGTTTTGTCTTCTTCCCTGTTTGTCTCCAACCCTGTGTGTCTTTTAATAGTGTGTCCTGTCACAAGTAGGTGTTTTAATTTAGCATAAAGTCTAATGTCCTTTTAGATTTCCATGAAGCACACAGAAATGATTTTGGGGACTTGTTGGATTAACTTCATACAGTAAAATAACTCAGTCTGAGCGTATTGTCAGAGGAAAACAGCAGCCGTATGAATGATGAATTCTGAGGTCAGGGTAAAAATAAATGAACTGATCCTTTTTGTGTTTTTTTTTCATGGTCGGTGAAAGTTTCCCATCCCTGTCCATTGCTCACCTGAAGACTCCCTCCTGGGTCTCGCTGTCCCCCGATTACCTGAGGCGTCTACAGAGAACTTACGTGCCTGCTTGTTTTCAGGCTCATTGACTGTCTGATCCTGAACCTGTGCAGGGACTGGGTCTAAGTGAGCAGCTGTGCCTTTGTCAGTAAGTGAATCAGAAACTGAGTCTGACACAGACTCTGATACCAGGTCTTTGGCCAGGTCAGGGGCCCAGGACACACTGCCTCTCTTGCCCCTTTTGCTTTTACTCTCTGCGGAGTCTGGCCCTGAAGGGCCTGAGCGAGCAGCCCAGACCCCCTCTCTGGATTCAGTGTCAGTCTGAGCTTTATTGCACTTTTGCTTAGTGTCAGGGGGGGACTGGACAGTGTCATGCGTGCCCGTCCAGCGTGGCCTGTGCTCGGTTAGTTGGCCCACGTTACCCCCCGGCCCCATCTCCGGCAACACACCATGAGGGATGCCGCCCCCTACAGGAGTTAGCAGAAAAAGCAAAAAAGAGGCTTTTAAAAAATAAAACAGGCAAAAAATCCTTTCATACAACTCACAGCTGCTTTCAATCACACAACAGTCAGAGAGCAAGAAAAAGACAAGCAGAGAGCAAAACTATTCAGTACATCTACCTATCAAATACAGTAAAATGTCTTCATCTGACCAGGAGTGAAAAATGAAGACAAGATGACCAACGAGTGACATCCGTGTGAGAAAGTGAGTTTATGTGAGATTATGAGAGGACGCATGCAAGAGACAAGAGTCAGCCAGTGAGTGTGAATGTGCAGGCTTTGCGCCAACCCTGTATGAAGAAACACTCTACCTTAGTAATAATGCCAATGCATTTCATCACCTCCTAAAAATCATTTAAGTTTAACAAACTAAAAAGTATTTTGATTCCGTTTCCTAAGAACATTATCAGTATGTTCATGTATGTTCGTGGCAGAGAAACACATTGGCATGTAAACTATGTGTTTTTCATCAGGGAAAACAGAGCATGCCGCTCAACACAAAGCTGGCCAGTGAATGATGACATTCAGAGGCTGAGAGTTGAGTTAGTCATGATACTGAGATTTGTCAGGGAACACTTGCAGGGAATTGTAAATAAAGAGATATTTGTAATTATAAGCAGCAGGATAGGTCTATGTGACAAAGTCCATGTTTTTCTTTGGTCGTATTTTATCATTTATTGACTTCCTATCATGTAAAGGAGTGCAGGAGGAAACTGTTTTTAAAGTTTAATTCCTTAAGTTCTAATTTAAAGTGAGAGTGTCACCTTTATTTTTGGCTCCAGTGTTCTAGAATCCTCCTTCACTGTTGCCATGAAACAAAGTTCTGAATATTCTGTTTTTATATACTTGCTTGGAATCTTAGACAGGGTAATTGTTATGGGACGCTCACACCAAATGTGAGTAAAATCATCAACCTGCTTAATTTGCGCAAATCTAGACACATGAATGAATAGTATTTACTCGCCTCATTCGCGCGTCAATTTGCGGTTATTTCAACCGTCAATTCAAATGGCAGGATCAAGTGATAGACAAAGGTTTTTTTTTTTTTTACAATTTACCAGGTAATCTGACCTCCTTACTCACTTGCCTCCAGGCCGGCTCCTTTTTATTCCGATTTTGATAATTGAAAGGTATCGCATAATTCGGGGCACCAACACAACGACACGATCAGTTTATCTGTCATTTTAGATACCAGTTAATAACTGTCCATTTTCATACCCCACCCATTAACATTCATGCTAGTAAGTTATTGCGACACGGATATCAGCTCAAGTTGAGACATTTTCAGCTCCCGCTCAATTCGTGTTATTCGTGCGACCAGAATAGTAGGAGCGTCTAATTGCGTCTTTGCATTGACTTAACATGTAATTTATTCGCGCGAATGATTTTACTCGCGCAAATAAGCTTGAGTATTTCTACTGTTTTAAACATAAATAATTTGGTTTCATCATCAATTGTTGGACATTGCCAAGTGTTATCCACCCAATAAACTCAAACATAACCTGATCTAGCAGCACTTTATACGTTTGTACTCTGATCTAAAATTCAGTCAGCTGTCAAAGAGGACGATTCCACTGCAGGTTAGCAAAGAGGTTAGGACAGACAAACTTGGAGCAGTTTACAGGAACCGTTGGGGTGGGAGAGGAGCGTGTTGGTACCTTTTAGCACCAAGTGGGGTTGCCGACACATCTTGTGCCCAGGATAGATGGGGGAAAATGGGGGGGTGGTTGTGGTTGTGGTGGTGGTGTGTGACATTGGGCTGGTTTGTAACAACCGCTGAATTGGATCGCACTGACCCAAATTAGAGGAAGTCTACAAGTCCTGACCCTGACCCTGCCTCAGGCTGTGCAGGGAGGTGGAGGAGAGAGAGGGAGGAAGGGAGGTAGGGAGGCACATAAAAGTGCGAAATAACGGGACAGGGTGACAGAGTGGAACCACGGAGGAGAACGTGTGGGAGAACTGATGCTGATGGTATAAAGACATGAAGACAACAGTGGTGACCTAAAACAACAGGTAACAAAAATACCAACAAGAGACATCTGCTCTTTTATTTTTAACAAATATTTCTAACAAAGAGACAAACTTTTTAAACTCAACAACTTTTAAACCACTCATCAGTCTGTGGTGTTGGGTGCATTTCAGCAAACACATTTAACAGTGAGCCTTCAAGTCTAGTCGGTGGTTTCAGACTAACAATTCCCAGAAGTCCCACAATACAATTAGAGATATTTTTATATTTAACTAATCAGCCTTTGAAAATTGATATCTATCAGCAATATGTAAGCTAGAAATGAAAAAATATAATTATCTTAGGCTAGTTATTTTAAAAAATTGGTTTAATGGTCTCATTTTTGGTATCATCAGGTATCTTAAAGCTCCTGTGAGGAGTTTTCATGTGGTCATGAAACAGACTTAAATTAATACTGATGTCTTTTAAAACAGGATTTAGTCCCTTAATGACAAAATAAATTCTGAAATGCAAACCACAACACCAACATCTGATCTTTTTAAACAATATTAAAAGGTTGTATTTTTCCTTTAAACCAAACTGACTACTCTAAATACGCTTTAGAAAGTGGGATCAAAGTTCGAACCATCGGTTTCACTCACCAATTGCTGCTTTCACCTTTACAGGCTCAGACTCAGGTGAGAACTGGCTGAGCCCTGCTGCGTTCACGGCCCTCACCCTGAACACGTACATCTCTCCTGTCATCAGACCGTGGCAGATGAACCTGCAAATATATTTGATCTAATATGTCAGAGGTGATATTTGTCATTAATATTTTTCTTTTATTTAATAATCAGTTAAACTACCTGGTTCCTTTTACAGGTTTGTTGTTGCACGGCTCCCACACGTTGCTGTCTACAATACTACTCTCGATGTAATAACCCACCAACTCTGTCGCGTCACGGGACGCCTCCCAAGACACAACCACTGATGTGTCTGTGTTTCTGGTGGGGATGACTTTTCCTGGGGCTGATGGGATATCTATGAAGCACATTTTTCACATTTATTCCAGCAACTTCAAGTAAAATTAACAATACTGCTGTAAAGAAGTCTGTCTTTGTTGGTTTTCTTACCAAGCTTGTCTCCAACAGTGGTGGCTTCAGTGGGGTCGGATGGCTCGCCAACGCCAGCAGAGTTGCAGCAGCGGACACGGAAGCTGTAAGATTTGCCCTCGGCGAGATCAAACAGCGCAAAACGAGGACTCTTGACCGGGATCTCTGTGTTCACCCTCTGCCAGCTGTCTGTGCCCGAGACACACTGACAAACCAAGAAACCAGAGTCAAATCCTGCTTTTGTTGTGCAAATATCTACTGACTGCTGTAAAACAAGATGAGTTACCTTCTCCACATAGTACATGACACCCTCAAGACCTTTCCCTGTGGGTGGTTTCCAGCTCAGCACCACATAGTTCTTGGTCGCTTCTGTCACCTGCAATTCAAGAGGTCTGCCAGGAACGACGCTCTCTGGTGGTTCAAACAAACAGGATAAGATTGACTGAAATACAACAGTTTAAAGATGTGAGATGACTGGTATATATTCTACCTGCAGGCTCCTCCTCTGTGACGATGATCTGACCAGTCCAGGGAGCAGAGGTACCTGACAACAGGTAAATAATCATCATGGAAGCTCAAATTTTAATGTGACTGTATGATTTCTTGTATGTCTGTACCTCTCATGCGGGCACGATCAGCTGGGTCCATGGCAGCCACAGGCTCAGAGACTCTGGATGGGCGGCTCATCCCGTTTTTGTTGACGGCACGAACGCGGAAGGTGTAAGAGCGGCCCTCCACCAGGCCGGTGACGGGGAAACGGGCAAACTTAACTGGGGTGTCATTGCACTGGATCCAGTGGTTGGTTCCAACTTCACATCTATAATCACAAATAATGCATCAGATTTCATATAGTGCCTTATCAGAGACCCTCAAAGTGCTTTACATTGGATACATCATTCGTTCGCTCACACGGTCACACCTTGGTGGTGGTGAACTACCTTAGTAGACACAGCTGTCCTGGGGCAGACCGACGGAAACATGGCTAAAAGTTTGCTCCTACGGCCTCTCCAACCACCACCACACAACACTTACATTCATACACCAGTGGAGGACACACACTGGGAGCAAGGTGGGTTTAGTGTCTTGCACAACGGACAGACCAGAGATAGGGGGGAATCAAACCGCTAACCTTCCGGTTACTGGACGATTGCTCTACCTCCTGAGCTACTGCTGCCCATCTTTGAGTATTAGTCAAATAAGTCGAGAATTTCTGCTTTTTATTTATATATTTCCAAGTATGTCAAAGTCTATAAAGAATGTAGGGGGGATACCGAGGGATATTTGAAGTTGAGTTGAAAATCAAACACGAAAAACCTTTCAAACTCAAGAGAAATCATCAGTTATTACTTCAGGTTTTCCCTGGCGCTTCCTCCTTTAAACACAAAAACATGAAAAAAAACAATCAAGTTAGAGATATTTGCTGACCTGTCCACAAAGTAGCCCAGGATGTGGTCTCCACGGTCGATGGCTGGCTGCTTCCAGGTGACAATGATGTAATCCTTATTGACTTCCAGACAGCGCACATCCAGAGGGGCACCTGGAGCTCCTTCAACCTCAGCATCAGCATCTTGAACAAACAGTGACAACAAACTTAGTGCTAAAATCTACAGTTTATTGAAGCAGAAGCTTTGTTCAAGATGAACTGTTTCTTCTTTAATGAGTATGGCCTGTGCTGAACTGTCGCTGCGGCAGAGATTGACGCCAAGAATGTTTCTGATCTTCAAGTCAAACACGAGCTGAGAGCAGGAGGCGGCAGGAGGCGGACAGATTTAGCAGCAGCCCGCCCCAGAGTGAAAGGGGATAAGAGAGGTGACTCTTAAAGAAACATACAGTGAAGGTAAAGCCAGGGCACCATATGTTCATACTGTAGATGAAGAGTTGCATCACACAGTTTGAGCCTTTTGTAGATGGACACTGAAGTAAGACATGTACTGGATGACAATCTTATGTCTAAGTTGATTGAATCTTTTTTTAACTCAATACAGCGGTTTCTAAAGTGGGGGTTGGGACCTCTATGGGGGTTCTGGGACATCAAGTGTATGGTCACAAGACGCCTTCTGAAAAACATCTAATTCAAACCTGCAGATTTCATCCATTTTTCCAGTTTATACAGATTTTTTTATATATTTAAATATCTGAATGTTTTATTACTTTTCTGTTTTAATGATTATAATAATAACCATTCATTTTATTTATAGATGCCTTTAAATCCTCAAGGTCACCTGTTTTTTGTCACCACTTGACCTCTGAAGTGATTCTGAACAGATTGGTAAAAGTGTCAGTTTAGTTGCACAGGAAACAGTTATATGCACAAAGTTAGGCCGCCTCTAGTCTTCCTTAAAGCTCCTGTGAGGAACTTTTGGTTAATGCCTATAGTGGCGCCCCCTGTGGCCAAAGCTATGTACTTATCTCTTTGTTGATTTTGAGGTAGGTAAGCGTGAGTGGTGTTTTCTTACTAAAAAATCTCCCCCTACTCTTTAGAAAGCGTGTTGTTCATCACCCCGTCTGACATCTACCTCCTAGCAGCAAAACATAGAACCAAAAATTTTTAAAGATACATTTCAACAACGCTTGAATAAATAGGATAAAAAAAACGCTCAAATAGAAGCTAAAATATTGTGAAAGTATGTGTTGCTATATTAAATCAAGGACTTTTCATCCCCAAAGCTGGGGACGTGGGGTGGCAAATCTGCGTAGTTTCCTGGTTAATTGGGATAACAGTAAAAACGTCTCCGCATTAGTAGAGAATGTCTCCTTTCATTGTTCACAGGGTTGAACTGGTAAAATTCTCAGATTCTCTTACAAAGTTGAGAGTAATGACCAAAATTATGTTTCATCTGAAAATAGATCTATTACATCCTTTTTAGATGACTGATGTTCAATCTGACTGCTGGGTTTCTGTTGCAATGTTTCAGTGTATGTGGTCTTTATGGAAAATAATAAGGCCATACTTCACTTGTTTTCTAACTGAATGCATCAATTTAACCTCTTGAAACAAGGTGGATCAAAAACAAACAAAACTGATGTCTTTAGATACAGCAACTCAAACAAATGAAAACCAGACAGAGAGTGTTTTTAGTGTGATTGTGTAAAAGGTGAAGTAAACAAACCAGACAGCCTTTTGTTTCTCCTTGAAGCAGATATTCACAGTATCTACGCTCAGTGCCAGACTTATTCCATTACGGAGATCACTGAGAATAGCCCTCCTGTAGGCAGGCTCATGTAGCCTTTCGTTTTGGAGGCTGTACCTGGTCTCTTCAGGAGAACAACAGGATCTTCTTTCTGGCATGTTCATACTTAACATTTGTGAAAGCCTCAAAGGTCGGACTGTTCTTGAAGGCAGCAGAGATCAGCTCCACTGACCGCTTTTTCCACTGTACTCACACAGTCGTCAGTTTTTGGTGTCTCGATTAGAGAGGACCTATTTAAAACCACAAACACTTTCACTATTATATGCAGCGCTGTCGTCAGGTGCAGGATGAACTGCGGTTTGGACTTTGACTTTTATCTGATGACACACTTGACAAAACAAAACCGGGCTAAGTTTGTGTTAATAAGGACTCCATTCAATTAGCAATACACGGCGGTGTTGAGGTAATGGTCAGTAAAAGTAAAACCTCAACCAAAACGCCACTTTATAGCCACAAATAATGCTCAGAACAGCACCTAACTTCATCAACAGTACATATAGGGTCCTAGCCAAAGTACTAGCCACCAAACATCTTTTTAGCTTTGCCTGATTTCTGTAGCAACGAGACTAAACACAACTCACCTACTCTCTTCCAGCAGCCGCTTGTTTGTACGGAGCGGGGTGACGCAGCTCAAGGAACAACATTTATGATCATTTCTTCATGGAAATGCAATCAGACCAAGACTCTAAGGCAGAAGAATTACCGCGTCTGCAGTGCAAAATGATTAATGTGGTGATTATTACTTCACGGCTCTCTGTATTGCTATCTTTAAGTGCCGTTATTTTTCACTTGTGCTCAGGATTTTTCCCTATGCCTGTATGTTCTATGTTTGTATGTGTATTGTGTACTGTTGTGCTGATGCCTGCTATAAACCAAATTTCCCACAAGATGATAATAATGAAGTTGAAGATGAAGATATCTGTTTTCGAAGTGAATGAAAGGTTTAAACTTTTAAAATGAATAAAGGGTAGTAGATCTTTTTCCACTGTTAGAAAGTCATCAAAAACAACAAAACATTTCTTAGGGCAGGAGCACCCACCTCTGACAAAGACGTATTGTGAGTAGGTTTCATATCCAGACTTGGTGGTGACGCGCAGGGTGTAGAGTCCCTCATCCTCTTTGTTGAGGTGTGTGAGCGTCAGTGTGGCACGATCTCCACTCCAGTGCATGTGATTCCATTTAGAAGGAGCCAGCAGAACATCTGGGGAAAAGGTGGAGAGTCCCTCATGATAAGAAGAGTATTTCTATTAGATCAGATGATGCATTTTGGATTCTCATTGTCTGCTTACCGTCTCTGTACCACTGAACCTCTGGCTGATAGCGGTGCAGAGCAGGGTAAATGATGACCGTACATCCCAGACTCATCGTCTCACCCTCTCTCCCAAATGACACACCAAAACTGTCAACGATGTGGGTCTTGAAGTTGATGCCATACTCAGACACTGGGCCATCTGGGGGGAAATGAGTCAGAGTCAGACGAGACAAAAGGCTAATGTATTCAGGTTTGACGGAGGGACACAATGTGGCACTGTAACCACCGAAACAACAAAACAAAACATACAATGAAGCTGGATCCAAAAATTTCAGCCAGACAGAAAAATATGAGGAGAAGAAGATGGATCAAAAACAGGTGATAACAGACAGATACACACTGACAGAGTGACTCCAAAAACTGCAGAACAGTGCTCTTAAAAAAAAGAGGTGTAAAGATGTGACGACTTGTGTTCATGCAGGAGACAGTGATACACATCAGACACAGAGAAATACTCAATATCCAAATTTCGTTGTTATACTAGCAGAAAGTATCTATTAATGCATTTCAGACAATTAACAGTAGATCTAGAAATTAACTCTGAAAGTTAAAAAATCAAACAGTATTTTTCAACTTTTCTCTCTTTATGTAAACTGCTCTTATTCCAAGAATCAGACAACATTAGACTTCTTTAGAAGATGGAAATCTTACACGGTTCATCCACAGAAAGAGAACATACACTTGGGTAAACATTACAGAATTGTGACGTTGTTGGTGCACATATAACGAAATTGAAGATGCAGAAAAATCTGTCGATTTTTCCACGCTAGCCGACAGAAAGAGGAGACTTTGAATCCCACATTTCCACACAGACACGAGTGGCCATGCATGGACAGAAATTCAGTGTAGACAGAAAGTTCACCAAACGTTTCAAACCAGAGTCCTGTGACCCTTTTACCTTCAGAACTGCCCCCTGCATTGCAGCATCAGCATCAAGAACAAAAAGAAGTTGTTAGTGCAATAGCAATAGCTTCTGCTGTTTTTTACAGCCCCAACCCTCCACTTTCAACTCACCACTGCAGCTCAGTAATAATCCATAACTCTGCATAATCAAATTAAAGCTTTACATGGAGGCATAATGACTACATTAAAGCTGCCTTTTGGAGCCTTTCAGCCTTTAAGCTGATTGTTTTGCATGTTTAGCCATAAAATTTGTCCAATCTGATCACTTTTATAAATTGGTTCCATTACTAAAGGCTCCGTTAAAGCAGCAGCATGGGTCATGCACAGATCCAAACAGCAGCCGACAAATTAAGCAACTAGCCAATTAAGAGAGCCGAACATCATCTTGATGGCGAGGAATGGGTGGAGACCAAAACAGAGCTAAAAGGAGAGTAAATCCATGACACTAACTCCACATGTGGATAAAAACAAAGCCCTGAATCAAAGCCATTATGTGTGTATTTGCAACTGTTCAACAACTTTGTAAAAGGAAATTATGAACGACTGAGTGAGTCATTCAGCTTGTGTCTATGTTTGTCTTTGATAATGAATTTCTCAACATGATTTTATTTTTAAAATACAGCAAAGAGAAAAAAGATCTGAAAAGGTAAATAGTAAATTCAAACTTACGTCTAGGTGCTGGAAGGTTCTCATCAATTTCACCTTTGAACCCTATAAATGAACACCACAGATTAATACAAATGTTATATACTCTAACAAAGCATGACATTTATAATGTAACAGAATTTATCGCCTACAACATTCAAAAGTTTGGTAACACTTTATTTGACTTCTATCTGTATAAAGCATTATAGATATGATTATAATGCTTTATAATCACGTTATAACACTGTATAACTATAACTAATGCTTTATAGCAATAATAAAAACACATTATAAAGCATTTTTTCATGACTTACAAGGTCAGGTATTATAATGTGTTAAAACTGTTACCAGTTGAATTGCATTATCTATGTGGGCATTGTCAGTGTGTTGTTATAACACATTATAATACCTGACCTCGTAATTCATGATAAAATTCTTTATAACGTGTTATGATTATTGCTATAAAACATTATGATCATTTATGAGTGTTTATAATTATAGTTATACAGTGCTATAACGTGATTATAACACATTATTAATATGTTTATAATGCGTTATAGAGTGAGGCGTCAAATAAAGTGTTACCTGTACGTTTAGGGTTTCAATTTTAAGGCACAGTGTGATAAGATACTTTATGTTTTACACAGTGATAGTAGTGGTTTATTCTGACCAAAATACAGCCAAGATCACTGTTTCAATCAAGGGTATTGGTTTGTAATGATTTTAGTACATAGTGGCACCTACTCTTAACAACGACAGAGGCGAAGGCAGACTCCTCTCCGTTGGAGTTCATCGCAGAGACGCGATACTGCGCTGTGTCATCAAAGTCACATCTGAAAGAGGAGAGAGCATCAGCTGATCGACGTCCATGATACACACATTCTTCTCCGCAAGGATTAACATGTACAGTGCCCTTCCCCCACTACTCAACTTCAGCCCTCTCAACCATGTAAATAATACCAACTATGTGAGCCCTGACTGTGCGGCGTTCCATGACTCCTGGCCAGGAATACTCTGGTAATAAATAGACCCCACCGGTGATGTCATCTGTACCAGGTGTTGGTGGTCTAAGTGCGTGAAATTGACTATTGTGTGCTGGACAATACGGAAATTGACACTAAAATGTGTTGTGATAGAAAATTTGAAGTTTTCACAATCTAGATGCAAATTCCTGGACTTTCTTAAATGTCCCCTTTGGTGCTACAGAAGTCATGGTATCATCTCAAGGTGTGTCAGAGCCTATTTGAGAAAATTCATTGAGAGATTTGTGGGTATAGAAGAAAGTATACCTACTTGTTAATCTCCAGTGAGTGCACGCTGTATCTGCTCTCAAGTTTATACTTGCCAGGGCTGGTAAGAGGGTCAATTGCCACATTGTTTTTGTACCTTTTAGCAAGAGGAAAGAAACAGGAAAAGAGAGGAACCAAAGGGAACAGACAGAACTTGAAACAGGCGCTCAAGAGGAGTATAATGAAGCCATGAAAAGGTAGAAGTGGAAAGTAAAGGAGACAGAGGAGGAAGAGGGTTTGAGTGATGTATGTCCGTGACCTACCAGACGACCCGTGGATCAGGCCAGCCGCTGACGGTGCAGTGCAGCCTCACACACTGCTTCTCCCACACGGTGTGGGAGCGTGGTTTAATCACAAACTCCGGGGGATGCATCAGGCTGTCTTCGTTCATGCGCTTAAAGTGTTCCTCGTGTTCATGGATCTACAAAAAGATCAGCTCTTGAGCACAAAATTATGCAGGCGAGCGGTAACATCCTCCATTTTAAACACCTTCTCAAAAACTCATGAGTTCAGGCATGACAGAAGCAAACAAAGCTTTTACATTCACAATTCAACAACATCCCAATGCCCCTTATTTGCTTTACTCATGCATGATAAATACACATCTCAATACAATATAAGTGTTCATAATGTGCGATAATAGTTATGGGTGTTGAGGACCAATCTAGTCTTGCACCCAGTTACTTAGCACATAATATGACAACACCTTTGGGACACTGCTTCTCTGTGTCTGGAGAAACCTGATCCTCTGAGGAATTTGCCACCCATTAGTAAGTCTATCTGGCAGAGTGGGGACAGATAAGTACAGTGACGGGGGTCAGAGTGGCTTTTATGTTGCCTAATGAATGGATGAGTACTACTTCATATTATTACCAAGGGGCATAAATATCCCCCCTTGTGTACGGAGTGGTAGTAACCACTTAGCCACTGCCACTTTATCTTCCTTAGCAGAGCTGTACTTAATTATACCCGGTTGCGCTAACACGCAGAGACGGCATAGTTGTGCTTCGCAGTCTTACACTGCATCTGATTTAATCCCAGTAAATTAGTGTACACCATGAATCTGGTCCTGTCTGAGGTTTCTGCCTGTCAAGAGAAGGTTTATCTTGCTCCCTAAGAAGACTTTTGTTATGATTTGGTGATAGATCAATAAAATCACTGATTGATTTAAAAACAGGGTCAAGTTGGGGATGTCAAGTACACATCAAAACAAACACTGGACACTTATATTTCAAACGCTACCTATGATACTTCCACTTTTTATGTAACTTCAGTGTACATTATACGTCATCTTGAGATATGACCTCATGATTCCCAAACTGACCCTTTTGTTCAGGGAGATGCGCTCTGCTGTTCCACGCATGGCCTCCCTCCTGGAGATCAGTTCTGACCTCTCCATCTCCAGCCCACTGGTGAACAAATCCCTGCGAGCCATGTAAGCAGCAGTGTCCCTCACCCTTCCTTCCTCTGTGTCCGAAAGTCCTGAGGCAAACTCATGACTGAGCCGAGGAAATAGTTGGGGCACAAAGTGTATCATTAAACCTAATAGAGCTTTAGCATACTCAAAGTTCTAGTTTTACACAGTGAGAAGTTCGTTACCTGCCCCTGAAGATCGGCACTACATAGCCGATGATTTGGTTCTCTTTATCGACGGCCAAGTAAGATGGCTTGGCTCTCTTTGGTATGGGGCTCAGTCTGCTCGCCTCCAGCCCAGACTGTGAGGACAATTTAAGTCTGGGACATACAGAAAACCATCAGTCTGGCAGCTACCCAGACAGTACAACTGATAACATAACAATAACATAAGGGGATGAGGGTAGATGAGTTATAAATGATGGTTCAGTGGAAAAATAGTGAAGATGAGTTTAGTTTTGCTGATTTAGCATTATAACAGCTTCACTACATCTACTTTTTAATCAACACAGCATCTGATACGAGAAAGAAATTATCTAAAAAAACAACAAAACCCCCCATATATAAACCGAACAACTCTGAGACCACTTCCATTGGCTATTTACAGCTTTCAGATAGTCCAGGGTTAGAACTCAGAGATAACAAGAGCTTGATAAGGGAGCAGGGGCCAGAAGGGTGACGGGCCAACTGCCCTCATTTTTCTTGTGTCTTTCTGGGTCACTGACTCTGCTCATTCACACCCACAGAGCTTTCAAGGATCAACAGTTTTCACTTTACAGATTCGAATAGAGAGTCTTGGTTTCATAACTCCATAAACCCAACAGTCATGTCTGCCTAATTACGTAAGTATCTGTGTCACAACTTCATCATAACCACCCTGTCTGTTAAATCAGTCAACACGTCTTGATCCTTCTTTCCTTACCGCAGCACAGATTTGTAATCTTCCCGGTAGTGAGTGTAAAGGCCAAGAAAGGATAGTGTTATTAAACCCTAAGCCCTCTGACCTGTTCACACTCAACAGGCCACGGCATTTCCAAGACCTGCCAAGCTCTGTAAAAGATAGGATCTGCATGAACTGAATGTTTTTTGATTCCCAAAATAAGACAGTTGACACAAATCATGGCAGCAAATGATTGTGGGGAACTAGACTGTATATATTCACAAGAGAATCCAGATTATGACGGTTTAGTATTTCAAACTTGAACCAAATTTGTTGGAGCTACCATTATTGTTGTCATTCATTAAGTAGACATGCATCCATACATTTTATTTTTTATTTTAATTTCTTTTAATTTCCAGGTCTCATCTTATTTATCTCATTATCTCTGAAGCGCTTGGTGGCCAACCCCAAGTAATGAAAGTGAGCACCTCATGTACAGAGACTGGAGTCCTTAAAGGGGGCCAGGGTTCAACCACAACCCTTGGCCTGTCATTCCCCACTCTCTAGTCCTGGTTTTCTACTCTGTCTGTCTTCCTCTGTTCTAAACAAAGGCATGAAAACCCCAAATGATAATCAGAAGAACTAAAATAAAAGCTTAGCTTACTTCATTAGTAATAAAACAGCAAAGTATGTTTTGGTCTGACCTATCGTAGTGACCATCCTATCCCCAAAGACTCAAAACAAGCTTTATTATCTGTAAATAGTTTGATATTTAGAATTATGGATAAACCAATTTTATTGTCCCGCAATAACAACAAAAGTAAGCCAAGTCAAAACTAGTTTAAAAACTTTCAATGTTACGAAATCAGCTGAAAGTGACTCATTATGACAGAAAAACAGCATTATTAGATTGTATGGATGCATGTCTGCTTATAGGGCTTTTGTAAAAATGTATGCAAAATATTAAAAACTAATATATGCCTTGATTACAAAATGTATGCTTTGTACTTGTACTGTAATCTAGAATAACAGAGACATACACTATCCAAATCATACTTGACCCAAATACCTATCTTTAACACTACACAACTGGCGAAGGCATCCAACAGAGATAGCACAATTCTCTGAGAGAAAAAAATATATAGTTTTGCAGGAATTTTACAATTTTTAAAGAAAGTAAACCAACAACACAGGGGCTCAAATTTCTGTACTTGCTTTCCCTCTGGTATGGTATGCACAGGTCAAAATTCTATTTCAGTCCAGGCCGTATACATTAACTCCACTATTACATAACTATAGATTTAATTTCAAGTTATCCAATAAAAAAGTTCTGGGCTCCAACAAGTAACTCCTTCTGGTCATTTTAGTTGTTTATGAATGTGTATGTTACAGGTAAGAGTTTTCAAGCATGCATAAAAACAAACAGGGAATCCATGGGCTAACATGCAAAAAGCTTCATGCAGGACTTGAAGCAGATAGACAGAGAAATGATCCGCAGGTAGATGATCAAAGTGAAAGAGGACTCAGATGAGCGTGATGGTTACTTTGGTGTCAATATGGCGGCAAAGCAGGAAAGATGATCCCAAAGCTGTGATGGGGAAGTGATCCAAAAGTGCTGGAGGTGAACCTGATCAGTTGGGTTGGGGTTAAGGGAAGCAGAAGGGCTTTCCTGTAACAAGGTTTGGTCCTCGTCCCCTTCCTTACCCCCTGCTAAAGCTGCTGGCAGAAGAGCTGCTGCCGGCTGCATATCTGCTGCTGCTGCTGCTGCTGGCCTGGTACTGGCTCAGTTTGGATTGTGTTTCCCTGCTGCGGTAGCCACGGTCATAGCTGCGATGGTGCTTCTGGTAGAACGGTATAGATCCAGACATACTGCAGGCCTCTCCTGGTTCGAGCTCTTTTTCCAAGTTTTCCCCAAGTTCTTCGGTGCCTACCTGTCTGTGTGGTTAGTTTGATTACAGGCTGGCCATGCTCCCATTTACTTACACATGTTCTTTATAGCTGAACATGGCCAATTAATCCAACTCTCAAAGTGGAAAAAATTAAACATATAATTAAGAAATCGTGATGCCAATAGAAGATGTATAAAACCTTTAACATTATAACCATGAAACATACAATCTTCAAAGCAGACACATAATATGGTATTCAGGCAATCAGGCACTTTCTCGGCATGCTCACACAGACGAATGCAACAGCTGGCTTATCACATTTTAATCCCTGCATAACAGTTGTCTCTTACCCCAGACAGAAAACCTCAGAGTCCAAGCCTTAAAGGAAAAGAGGTCTCAAACTCCACACTTTAAGCTTGATATCCCAGCAAACCTACAGGTAGGTGCGTACAGGGCTGCGGTCTACACAACAAAAATAATGTTGGCCCTTGCCAGAGTGTCCCTGCAGCAGTCGCAGCCTTTTATGGTGAGGGTGGAGATAAATATAGCTGAGGGCATAGCGTGGGGGCCCAACACATTTATGGGTGCAGGTCTGTGTGAGCATTACAGCCAAAAGAATGCAGGTAAACACAAGCATCTTTATGTATATGTAATCCTTTATTCCCTATACTAATGGACTTTTTCTTCTATGATGAAATACTTTCTCTGCTTTGGTTCACTTTTTATATATTTTAATGACATATTTTCCACTTTGTCCTTTCTTCTGTAGTTTGATGTTCTTTCTAAATCTTCATTTAATTCCTTACACTGAATAAGTATGGCGAAAATACATTAACTTGATAATCTTTAATTTGCAGAAGTAGAACATTTTATTTTTCCAGCTGTTTTAGAGGCTCAGTGAGCCAAAATGTCAGAAGTGATGTTTTAATTTAAGCATCTGTAGTTGCACCTGATCTGTCGTCGACTGGAAAAGTTTTTGTTTACTTTTTGGCTTTGATTTCTCTCCTTTGATGTACTTTTACCAAGAAAATATGCTTTTATGTACTTTTTGCTTTTGTGTACTTTTTCTGTACTTTGATCACTTGCTTCACTTGAAAGTAATTTTTGATACTTTAGTGTAATTTTTCGGGTATCTCAATGGGTAGTGATTGAAACAGATAAAGAAGTCGGGGGAGAACAATCATTTTTATGGTCTCTATTGGAAGGGTAGTCCACCTGTCCGAATCGCTCTTAATTTCCTTATCCAATTTGATATAATTAGTTTCATATAAATCGTCAGTGTTTTGTGTTAAAGTGACTCCCAGATATTCCATTTTTGTTGCTCTCCAGTTCAGATTATGTTTCTGTTGTATGGTTTTGGATGGGGAATAGTTGAATGTAAGGATCTGTGTTTTGGTCAAATTAAGCTTGTATCCGGATCAAAAGCTACACGTCTCTAGTTGGTTAATTAGTATCAGGATGCATTTTTTCTGGGTCTTTCTGGGTCTAATGTAATTTTTGTACTTGCATACACAGTATTTTTTTCTTTTTTAATGTACATTTTCTCTACCCCTTTTTCACTGATTTGAAACACCCTAGATTACAATGGCAAATCATCTAATTTTCCAACTTTTCCAAAAAATCAGTAATGTCTCAAGTGATGGTGTTTTTTCCTTTTTATTTTTTGCAAGTCCATCACACAAACTACAGTGACACTAAAGATCTTGCTGGCCTCCAGCCAGTGTATGCTATTGCTAGTTAATCTCCAGACCCTTTGTCTTGACTTTCTATCTCAGCAGTCTCAGCTGTGACTGTCGCTAACTTTAGCATTGCTATTGTTGCTAGCTTCACATATAACAAATGCCAGTCACTGTCTCTTCGTCACTCTCTCTTTCTCCTCTCACTTTCATGCATGGAAGTGCACAAATGTCTCTGGCTTTTAACTGCTTCTTTGGTTCAGTTTCATCAGAAACACATCCAGTCAATTAACACCTCAGAGGTCGACCATTCGTCTTTTTTGGCCCTCGCCCACCACCACCCCATGGTAACAAATATTATGGCAGCAGTGAGAGGTATAAACTCATTACTAGAGATCAACACTGATGAGAACAATACAAGACATTAAGCACAGTCAAAACCCTAAATGCTGTCTAATGAATATGGGATAACTCTGACAAGTGTAATACAATATGTCACAAGCTTGTAAATCCTTCGCCAACATGGCTACCCTGAAATGCTGTGATTATTTGAGAGGCAAGACAGCTTGCTAATGATCAGAAATGCACAGAAACATGACCAGCTAGCTAGAGTTACTGACATGTGGACTTACTGGCCACTAACACTGCAAATATCAATGTTAAAGAATCATTCAACATATGTGTAATGATGAATTTGAATCTTTGTGTACGCTTGTTTCTGTGCATCAGTTTTAAAAAGTCCTAAAGCAGATGCCTAAGACCTTAAATGAAAGCTAAAGAATTGCACACCATCTATCTGCAGCCTTATCAAACATCCCAAGCTTTATTCTAATATGAATTTAAACCCCCAATTACCAAACAGCTGCATTCAAAGCTCCTATAAAATGTCTTCTTTGAAAGTTCAGCAGCTCAAGTGCATATTTTACCTGAAACACGATGACAGTCTCTTAATAACTTTATCCCATTGTACCCTGTGATATTTAAAGAATAGCCTTTCATAAGGCACATGGGTTTATCTGTTTAGGCTTGGCATTGCTGGGTCATCGTCAACAGTTATGTTTATCACATTATTTTAAGGTTAGCGCTATTTATATCCTATCAAAGCTTTAAAGTTTACCAGTGTGATCATAAGCAATACAATACATTCATCCAGCAGCTGTAAATCCTGTAATGTTTAGTGGAGTTGACACTAAGGTTATGAGCCAGCATTATGGCACTTTTTAGGGCATAGATAATGGTGGAGTTACACAGCATTATTTCTGAAGCTAGTATGTGTCCAATCCTTACTTACTGTAAGAGTTGTCTGACCGTTCCAGTGAAATTGCTTGTAATTAATCATGTCCATGTGAGGAGCATGTCAGTGTGTTCAGCTGTCCAGGAAATACCAACTGTATGGACTGTCTCTTGGGATCCATTGGGGCTTTACTTAGATTTTCCACACTGTATACTGATGCGAATGTTTGGGCTAAGGGTTAAATATATGAGAAATTTAAACATTCTCACTTAAAGTAGGACTCCAAAACCATCAACACCTCAACAGTCTAAATATTGTCTTTTTCTGTGAAGCTAGTACCCTCTAGTGGTTAAATATGTAACTATAATCGATTCTAAAATGAGGCATGCTGTTTAACATTTGACCTTTTACAGACAAATACAAAGAAATCAACTTTACTAAATGTTAATGTAAGACCAGCGATGCATTACTGACTGAATTTCTGTTATCATACAACTAATATAAAATTCCCAGTCATTCATCTTCCGGCAACTAACAATAAAGAGGTCAAACTCATTTTTCAAGGTCTGTCATGCTTTAGACAGCTGGCCTGTGTTAATGTAATTTACAGCATAACTGTGGATGACCCTGGTGAGATGTCAAGTGGACACAAAAGACAGATGTGGCTTCTTTTAACCTATGAGTCAACAGCTCTGTATTTTGCTCTTGTAGCCCCGCAGTGGTAAGCCTCCCTTTGCAGCAATGAGTGGGGTACCAACTGTTGTCTGACCAACACAGGGCTGTCAGTATCTATAATTATACATCACATTATTCTTTTTCCAGTTTTTCGTCAGAGATACGAACTGGAATTTGTATGTTTCCTTCTCTCTTTTTTAATCTTGTCAAATAGTTTGAGTTTCCCTCTGGGATTAATAAAATATCTATCTATCTATCTATCTATCTATCTATCTATCTATCTATCTATCTATCTATCTATCTATCTATCTATCTATCTATCTATCTATCTATCTATCTATCTATCTATCTATCTATCTATCTATCTATCTATCTATCTATCTATCTATCTATTATCTATCTATCTAAATCTATCTATCTATCTATCTATCTATCTATCTATCTATCTATCTATCTATCTATCTATCTATCTATCTATCTATCTATCTATCTATCTAGTTACAGCTCATTTTTCCAATAAAAATCTGGAAAATTAGACAGAAACAAAGGAAAACACTTTTCGGTGATATATGTAAGAAGGAAAAAACATATCCTAAACATATTCTAAAAATTAATTATACAACAAGGCAGAATAAATGGCCTAAGGCTACATCTGTGAAGATATTTGAAACCACAATAAACAAAAGCACTAGATGACACTATTTTTTCTATTAAATACATGGCTTAGGTATATATGTTCCCTGTATTCATGACTACTTCCATTTTTTCCTAGTGGGGGGTCATTAAACCCTGTTTTGACTAAACTGCACAGTGTAATAGAGGTTGTATTCTTTCTCTCCTTAAATGGTCATATCCAGGAATGTCAACGCTGGCAGGGAGTGTTAGTGGAACTTGCATTTATTTCAATGGGGGTGGATTATGTTTTATTATGAATTTGAGTACCATTATTACTATAAAACGCGGTATGTTTAAGAATGAAAACTTATACCTAAAGGACAATCTTTGTTTTTATCAAATCCAAAACAAAGTTATCACACAATTCCGTTGAGTATGTATTGTGTCGTACCTGCGGACACCCCCTGTATTTCTCTCATTTGGTTTGTTCCACATTTTCTCTACTGAGCCATCATCAGGAAGTGAAGGGCGGTGGTTCAGAGAAAGAGCAGCGCAGGGCTAACTGACAAGTATCGGTCTGTGGTCAGGTAAGACTTTTTTTCTACTTTGTATTGTCATGTGTATCTTTATTAGCCAAATTTTAAACACATTTGTCCTTTAATTGATGCCAGATTTTGGTGATTTTAAAAGCAAACACCTGAATATTTGTGTAGAGTGCCGTTTTAAGTGTCCGGTTGATTGCTTTGAAAACACGGCTAACCGTTAGCTGCTTGGCTAACGACACCGCGGCTAACGTAAAAATGTTAAAGTCAAAGGAGCTGTTTCCAACTTGGAAATTTGTTTTAATGACAGTTTTATGTACGCAAGGAAAAGAAAATTACCTTCCCGACATTCGTAGGGGGCTAACACGAGCTTTGTGTACACTCGTTATCTAATAGAGTAGGAAGTAGGCCTCAGACCATTTTGACGGGGTTTAACACTTTATAATTAAAAACAGTTTCAAACATGTTTAGGCAGGTTTCTTAAACGTTCGCCCCTGGTTTCCTTCTGTTTTCTTATGTAGCGACACCAAAAACATTCAAATGGAAAAGTTAAGACAGCTGTTATATTTACAGTTTATCCGCAATTTAATTTAAACTAGTTAAAGTCTATTTATTTCAGCTGTTATCAATATCAGGTTCAGAACAATACTAATTGAACCGGTGTGTTTTAACGACAATCGTAAAAGAGGTATTATGTTTTTCATTAATGGTGTGCAGAAGCTCCAAAGAAGTTGTCATCAACATTGTTGCGATTTTATGTCGTTTTTCACACAAGAGTCTCCTGAAAAAAAAGTCTTATATGTGGAAATTTGCAGCTATTGTCTGTTTTCATGCAAGTTGCATGTTTACAGTTTTGGACCGATTAGATAACCAAAGAAACCATATGGTGATATTGATTATTAAATGATTAAATCAGAGCTGCATTGTTATGCCTCTACATTACCTACAAAGGTAAGAAAGACCATCAGATGTCGGATTGTTCATGTCCTGTTTTTGTTGTGTAACTCTGTACACGAGGGCATGTGTCAGACAAACTGGTCTACCCTTTATTTCCTGTCTCTAATGGCAAAAGTGTCCAGTCATTAAGATGAAGCGAGGCAAGATTCTTGCTTGTTTAACCTGTTTTTACTCCCAAAATATTACCACTTAAATACATTGTGTTTTATAACATACAAGTCTAGTTAAGTTTTGCACCAAGAACTCTTATCAGACTACCACAAGCTGTAATGTCAGCAATCAACAAAACAGACGTGTTAGGCATCAAAACATGAGTGTGCACTCCTGAAATGATCCTTCCTCTTAGTAAGAGAGTCTTGCAAGATGATAGATGATCCTGTTTAAGCTGACTTGGATGCAAAAACTTCAAAAGAACTTTTACTGAAGACTGAGTGAAGTCAAGGAATGACAAACATGTTACCAACATGAGACCAAAGGGTATGTCCATTGAGAGTTAAAAATATTGCTCAAAATCTACAGTATGGTCTTATGAAGGAACATTTACCTATGGTACAATGACATTTGCCTTCATGATACCTGGGTCCAAGATTATATCTAGCTAAATCATATTATTCAAAGCATCTCGATACAAGGCTAAACTGTGGACAGCACTCGCCGCTCATGAACATACAGCGCCATAACATGATAACCAGTCAAGGTAAGGCTGTGAATGTTGGACCGTGTGAGTCTACCTTGAAGATATTGCCTCATAAGGGCATCTGTCCTCACATCACTAAGTTTCCTACCCTTAGTGAAACCAGTGAGCTGATCAACCTAGAAAGATGAGGAACATCGCCATTTATAGCTCAGCGAGGGACACTACTCTGGGGATTCATTGCCAGAGAATTAAAATACCCTGACACACACACAGAGTTGTGGGTAATGACAAGATCTTATTTTGGGTAACAGGATGATCCACTCTACCTTTGATCAGATACTTTCCTTGTGTGTCATCTTCAGGCATGTTTTTGTCAACATGCTCCCAACAGTTTTGACATCATTGATCAAAACACTGCACCTGACTTTATTTAAATAAAAATTATACATTTTTAGCCTTCCAGGTAAACATTTTAATGAATCTAGTTCCTGGTTGCTGAATTTGTTATGATTATCTCCAATCTTCTCTCCACAGGTAAAATACAAAAACAGTCAAAATGTCGAGCAAAAGGGCAAAGTCAAAGACCACAAAGAAGCGCCCTCAGCGCGCCACCTCCAATGTCTTCGCCATGTTTGACCAGTCTCAGATTCAGGAGTTCAAGGAGGCTTTCAACATGATTGATCAGAACCGTGATGGCTTTGTGGACAAAGAGGACCTTCACGACATGTTGGCCTCACTGGGTGAGTAGACGAGTTTGGATGAGCTGAGATGTGCGAAATGCACACGAGGGACAAAGCATTTATGTAATTTAGGGTGTGCACCGACATGGTTTGAAACTCGTCCGACAACTAAACATGTTAATGTGGATCAGTCTTTAATCTCACTTGTGCGTAAACCTTTTTGCACTTTATTTGAATTCCTCGTTTTTGTTCCATAAAGGGAAAAACCCGACTGATGAGTACCTGGAGGCCATGATGATGGAGGCTCCTGGACCTATTAACTTCACCATGTTCCTCACCATGTTTGGAGAGAAGCTGAACGGAACAGACCCTGAGGATGTGATCCGAAATGCATTTGCCTGTTTTGACGAGGAGGGGACAGGTAAACCGTGACAGCTAAATATTCCAGAGAGAGAACTGTGTTTACTTTTGTCTCAGCTGTGAGGTTTGGGGTTTCAAAGTCTTCTTCATTTTGAACCTACTCTGCTTATTTTACTTTCTAATCCCTCTTCTCACCACTTGAAAAACATGGATGTTGTAGTCTTTGAAAAGGGTACTATTCAGTAAAATTAACTTGCCTTTAAAGGTTCGTTCACATAAATGGTTTCTCCTCGATGGTGGAAATTCTGTAGGAGATGATTCCAGTGTTGTTTCAAGTCTTAACGTCCTCTTATCTGATCCGAACTCCCCCCCTCAGGTTTCATCCAGGAAGATTACCTCAGGGAGCTGCTCACAACAATGGGTGACAGGTTTACAGACGAGGAGGTGGACGAGCTCTTCAGAGAGGCCCCCATTGATAAGAAGAGTAACTTCAACTACGTGGAGTTCACACGCATCCTAAAGCACGGCGCCAAGGAAAAAGACGATTAAAGAAAGATCCATACCAGCGTTCTCTTCTCCACCCTCTCTGCCTCCTCCATCAGCTAGATCACCGCTGCATGTCCCAACTCTCCAGTTTAAACCCCTGTGTCAAACATACCAAAGCAATAACTATCCACTTCTATTTGTCGAGAACTTCCAGTATTGCCAAATATACACATCTCTTATGAGGAGAAAACATGTCAGTGGTTGTAAAAAGTTTTTCTGTCATGTGAAGATGTGAAGTGGCAGCACTTGGGAAGCTCTTAGGGATAAGTCTTTGCAATTCATGTGATCGGGTTTAGCTGAATTTTTACATTTTATAATATAAACTTTTTAAATAAAGCCCTTTATCAAGTTGTATTTCTCTGTTTTTCCCTTTCCATAAATGACATCTGAAACAAGTGATGCATCTCTCTCTTTTTTTTTTGCCCAGGCTTGCTTAAAATGCTTAGGCACCATTTTCTCTCAAGTGTATCAAGCCCGGACAAGTCTGCTCTGTCTCCTCACTGAATACATTCAACGAGTGCAGACTAGCACCATCTGAATACTTTCAGTCAAAGGAGGTGAACATACCATGACCACCTACTAAAAATGATGACTGTCAAAGAGGGAGTGTCTTTATGTAATAGAAATACTCATCCAGTAAACAAAACACCATCACACTGATGTTTTAAAGTGGCTGCAACTAAGTAAGGAAGAGAATTAATAAAATTTATAGTAGATGAGTTAAAATAAGGTAATTTAGATAGTTGTGGATCATGTGTACGTAAGAGTGGAGAAGCTGTTGAGTGTAAACCAAACCACATCTTTTCAACTGGTTTACCTGTTAAAAAGATGAGCTGTATCAATAGTATTGTTTAGTTGCTTAAGATAAGATCAGAGTAATTCTACTCCCACTATAACAGACAAGTCTAACAGTAGAGATGTTTCAGTTGTTAGATTTACTGTCAAAACTGTTAACGACAATAGACGTATGGTGTAATGAAATTTTAATAAGGATTTGTCATTTGTCACGATATAAATCATGTAAGAGACTGAATGAACTCAAGTAAACCTTAGTCTTTTTGGATTTCCATGTAAAATGTCGCCCTCTGTTGTCCAAGTCAAGCAGTGCATGTGCTGCATTCAAGTGCTATCGGATAAAGTTGTAGAATTTCTAATTACGATGGTAAATGTAGTTTTCTGCTCTCTTTTATGTCGTAAATATATAAAGCTACAAGAGTGTTTCTTTTTAAAACAGAAACAAATATCAAATCAGCCTTTACATGAAAACATAATCTCTTTGAGTCTGTGTGTTTGCTAAACGAATAAAAAAAAAAGTAAAAAAAAAAAAAGGATGTCCTAGGTGATCTTATGTTTTTTTTTTTTTTTTTTTTTTTTTTTTTTTTAGATTTAACACCTTTAAAAAATTGCCAAATCAAGAATGACCATTTTAAGAAAAAAGGCCTACAATCAAATGTTAATAACGTGATAGATTGTTTGAAACTGGATTTTAAAAAGTATCAAATAAGAATTATAAAAAATCAAAAACAATGATGACCTTGCAAATTATATTGCTTGTTAATGGAGAAATATTTTGATTATTTTGAATTCCAAGGCTTTGCATTTGATCTACTACTCATTGATTAGTCCCTATACATCTTACTGTGTGGAACTGTGGGGATCCACCTTTAAAACCACTATAAATTAAATAATAAAACTGAAAACACGAGCTATACGTTTTATCAATAAGACTGATTATTTTGATCACACAGAGCCCCTTTTTTTTCTAAAATTTTAATATTCAACACATGATTCTCGATAAAGTGATTTTGTGTGAAATGTCAATATTGCGTGCAATATTTGGTGTTGTCATGACTGAATAAACGACTACTTCTACTACTATTTCTACTACTACTACTACTTCTACTGCTACATTTTGGTTCCAATTAAAAAACAAATTTAGTACGGGAACATCGAAATACGAGTGTCCCTGAACGCCTCACTGACAGTCCGGAGCCACATGAGGATGTCGTCTGCTCTGTCACCGGCGGGTCTGTGACCGTTTTTTGTTGTCAGAAGGTCCAGGTATGACTTCTACTACTTTATTTTAGTCATTTATCTTTTGTTTATCTCTGTAAGACAAATCCACAGTGTTTAAAATCATTCGGTAAAGCAGTAAGTTTCTTTTCGGATGACTGAGGAAGCTAGCAGCTAGGTAGCTAACGTTAGCTAACCTCAAGGTTGGTTAGTTAACAGTTGAGTAAGGAAGGAGAGACTGATTTCATTCATTTTATATAGATTTATTCTCAAATTTGGTAACATATTGTGAACTTACGCGTGGTATTTAAAAAGCTATGACCTCCTAAACATCACTGAGTTTACTATTTGATATATTTCAGACTGGGATGAGGAGGTCATGGCTCTGAAGCTGATCCAAAGATTTCCGGTGCCCGGGCAGTTCGGGATCCAGCGTTACCCTGCTCTTGGACTCCGTCCCACCAGGCTCCTGTGCCCAAGCAGGTTAGATCAGCCAGTGTGTGTAGCCTGCTTATGTACCACAGCTGGCGGCTGCATCAGGACACAGGGCTGCAGGAAGCTCCAGCAGGAGTTAGGGAAGAGGACCCTGACCACTACCATCATCAGGGAGCCGACCTTTGTGGCTTCCAGCTCTGTTAAACTCCATAGAGACTCAGGGCCTCGGTTCCGCCTGACCCAGCTGCACAGACCCACAGATGAAGAGGAGAAGTCTTTCCAGAAGCGAGTAGACGCCTGCTCCTCATCCCGTCAGGTGTTCTCTCTGCTGCGCTCCGTGGCGATCATGTCTGACACCATGGCTGCATCTGCGCTGCACCGCGTCGCAGACCTGGAGCAGGCGGAAAACTCTCTGAAGGATCCATCTGTGCTGGAGAATGACACCATCAGAGCTCTGTGCCTCCAGCTGGAGGAGGACTCACGGCGGTTGACAGATGCAGGGGTGGTGTCTTCTCTCTTGGCTTGCACACGCCTCTTCTTGGATCCATGGAGCACGCTGATGGTACGGCTGGTGTCAGAGAGCCAGGAGAGGTTAGACCGAAGGGAAATGAGTGTGGGTCTGCTGTGTACCCTGGGTCAGGCTATGCTGGCTATAGAGGGTCCCGGCTGTGTGATGCTGGGACAGGTGATGAAGCAAATCCAGAAGAAGAAACCATCCAAATGGAGCTTAGCAGAGCTTGTTGCTGTTTATAGATTTCTGCAGGGTGGTGTAGTAATAGATGGAAAATGCAGAAACCTGTTAAACGCCATGCACACACATGCTGCGACTGTCATCGCCAGTATGGGTCCAAGTGCTGTCAGCCAGATCCTCAACGCTCTTGTGGTCCTGAATCAAACGCAAGCCATGCCTCTTGTGATCAGTCTGTGCAAGCAGGCTGTTCGGCACGTGCCTCACTTCACTGACGAGGAGCTCACTGCTGTTCTCGGCGCCCTCATGCACTTCGGTCACAGCGATCACTTCTTTGTGGAAGCGATGGAGAGGTATGTACCCACGATGGTCTTCACCTCCCACCCAGAGACGGTAACCAAGGTGAGCCAGTTCTTCAGCCGGAGGAACATCCTCTCCCCCACTGTGTTGGACCCCATAGCAGAGAGTTTCATTTACCGCGCCGACGACTACAGCACCAGCCAAGTGGCGAGGCAGATTATGGCTTTTGGAAAGCTTGGATACGTACCTCCTAATGCAGACAACCTGTTTAGGAAAGTGGAGAACATCCTGCACTCCCGCTTTTCACACTTCCAGCCTCGAACGCTGCTCAATTTACTGCACTCCTGCACCTTGGTGGAGAGGTTCCCTGTGAACTATATGGACAAAGTTTTCAGCAACTTTTTCCTCCAGCAACTGCAAGGTAAAACTTCCTACACTACATTTCCAAAGTCCTCACAAGAAAAACCTTAAGAGTATAGAGTCATTTCTTGTCTTCATTGACAGATCAGGGCACAGGAATGGATCACTACATCCTGGCACAGCTGACCCAGATGTACATGACAATTAAGCTGGAGTGCCCTTTCTATAAGGTAAAATATCCCCTGATGTATGAGGTCAGGACAACACAAAAAACCAAGGCATTTTATGAAGACTGTGGCACAAGAGAGTACACCTTCTCTCACCTGAAGAGGAAGGTTTCTCCTGGTTGTGTTAGCCATACCTTTTGGTGGTACTTTTTCTAAGAAGAGATGGTGAATAATAGTGTTAGCTGGAATCAAGGTTATAATTCATCATCTTCTCATACAAGGCTCGACAGTGCGTCTGTTTTACTCGCATTTGCGGCTGGAAATAGATGTCTGCGAATTGTAAAATATATTTAGGGGCACATGTGCGCATATAAAAAAAAACAGTTTTTCATGTAAATACCGCAGCAAAGTTAGTTTTAGGTTGGATATTTGACAGACATTCACTGTGGATCTACCAGTGTCTTCTCACTCTCCATAACCAGGAATAGCAACAGCAGTGTGGTTGAATCTACTCGGCACCCTCGCTGTCAACGTTGGGTGTTGAATAAGGGACCGTCAATTAATTACCGGTGTGGCGATTAAAGAAAGTTGAACTTGAACTTGAACTTGAACTTACCGGTTGATGTTTTTAAAAAAAAAGAAGAAAAAAAAGGCTGTTTTCCTTCAGTAGCTTACATGTCATATGACCAATTGACCTAAAATTGATTTCAAATAATAGTACTTATGTCGACCAATAAGAAATACCTCTATATTTCCCTAATTTGTCCTCTTCCTTTTTTTTGGGTTAAATTTAACGGTAAATTTTGAACATTTTCTTCAATAGCTTCCATGTCATGTCCATGACCAATTGACCTAAAAATGATTTCAAATAATAGAACTTATATAAAGGTCCTTCACACCGGGACCGTTTTTGTCGTGCGATTATTTCGGACGTCAGTATATTTTTTCGAACCCATATCCTGTCAAAAAAATCGCATCGGGCTTGATGTGTATAGTCAGGTGCGTCAAAATTCGCCTCTGAATATTTCGTAATTTGCGTTCTATATTTTCGTCAGCCCCGGTGTGTAAGTGCCTTTAGACACACATTATTTGATCAATTTTCATTGTGCCCCTAAAGTTATTCATGTGTTCTGACTTCTTCAGCTTAGGAGAACAAAGTTAGTGTCAAGCCCTGTCATACCACATCAACAAAAACAAACCAGAGTTGTTGATGTCATTTCCACATCTTTAACAGATGAAATGTGTTTGCCCTCTCCTCAGGGTCCCAAACTACACCCAAAACACCGCATCAAGTCTTTCCTCCTGATGGGACGCTCTATTGAGTCACCACTGGATATGCTGCTGTACAACGTCGTCAAAGTTGGACTGGTGGATTTGCTTGGGTCACGCTCTTACTTTGCGTCTAGAGTGCTGACGCCGTATTGCTACACAATCGGTAATTTGAACAAAGCAGCGTTACATCTCCACAAACACGCCGTCCTCAGCTGTGTTTTCTAAAGGCTGCCCATAAAGGGTTTAATCTTTACTTTCTCATGCAGATGTGGAGATGAAACTTGATGAAAAGGGATATGTGCTGCCTGCCAGTCGGCATGCCGATGTTCACAAAAGGTAAACAGGTTCATGTTTGGCACAGCGTCATCATTTATGTTCCTTAAAAATAGATGAGGTTTAAACTCACTGTGCTGCGCTGTGCGTTACAGGATAGCTCTTTGTATTGACGGAGAAAAGAGGTTCACGACAAACCAGAGGCAGCTGCTCGGAAAGGAGGCCATCAAGCAGCGACACCTGAGGTGTCTGGGATATGAAGTTGTTCAGGTACGACCTCACCTTCAGTTTTAGCTCTTCAGAATCAGCTCTTGATAAAAATCCATCTTTTGTTTTTATGAAATGACTGAATATGTTGTCTTTTTTCTCTAGATTCCCTTCTATGAATTTGAAGAACTGCGAAGCAAATCCGACATTGTGAACTATCTTCATCAGAAAATCTTCCCTCATACATACAGACTAAGCTGGTGAAAAGGATGCTGGGAAGCTGCTGTCTTTGCTTCTGTTACGCCTTTTTATTTTTCAGAGAAATCTGTATTTATTTTTCTAGCAACAGGAATTACTAAATGAATGAAGTTATTGATTAAGCACTTTCACCTGTTAAACTTAACAATAAACTTTTTTTTTTTACTTAAACCCACTCTGATGAAAATCATGTTTTTCTTGTTTTTTTTAAATGTTCACATTGCATTTTTTCTGATGGTACAGGACGTATCATTAAAAAAATAAGTGTGAAATTGCATTTCTGAGTATTTCTGCATTCAAATCGCTATGAATCAGCAGACCCAAATGGCAGGCTCAGACACAGTGAGATTTCATGTCACAAATCCAAGCTCCGCCCCCGGAGCCCCTCTCTGCAAGCCAGACTTGTAGAAATATAGAGGACAATTGCGGAACAAGCGTTTGCGGTAGCGGATAGCGATGCTCGTAGCTTTCATCATCATGGTACAACAAGTTCAGGAGGGCTTGGCTGGGGAGAAGCCTGATCCCTGCAGCCATAGCCACCCTGAACATCATGCCCTGCTGATGTCATTTACTTTTGGTGTGTATGTAGTGTCTGTTGTCATCTGTAATGTGCAATATACTGTCAGTGAAGACAAATCTCCCTACGGGACAAATAAATCAAATCAACCAATCATGCCCCTAAAGACATTAGTGTTCGGGAGCTGAATAGTTCCTATGTTACCTGCCACTTCCACTTCACCAGCAATGTTTGGCTACAATCTAGCATGGAGAGGAGTGTGCAGAGCAGCGCTGTCTCTGCCCACGACAAAGAAAAAAAGCCCTTGAAAATGACACAAGTAATGCAATTTTGGCAAAAAAAATTTATTATCACAATTTAAAGATCAGTGATAACACTAAGTAGCTCAAAAACAAAAACGAATGGAGTGGGACTCTAAATGAGATGAATAACTTTAGTCAAGTCAAGAAGTGTTGTTTGAAAAATATAATTTATTTTTGTTCATGGCAACTCAGCGCTGCGGAGACTGTACAAAGCTAAGAAAACCCCTTTTCCCACAATCATCTTGGATATAATGTGAGCTTACTCAAAACGCGTAAGCACACCTGATTATCAGTTCAAGAATTATGATTCCCATGAAAGAAAAGCCTTGGTGTTAAATGTTGCACTTTATTTTAATTGTCTTTTTTTCATAGGGACAGTGTACAGCTGGTTAGCTAGCTCTGAGCTAATTTACATCTGTAGTCCTTAAGAAGGAGACAGAGACAACACCTCTGTTTAAGGTTTGGGGTGTCAGTTGGATAAATAGAAAATAAGGCTATGAAACATGTAAAACTGGCACCGGTGTGCTGATGGTTGCTTTAAGCAGGAATCTGAGGGAGGCCGAACTCGTCCACCAGAACACCATCCTGAAATATAAAAAAGAAGGAAGTCTGTTAATAAAAGTAGACAACAGAAACCTGAGAGTGTGAGAAAAATCCTTGAAGAATTACCCTGTTGGACTTCTCTCCAGGCAGACCCTCTGGGATGGAAGGAGCCGTTGAAGCCTCGTCCAGGTAGCTGCTGTCTTCATCCAATAGGAACTCGTCTCCCAATGCGTCCAGCTCTGTGAACATGAAGCAGATTACAACGCTCAGCATTTTACACCATCACAAGACAACAGAGGGTGATACCAAGGTCCCAAAATATGTACTTCAGAATTGTCCTTAAAGATGGACACTCCTCTTAGAAGTACCATAACCAGTTTGGCAGATACAGCTAAACTTTGTGACCGGCAATTTTACATTAAGAAGTTGGAAGACAAATCAATTCATATAGTGATGGCTAGAAGACAGACTTTTACATGTTCCCTCAATACCTCCAGAGCAAGGTTTTATACCTTCACCAACAGGCCTCTCTGACTCATTTCTCATTTCACCAGCACTATGAGCATGAGGAAGGCGTGGTGGTTAATCAGACCATCACTGAGAGGACTGCCATAAGTTTGAAAAGCCACCAGATGTCACTGTGTTTGAAAGCCCAAAAGCCTCCTATGGCTTAGCAATACCGGTCCCCTACCTTTAATGGCGGACACTGGGAAATTGCACAGAACTAAAATGTGTTGTTATTCAGCTGATCTGGCCGTGCAACATGGAAACAGATTATTAGGAAAAGCAGCTTCAAATCTTTCATTAAACTAAAATCTTAAAATGACCGAACCTGGCAGCTTACATGTGAAATTATGTTGTTGCATTTTAAAAGAGAGGTTAGGACTCTGAGCCTTATCTAATCCTGTGAAAATGAAGCTGAGCAAAGAAGCTCTACGTCTTGGAATCAAAGTATTTTCCTGACCTGCTGCCAGCTCGTCATCATCAATTTCAGGACAGCCATAGCTTCTGCCCATCGCCTCCTGGATTTCATTAGCGTCCTCCATCATGTCCTCCAGCTGGTCTTGAATGTTCTGGATAAAAGAATAATTAAGTTTAAAGGTTTGTAAAGCGTGTTACTGCTCTAAGGCTTTCATAACTTGTTTGAATAATTTTCTGCTGATACAAATCAAAGCTTGTCCTCTTATTGCGATAACCAGGGATCAAAACAAATACCTCAATCTTATCAATTTTGATGTTCTTGTATGCTTTCTTCATGTCTTTGAGTCCAACTTTCATGGCATCAACCTAAAAAGAAAACAAAAAGAAAATAAGCAAAAAACAAAAAAGCACGTTTCTAAAGTTATGAACTTTCTGATTATAGAAAAACAGAAACTGACGGTAGTTTTAGTGTCTTTGAGGTTCTGGATTGTGTAGTTTGCTTGTTCCATGTTGAACGACTGCTGCATGAGGTTGTCTCTCTGGTTCTCATACCTGTTGGAAATAAGGTGTGAATCACACTTGAGCACTTTAAAGCTGAATTAAAATGTTAAATGATGAAAAAACTCAGACTGTGAGGAATAAAAGGACTTACATCCTCTTCTGCTTCAGGACTCTCATGGCCTTCTGCTTCACCATGTTCTAGTAAATAAAAAACATTATTACTAAACAATTTAAGTCATACAGAATATTGAATAAAAACACATGAATGAAATGTGTTATGTTTATATTTCTTTCTCCACCAGGATAAGGATGTTTAAAGCTTCAGTGAATGATTTTAGCTGTTTATGAAATTAGTTGAAAGGCCACCAGAAACAGGAACAATGTTTTTATATGTGCTGTTATTTAATCAAATTCTTTCTTCTAATATGTTCCTCCTTTTTTATTTTTAAAACAGACAAACAGTCCATTTAGACACATCAACATTCAGGTCCCTACTTCAGGGTACAGAAACTCGTGTGTCAGCCCCATTTCACCATAAATCTCACCTTTGAGGGCCCGTCTCTCATCTTCTTCATCTGGTCCTTGTACTTCGCAAGTTCAACATCTAGTTTGGAAATCTTCTTGTCAATGGACTCGGCCCGGGAATCCACCTAAAAGAAAACAAAGCGGAGAAGAGGATATTCGCTTTAGTTCGCCTGTTTTCAGTTAACTTATGACTGTAGTTTACAAAGTTTTGCTTTGACATATAGTCATAGAGCACATGGAAAAAGAAAAAAAAACAGAAACAGAATTGAAGGCCATTTTAATGTCATAAGGAACCCAGACAACAAAATAACCATGCGACATAAAATGAGACCAAAATAAAAACATAAAATAGTTAAAAATAAAGAAAATGCAATTGAAAGGGGGGTTGAAAGTGGACACAGGATGGTAAATATAAAAGGCAATATCAACAATGATAATAAAATGACACAATAAACACATTGATATCCATCCTACAGAATAAATCAGTTAAATCTAATTTCTTCTGGTACATATAGATATATTTCTTAAAATTTACTATTACTCCTGTGTTTTTTCATTGTAGTTGGCCATTCTCTCCACACACTGAACCTGTTGAACAGGTTTATGTCCCTCACTGAGGTTAACATAGTTTCACAGTATAGACAAATTTGTGCTCAAAATGACTGAATGCTGATTCACTGCTTTAACAGACTGAACATTGTTTTTAAGGACCTCAGTATTTAACTTATTTTAAAGGAAACATTGTGTTATAGAGAGACAGCCAGAGGGAAATTCTGCCCAGAGATAACAAAACAAAAAAACAATACAACTCTGAGTTAACACACTTTTTATTAGACAGTAAAGGAGGGTAATGGAAACCGCTGGCCTGTTTTCTGCGCATAAAGGTTAGGTAACCGACTCAAGAAAGGTCCATATTTGTTTACTTTGTTGGACACCGAGTCAATTAAGTGATTTAAGATTATACTCACGCCTCCTATGCAGTCCGTAAGATTTGGTGGAGGGCCTTTAGGCTTCCCGCTGCCGAAAATACGGTTCATTTTGGTCAATTTAGACTTTTAAACCACCGAGAAAACTGCGTTAACTTTCTGTCCACCGTCCGCGATCCAGTCGGAGGAAAAACACCCGGAAGAAACTCTGAGCTGACGTCAGAGCAGTCACGTGGTTAACACTCACTCAACCAGTCTATGGCCGCGCCCACGAAGTGATCCGGTGATATTTTTTATCAATATTTAATGGGTTTAAACATTTTTTTCTTTTATTTATAGTATTGTAAAGATTGTACCTTTTTTTTAAGCAGTGGCGGTTCTCGGCCACTGTACATTTCACTGTTTCATTGTTCAAAATTACTGTCAGACACAACCCATCACACTAAAGCGCTGTCATTGTCCATCTTAGTATAACCAAGTGGATTTCATCTACCACACAGAATCTCATGATGACAAGATTTATTCTGTCTCTTATTTGGAGACAGAATAACCAACATCGGTGCAAATAAATGCAATCAAGATATATAAGAACATAAATCTGAGTAAAGTGGAAATATAGTAATCCCAGCATAATCATCATTTTAGAGTCACTCCTCCAGCGGGTTTGGCTGAGTTAAACCTGCTCTGGAACTTTTTAATATTGTTTTTTAATTATATTGCGCTGCTTTGAGTGTGGGAGTAAAATACACATTACAACAAAAACTTGATTCTTGCAATGTATCTCCTTTCTTGATATCTCAGTTATGTATCCTTAAAGGTTGCTTGAAATACTCCATGTAATATTAGTACTGATAATACTAATAATGACAATTTAATTGATAAAAAGAAAAGTTGTGGGAAACCTCCTCAATGTGCATGCAACTTTGAGAGACTCATTCTAATCTTTAAACGATGCTGTAACTGCATGATATCTCCTCTAGAGGGGGCTGCTGCATACTAAAAAATCAAATACAAACTTTTGATCTGATGTGAAACTGAATCTTCCCAAAAATGATGCTTTCAGATCAATAAATGTGAAGCTTCGTTGGAAGTAACTTGCATATTTTAGGAGGCAAGAAAGCAAAACATCAAACTCATTCATTGCAGAGACACTTTTCAACTCAAACTGTCAACATGTGTCCAAAAAGTAGCACACATTGGGGGTCTTAACCTGTAGATTTTGTGAAGATGTCAGCAGATATAGCCCAACATGTCAGCAGCAGATTTAAAGACGAGTAGTTTCACTGATTAAAGTCACGTTTTATTAAAATTACAGAACTTATGTGCTATATCTCTTTTTTTTATGCCTGCATATATAATGAAATGTATAAACAACATAAGAAAGTTCACACAAACCCACATATCTCTGGTTAAGAAAGAAGCACGAGTGTCAAAAGTGTTGAATGGAGCAAATTTTATTCTTTAAGCACTGGAGCAGAAGCTGCTAAAATGACTTTATACAATCCTATAATACAGAGCCTGTTTGAAGTACATTCAAAAAACAGCACAGTCCATCAAGCATATAGGCTGAAGATGTTGTATTATACTATCATTGCAATGATCACTGGCATGCTACTAATACAGTTCATTTTGAAGATGTTTTTTGCAAAATGTTTATTCATACAAAACAATGTATTGTACACATGTTATCGCACTGTACAGGAGATAGAGTAAATTGTAGTATGCATCACCTGTTGAAGGTGTTTGATTTCAGAATATTCATAATAATGCACTGATGGAGCAGATTTTCAGACTCAACAGCAACAGTAGACAACATGTATAGTACTGTAGCCATAAACAGCCTCTGTGATTGAATTATACATTATGAATGAAACAACTTCTCAAACTGGAAAACTCCAGAGTCAAAGCTGATAGAGAGCCCTCTGTCAAATATTAAATGCACATTCAAGTCCAGGATCTTTTCTTCCGCTTTCTTCTTGGCCTTCTTCAGTTCAATGCAGCGCAGTATGTTTTCATGTTTATTTCTGAGTCCAACTCCAGAGTCCGTAATTGTTCCATTGGTTCACATTTTAGTCCATCAGTACACTTCAGATCCTTAACAGAGGTGAAATGCATTTTTGCACATTGATGCTGAAACCACAGCTGATGTGTTAACAGCCTGAACCTTTGTGCATCTGATACCATAGTCATTACTGCAGTCATTTCCTGCTGCTGCAAACACGTCATCCTGGACTATTAAAGGCACATCCTGGTGGTTTTATTAAAAAAGACAGAAACAAAAGAGGATCACATGAGCATAAAAAAACTGATGTAACGTAGTTTTCAAAATATGACCCAAACAAAATTTCAGTTTTCATGAGCTTTCTTTTTTTCAAACTTAATAATAAACATCTTTTAAATGTGGTATTGAATTAATTTTTGTCAAATGCATTGTGTCCCAACTCATTGAGATAATTTATAGTCTGCATAATTAATGAATAAACAACATGATAATGATCTAAAACTAAACATGTATGAAAAATAAATATTTGCACATAAATCAGTATGATAACATCTAGTTTTAATGTCGGAAACCATATTTTGAGAAAATCTCATTTGATATATATTTTTAGTTGGACAGTTTGGTCCATGTTTCATCTGTCAACATTAGAAAGGCAGGTTTATTGGCCTCTACTTCAGCCAACCTGTAGGGGGAGCTCTAAATCTTTTGGCTTCACAGTTTGCGAACACTTATGATGTTGATTTAAATAGATAGTCCCTGTGATGTCTCCCATTGGTTCCTTAAGAGGCATTATGAAGCTCAGTAATGCCAGTCACTGACTAGATCAGACCCGTATAGCCAAGAAAAGTGAAATAAGCTGTTTTGACCATAGACATAATATACGTAGACGCCTCAAAGCCTGGTGCTGCCTATTGGAGCTCACGTATCAGCGCAGCTGCCATCTTGGATGGGTCCCCCATGCGCCTCCAATGCATTAAGGTAGGTAGGAATGCCCAATCATATTAATAATAACTCTCCGAATCTCTGCCCGATTTTCACACTGTTTGGTTTATTACAACTGGATTACGCTCCAGCACGTAATGAGGCATCTACGTATATAATGTCTATGGTTTTGACAACCTTTGTTTTTGTACCTGGATGTAAACACGATTACTGGGCATTCCAGTATGGAACTGAATTTGGATTTCTTGGCTTTTTGAGTCACTCTTAAGTGGACGCTAAAGGAACTGGGTCATTTTTGCACTTCTGCATTGGCTTCATTCATTCAACACCAGAGGTTACAGCTTGGTTTCAACCAGCATAATTGTGCATTACTGCCCCCTGCTGTGTTGGAGAGTAAATAAAGTATTCAACTACTGCAAGCACTCTGTGTGATAAGAAATGTGTCTTTGAATATTAAAGGTGCATTAAAGAATAACCCACTGACAATGACCATACAACCCAACTTTGTCCCAACCCACCAATTGAAAACCGTAAAAAATCAATCAAAATGATGAAAGAAACTGTAAAGTGAAGAGGTCACAGTCATGAAGGTGTCTGGATACAATACGGATGATTTGGAGAAGAAATGAAATCATCTCTGTGTCGGCATCGTTTCAACCAAAAACAAAGAGTCTCTGTAACAGAGTTCAATCTACATTGCCGTCGTGACATGGGTTAGGCCCAGGTCCTGCGAGTCTTCTTTTCCAATGTGTGAGATTGAAGACAGTTCCACTGCTAGTCATGTGGGTTTACTAGTCCCGTCATGGTTCTCCATGGGCATGGCGTTCTCCCGCACACTGCCGGGCACCCTCCTGCTCCCTGACATCTTCTCGCCCTTAAATTTAGCCGAGAGGCAGAAGTCTTTAAAGCAGCGTTTGAAGTTCTCATCCAGAAAAGCGTAGAGGACAGGATTGAGGCTGCTGTTAGTGTAGCCTAAAGCCACACAGAAGAAGTAAGCGGCCATGATGGCTGTAGTCTCTGGTATGCTCACTAACGCCTTCACCAGGATGAAGATGTGAATGGGCGTCCAGCAGACTACAAACACGGCCACCACGACTACCACAAGGCGAGTTATCCGGCGCAGGTTTCGGTCTTTTTCTCGTGAGCCGGACAACATTCGGACGCTCTTCAGCCGCAGGACCATGAGGGAGTAGCATACGGTGATGATGAGGACAGGCACGACGAAGGCAAAGACAAACACGCATATCTTCATCAGCGTATCCCAGTAGACATATGGCTCTGGAAACTGTAAGGCACACTCAGTTATTTCTGCAGGAGGAAAGGAGAAGAGGTAAATTAAGCGATGAAGTGCACTTCAGCTTTTATCATAAATGAAATTCTCCTCTGTGCTTCTCTGTGTCCAATTTAGTGAGCTGTCAGGAGGCAGCTTATCTGCACTCAAAAGGGGATTTTTTTGCCTTAAATTGCTTTTTTATCCATTATCTATATTCCTGAAGAAAAAGCATGATGTGTAGTTAATGGAAAACCCTGTACTGAAAGATGGACTTGATAGAATATAGAGTGCTGCTCTCTCTTGGCGTCAATGCGGGTGTCTTTATTTTGAAATATTTGCTAAAACTTTTCAACATTATTCAGCAAAAGAAGAATTCATTTTCTCACCGCTCTTTGTCTGCGTGCCACCCAGAACAAAAGCGGGAATCCCTGCAGCAGACGACAGGATCCAGATGCACACATTGATCATCTTGGCCTTAAGCGGCGTGCGAAAGTCGAGAGCTTTCACTGGGTGGCACACGGCCACGTACCGATCCACGCTCATCATTGTGAGAGTGAAGATACTGGTGAACATGTTGTAGTAGTCGATGGAGATAAAGACCTTGCAGACAACCTCACCGAAGGGCCAGGTGTTCAGCAGGTAGTCGGTGCTCTGGAAGGGCATCGTGGTAGTGACGAGGGCGTCCGCCAGAGCTAAGTTGAAAATGTAAATGTTGGTGGCTGTCTTCATCTTTGTGTACCTGTGAAACATGCAGAGCACGAGGTCAGACCGAAGCCAAACATCTGTCCAGGCTGCCTTGGCCCGCTCTATATCACTCTGCTGACTCTTTATTGGCTCAGTATGAATTAAACATTGTCCATTAGTCCACCCTGCCTCCCTGAATCCGTAATGCAATTTTCTGACTCACTCTTCATTGTTATGTATTGTATGCCACTTGATTGCAGGCCATGTATAATCAACTTCATTTCACTTCATTAAATTATAATAGCATTAAAACAGTACACACTGACCTCTGCAAAGATTTTTCCTCAAGACTAATTTAAAGTTTTAATTTCTGTTTCAGAAACGGTGCTACCTACAGGATGTAATGACGCGCCGAAATGAGAACACAATCTCCCGAATTACTTAAATGATTTATGGTGACTAGGCATGAATAATAAGCATGTTTTAATTATTAAAAACTATAACAATAAAGTCATTACCATTCTACACAAGTTCCCTGAAGTGTTGCACCGAGCGGGAAGTGTTCATCGTCATTTCTGATAAAAAATGCATTCAGGATTCTCATTAAGACCGATTACATATTTTTAAAAGAAACTATATATCTTGGAAAATTTGCTCTACAAACGCTCAAAAGTGACAGTAGTTGGACAGAAAACGTTAGTACTTGTCTCTAGCTGTGCATTTAATACACAGCAAATGCCACTAGCCACTTAGCTTGACAGTAAAGGTCCTTACACATGGGGGCCGATGCGAATATAGAACGTGAAATTACGAAATATTCAGAGGCGAATTTTGATGTGCCTGACTATACACATCAAGACCGATGCGATTTTGTGACTTTCCGGGGGGAAAAAGACGCATTCCGGGGAAGACTTTTCCGGGGAAAGTCACGCCTCCTTCGCCTCTGATTGGCTAGAAAAGCTGAAAACGTCATCACACACTCAAGCCAAACGGTCAGCACTTATACTGAGTCGGGGCCAGTACCAGATAAGCACATGAAACTATGTTAACAACCGTTAGCTTACGTTAGCACAGATGAAAGTTAAAACAAAGACGTTTAGCAAACTGTTCAAGCACACAAACTATCGTCATATGAGAAATCTGACGCTATGACTCTCCACAAGTTGTCATTGTGGATGTTTGTATTTTTTATCAAAAAGCACTCTGTTCTCCGACATGTAAACAATCAGCCGGTCGGCCATGTTGGATATACCAGTGAATCTGATGTCGCAACAACACGCAATCCGATTGGTCAGAAGTTGACACACAGTATGTGAAACTTTAGAAAAATCGACCATAATCCGAAAATATAAATGCCGCAATATCGCAGGACGGGAAAACGTCGCTGATGTGAACGCTTGTATTGACGTCCGAAATAATCGCCCCGTGTAAGGACCTTAAGACTGTAAACTCAAAGAAACAGCCAACTTATCAAATTGAAATAAAGCGAAATCTGATTTTAATCACGAACACAGTCAGAAAAAAGTAAGTAATTCTTTGGAGCTGTTGATTGTAACTGGACAGGTGGCTTATCGCTGAATTGGAAATAAAAGCGACTCCTAAGGTCTGTAATTAACAATTTAAGCAAACAAATTAAACAAGATATAAAGAGGTTAAGAAACCACATTACATTTCTGCTGTAAGTTATAGTTATTAAATAAATTCATGAGCTACATTTATCTTTACTCGCCGCAAAAATGTTAAGGTATGCTAATCGTCCTCTGGGGGGAGGCCTCTATGAACGAAAGTTGTTCTGGCAACAGATAGCTAGTTAGCTCACGAAGAGCGATATTAGCATTAATCTGAAGCAGTGTCTCTCTTTGCCTGCCAAATTAAAATAAATATTACTCTGATTTCAGCTCTGTTTATAGACCCCACCAGCTATTAGAGAAAAAAAGTGGTATTCAGTTTCAAACTGCTCCTCATGGTAATAAACTGAGCACTTATTTTTAATTGTGTTTACTGTTAGTTTGCTTGATTCAATATCGACTATGATTGTGCGATCAGTGTTTCCAGCCTAGCGGCTTTGTTGCTAGATTTAGCGACTTTTCAGACCCCCCTAGCGACTTATTTTCAAAAAAGTGTCTAGCGACAAATCTAGCGACTTTTACAGAGTTTGGAGACTCCAACATAAACGCAAGAATAGATGTTACTCTTCTCAACTGGTAGCAGGTGTACATCAAAAACACAGACACAGACACTCGGACACCCCGCAGAAGACTCCTCCTCCTCCTCTTCCAGGGGGTGCGGGGATCGTCGGCAAGATTGGGTTTGACTGAGAAATTATGCAAATTAGGCAATGACGTCATCTAGCGACTCTTGCAACAGCCATGAGCGACTTTCCTTACTGAGGAGTTGGCAACACTGTGTGTGATTTTTAAGCTGCAAAATGTCGTTTTCTAATATTGTAGCATCCACACAAAATATAAACCAATAGGCACAATATAATTACGTGTGTTCAAGTTAATGCTTTGTCCACCCAGAAAAAAATCCTGTTGTAAAATGTTTTTCTTCCTTTACATTACTTTATCATCTTGAAAAAAATACTTTTTAAATGTATACATTTTTTAAGTTTTGGAACTTTTGGTGTGATGTAAATTTGTTTTTTCACCAACTCTGCCAAAACACCATGCTGAAAGGAGCTGAATCATCTGTGGTGCTAAAAGACTGTGCAATAGAAGTGAGATCCTTCCCAGCTGTTAGCAAACAAATACTGTTAAAAGTCCATTTACATGATTAGACCTCATCCACCTACAGCCATAAAAGGTGCAATACCATGTCAGATACCTCCACTCAACACACAGTGAGTCAAATGTGTTTCCCCCTGACTGGATAAATTCTCAAACAAGTGCAATGCCAGATACTCCTTCGCTCTAAATCAGCATAAAACCACTTTAACTTTAGTTATATTCTCCTCCAAGGAGCAACTAAACAATAAAACTCTGAGTCCTCACTGGAACTGACGTGATAAAATGGGCTTTTACCGACAGGCGAGGCAATCAACCTGATTTGAGGTAATTGTTGTCAGTGGGCCGAAGCTTTGAGGATGACACTGCTGCATTTCACATTATATCAAAGGAGATTTGTTGCTCTTGAACACCATAAATAACAGCCAATGAGGTGCGAGGCGGCTATCAGCTTGATAAAGCACCTCTGGTTTCAACTGTGATTAATATCATACCCACTGGCCTAGAGGAGATTTACAGTATATTGTTATTATTTTGGAGGTCTTGAGGGTTATTGAATTATAAAAGGACCCACTTTAAAGGTTTCAGGCACTGCTAAACCATTAAAGGTGGCAGGATCTGTCAATATAAGCACAAATCTAAGATGACAGCATTAATCTCAACTCTTTCTGTTTGAGTTTGTTCCTCAGAGGATTAAAACTCCAAAATCTGCAGCTTTTAACCAATCCAGTGCAGAAATCTGCTTTCCTGCTGTCTGAGCTGAGCATTACAGTGCAAATTGTAGGAGTGATGGAAATGAGGCATGAGCCAAACAGCAGAGGTCTGTGTGGAAGCCAAATACCCTCTCCAAAAAATATAATGTGACTGTGGAGAAATGGATTCATCTGCTTGGCACAAAATGGACTTATAATTTACCAGCAAGTATCTTCATGCAGCTTCATGAGGAGAAATAACAGATTACAGAACATTTCTGAACATGAAACCTCCAGTATTTATTCTTTATCTTAATATCCAAGAGAGAATATTTAATAAGAGATGACCATACCTGATGATCACATACATCACGAGGCAGTTGCCCAGTAAACCGACCACAAACACCACTGAATAGACAGCTGTGATGATGGGGATGATGGGAGACATGCCCTCCTGCTCCTCCCAGTTCTCATCGTGGGTCATATTGAGGCTCTCTGGGTATCCGGACAGCCAGGATGAGGAATTCACTGCGCAGTCCTCCAGCGTTGTGGAGAGGCACTTACTGTTATCTTCTTTGAATATTTCAACCGGAGTGCTTTCCATTTTGACACCTGTTAAGTACGATTGACACAAATGAGGCTTCAAAATAAGTCTCAACGTGGTCAATAAACAGAAAACATGGGAATCAGTTATATAAGGTGGGTAAATAAGGTGAAATCGAGCATGGAAAACGCGCGTAAAGACCACTTAAAATCCAAAATACGAAGAAAAATACATCCAATCTCTTGATGCGAATCATGGCATCCTCAAAACTTCCCCTGTACTTGTACAACACAGAGAGGAATAAATAAACATCAGCTCCAGTCTCTCTAAAAACGCGCACTACAAACACTTTCAATCTCGCACTTCTACTCACCTTGATCCACCAGAAATTGCGCACGCAGCCTCAAAAATGATCTTTAACAGAACGGATCACTCCAGTTGTAGCCTATGTCAGTTTTGTTTCTATGGTGCCTCGGTTCAGGTTCCGGCTCATCAAAGTTTGAGGATGCTTCTGCGCGTCCGGAGAGCAGAGCAGCAGCAGCTTTGCGGAGCCTCGTGCACACGCACTGATGGAGAAGTGGCGCGCAGTCAGGCTAGACCGAACACACACACACACACACACACACACACACACACACACACACACACACACACACACACACACACACACTACTGCCAGCCCATACCCAAAATATGAAACGACAGAGCGATGGCAATAACCTGCAGGCAGCTCATAGTGTTTTTTTCAATCTTATGAAATTATGTCACAGTGGAGTGAAACCCTCGGGGCACCAATAAGGAAGCGTCACTGTGGATACTGGAGGAGTAAATCCACGCTAAATCACTGTCAAATCATTTAAATATCCAAGTTGATGGTTTCTGTCGTTTTGGAAGCGTTGTATGAAAGTAGGGGAGACCGGGGCTTGTTGTCACAGTTTTTACACTCATATATTTCTTGGAATCAATATATCATAGGACTGGGCGATTATATTATCGTGATAAATTTCAGGTGGTCTTTACAAGAGTACAAGCAGTATCGAGCGATGGTATGGTAGTTGACATTAAAATCCTTTATTGAACTCCAGATCGATTTATTAGCGAGGGTCACCTGACTGACTGACCTCAGCATCACGTTAGGCAACTAACCCCAAATTGACCTGTTGCCCCAAACTACCATATTTGCTAATTCCAGCTCTATCTTAAAGTTAGCTTAAAACAGAGCAACGAATTATGTATGACAGGATGCCTTAATCTCTCCTCAAACACGTATCACTGCTAGGATTTTTATCTGGAAGAAGCTTATTTTAGAATATATAAAGTTAGATATTTTTACTTTGGGTTGGTTATATTGGCGCTCATCTCAGCTCACAATGCGCTCTTCACGATCCCTGACCATGTAAAGGAATTAAACTCGTATTCCACTTTTTAGTTGCGCCCTCTGGTGGCAAAGATCATTGCAATGTGACAACTTACCCATGTGACAACAAGCCCCGGTCTCCCCTAAATGGTGCCTCATAGTGTAAAGTTTTTGAGTTGCTGACACAGAAGTTAATATTTGACCTCAGCTCTTCAGATCAATAACAATTTCGACGCTTAGTTTAGTTTTTTGTTTGTATTGATCTGTTTATCCATTACTTAAGGAATTAATAGTACACGTGATGTACATTTATTCACACATATTGATTTATATTCCTCTGAGGACTAAACCTCTCCTCTCTTAATTACTGAAACATACAAAATCATTAATGGTTAAACCGCATGTATACATAGATTACTGCCCTCAAGGAGCAGCTCCTTTCCAGCATATAACTCCCAACTTTCCTGCTGTAACCACCTATTCTCTTACAGTAAAGGTCTGAGAATATAACGATTAAAAACTCTTTATTCAGACCCCACATTGCTCCTCCAATCACATTTCCCTGATGTACAGATGTACTGACATGCTCGTCTTCAAATTAGACAGAATATTTCTCAGGTGTAGGGCAGCTGGTGGTTTGACTTGATTTTTGCAGGTGAAACTAGGACAGAACAGAGAGGAGGAAAAACACGGGAGATTGTAGCAATCAAGACAACCCTGGATGTGAAACCCACACATTCCTTACAGGAAAGTTTCCTTATCTGGTCCCAGGAAACAGGATATAAATCTTTCCAGACGTGTTTGCACTTTCAGGTTAAATAAGTGACCCAACCGGAGGTTGACTAAACCTCTGACTCTTCAGGATTGGTCAGTTCGGCGAACAGAGACAGAGTTTTTATTACCTTTCAAACTGACTCCATTTGCTGACCATCTAAATAAACGTTAACGTCTCAACCCAGATCTCCCATTTGAGATTTAGCGTCTTAAAGTGTGTGAACATACGGACCCCAGGATAAGGGGGGACACTGACCTCCAGACCTCGGTCGTAAAACCCTGCTCGACCATACACTGATAAAGACTACATTCCTTTGGTGAAAGAATACAAATGACTGATCATGACATCTTATGCATTCAGCAATGTACTAATCTGTCTAATCATGAAATTTGTGTTAAAATGAGATGTTTCCCGTTTTTCTATGTGCTTCAGAAGCCAAGTTATCTTATCTGACAGAATAAATCCTTATTCTTTAGTTCTTTAGACCAACAGCTTTTCAGACTGTTTCATGAACTTTTAAGAGTTAAATTTATGGACTATGAATCCTAAGTTTACTCTAAGTAACAGAAATAGTTTAGAAATGTTTGGTTTATATTTTAGTTATTTATTTAGTATCTTAACCATTAGGTGGTTATAATGTCACTGAATAATCTGAATGTGAGTATTTAGAATCCATTATTAATCATGATGACGTTCATTCACATGTGTTTACTCTTTTGTTGTTCACAGTTTCTATGTGTTACTATCTGTTTCATTTCAGAGTAATTTAGCATGTTCAATGTGATACTTATAACATAATGAGAATGTTTGATGTGATCCTACACTTCATTCATATGTGTTTAGTATCAAATTATTTATCATGAAACCAAGCATTCAATGATATTAATCATAGTGAGTGAGTATCAGATCTGACTCTTTTAGCAGCCAAAAGAATAAGTTAGATCAAATAATCAAAGACCACACGACCCTCCTCTGTCTCACACACACACGCCGGAGCCACTCCCAGTGTGAGAAGATAAAACCAGTGAAGTGGGGTTGCTCACTCGCTATTCCCTCTCTTATCTCTTAGCTCTTTTTTTCTCTCTTATGCTTCTGCTCTTCTGCTGACTCTCTTGTCCCCGGCTCTTATGCCCCTTCTCTTCTGTCCACACCCTTCTGTGGTCCTCCTTTTCTTTGTTCTCTCTTAGAACTTTTTCTTAGTCTTCTAAGTTTTACACCACGTGTTGATTCACGTTGATTTTTCTTTAACATCGTCTTAGTTCAAGTTTTGAAACTTCAACTTTTTGTGCACATAGCAATTCAAGATTAAGCCTTTGATTGATTTTTCTTTAATTTCGCGAAGCCATTTTTGAAAGTTTTCTCTGCTCTTCGAGCCTCGTTTTTCTGAGTTTTCTGCGTGATTTCAAAGTCACCTCCGAACGCAACCCAACAGGCCCAGGTCATCCTCTGTGCCAGAGTTTTTGAGTGAGACTAAAGAAGTACCCAAACGAGCATCCACAGGATCCACAGGCGCTGGTTTTTGCTTCGGGCCTGAGTGCTGCAACTCCTGGCTCATCCTTCCGCTGACTTCAGTCGTCTTCTGAGCTGAACCGCTCGAACCGCCAGTAGCCCGGACCTTCGGAACCTGCTCCATCTTCTCCAAGGACCAGTCTCACTTAAGTATGCAAACCTCCAGAGCTCTAAAGAGGGCTGGTGCTGTCTCCTGCGTTCAACTCAGATATCCTCTTATTCTGGTAATCTTAGATTCCTCCAAATCTACACCCGAGTTTATCTCGACACCAAAGTTAGTGTAGGTTAATCTGTTAGCGCATATTCACTCACTATCATTAACTTTAGTGCTCCTAGCCTGACTCAGAGTCTTTATTTATTCACCTATTATTATCTATCTTCATTATCTTATCATCATTTATTGCATGTGTGTTGTACCATCATTTATCCTGTAATAAACAGATCATTATTTTTCTAAGTTCCTGTCTGTTAGTGTTCTTCCAGAAGTGGAGTCCCTGAAATTAGAATTTCGACTTAAGATATGAGACTGATTAATTAAGACTGATTAATTAAAACTGACTTGATGTTTGATTTCTGAATTAAACTTTTGTTTTCTTTATTTTCCCACCATTAAGGGTGGGTGGTGCCCCTTTCAACGAGTGCATAAATGTCATAATTTGAGATTATTAATCTTCAGACATTTATTATAAATTCCAATCGCTACAGTATTTTTGGTGCGGCCTTGTGAGGCTCATTTCAAATCACTACATATATTTTGGTGCCCCTGCGTGAGGCGTTTCAAACAAAACTTCTGGATACTAACAGACAACCTAAAACTTAGCTTCCAAATTGATTCGAGAAACTTATTCCCAGGCTATTTTAGACTTAATCACAATCAATGCTATGCTTGCTGAAGTTGCTTGACTAAGTTCTGATGTTTTCCTGATCTATGCATAAAACCTTTATGCTCTGTGTTTTACACACTCTTGTACTACATGCCTGTAGTCTGTGTTTGAGCTGGACAGCGTGAAATGTTGTTCTGAGTAGCAGTGAGACTGCTTCTTCTGCTCTGTCTAGACTGTCCAATATTTAAGTGCACGATTGTTGCGTCGCCGTACGCTTGTATTTAAGGCCTTTGGCTGAACCCAGTGTTCGCGATGCTCCGAGCTGTGGTTTCAAGCCCCTGAAGTCTCTGTAGTCTGCTACGAGGTTCTAGTAACTATATGGGATTCAGATTTCCTCCTTTCCCCTGACAGATTAACTACCTGTCACAGGAAACCACTGTAACAGTGGGAGGTTGTTGTTTGATTGAATTGAGACAAAATTTGTGTTCACAAATCGCCGCATTTGTGATTTTTAAGTTTGCAGTTGAATCTGCTGTTGAGGGATTTGTCACTTTGATTCTTGTCTCTATAGTCTGCTATGAAGTTCTAGTAACTATATGGGATTTAGATTTCCTCCTTTCCCCTGACAGATAAGCTATCTGTCACAGGAAACCACTGTAGCAGTGGGAGGTTGTTGTTTGAATGAATTCAGACAAAATCCGTGATCACAAATCGCCGCATTTGTGATTTTAAAGTCTGCAGTTGAATCTGCTGTTTAAGGATTTGTCACTTTGATTCTTGTTCCTGTAAATGATTTTATTGAACCAATCTGCCTGAGCAGATGGTGTAAAGTTCTATGTTTGAGGGTGCAGACGCAGCCTGCTGTGAAGAGTTAACCCTTTGTTGTCAGTGGAGAGACTGACCTTTTGGCCTTAAGCAGATAAGGCCCTTCAAGGAGGCAGAGCCTAAAGGCCCCTTCCTGCATACTTTCCAACTTCACAGCCACAAGAGGCTAGTTGGATGGCTGTTTCCTCTTCTCTTCTTCTTCTCCACTTGTGTTGAGCTTGTGCAGTTCTCCCAACTTCATACTGCCCCACATGGTTGCTTTTGGTATTGAGCTAACACTGCTATTATCTGCCTGCAGTATCAGCCAGCTGTACTGCCTCTCTGTAGTCAGTGTGTAACACTCTACAGACATAATTCAAGTGATTGACTTGGTTGATGAAGTTTGATGTGCTCATTCTAAATCATTGATCATTGATTTTTGATTTTTATCTTTGTTATAAGAGCCTCCATAATGTATTGATAAAGTAACTCCTTGAATCAATCACCTGATCTTGTTGTTACTTATCACACCATTGAGCAGTTTTACTGTTCCCTATAATACATGAATGTATTAACCCTCCTCATAAGATTAATTAATTAATGAACAAATTAATTAATATTTGAAATTTATTTTACCATTTCAGATGAATTGGGTAGTTGAATCTTTAGCTTTATTGCGATTGGTGAATTAATTTCAGAGTTAATTCCTTAAATTGACAATTTCATCGATTTTTCCCAATTCATCCAACTGCACCAGGCAGTTTATTTAAGCTTTGCTGATCTCTGCAACACGGAGACAAACTGAACCCTTTATTCAATGGTTCTGTATCTGATGTTAAATTTAATTTAACATCATTTCATTGTTTTTCAATTTTGATTGAAATGAATTTAACTTTATGTTATTTTTCTCTCCATTAGAGATCTACTCAGATAGGCTCTTCCTCTTTATTAAGCACTGATAAATTAAGTCGATTAACCCACTTAATTTGATATTTTGCTTCTTCCTTTCATTTTAAGTCAACTCAAACTCATCAACCAACCACCTGCACCTCTTTACCAAAACCAAACATGCCTAACACAAAAGAGTCCAGTCAGGGAGACCCCCTGAGGGACATACACACAGTGTTGGCAAACTTGACTAGTCAGCTGATACCTCAGTATATGACTAAGATTCAAAAGGCCAAACCCTCCAATCCGGAGGATGCAATGGCTGACTTACTGGAAACAGCTTTAACCATGACACTTCGTGACAAAGAGCTCACTAGATGCATGTCTGTCGTGATGTCTTCTCAGCTTGAGTATAAAGACTACTTGCTGGAATGCGCTTTAGTAAAGATACAGGCGCAAAAAGACGAAAACAGCGCTCTGAAAAAGACGCTAGAGGAGACTAAGAAGTCTCTAAGTGTTTTAGAAAAACACAGTGCCAGATGTGAAGCGTCAAAGCTTCCCTCACTGATAAGTCATGAAGAAAATCTTGATCTTAAAGACAAGATTGAAAGACTTAATGAAACCCTTTACAAAAAGGAGAAAGAACTTGATGACACGAATAAGCAGCTTGCTAAGACCACAGAGGATCTGATACAGTCAGAATCCCTGCTAGAGCAAGCAACAGAAGATGTAAAAGCTTTGAAAGCACTGGTCAAAGTGCGTGCTGAAGCTCTTGAAGTTAAGGAGAAGCAAACTTCTACCTTACAGCACCAGCTCCAGATAGCTCAAAGACAGTTAATTCTTTGTCAAGAATGGCAAGAAAAGACAGACAAAGAACTTGAAGATGTCCAAAGAGAGTTACAATGCTCCCTCCAGTCAGGTCGAGCCCAAAGAGAACGCATGGAGCAAACGTTTCTTGAAGAAATGATAGGTGATCAGCCTCCTGAGAGAGCGCCATCACTTCCTTCCAAACCAACTCTTAAGTATCTCTCTCAGCATCATGACAGGACCCTGCTTGACCCTGAGAGGTCATCCTTAAACCAAGAGTCCTACTCTCCTCCTCATGATGGCTTCTTACCATTTCCCTCAGACAGGGATCTTGACAAAATTGCTCGCATCATAGCACGCTTTGAACCTGAGCACCAAGGTGCTACTGACACCTGCACCTACTTGAAAGACATTGACTTTTACCTGCGGAAATTTCCAGGTGCAACCATTGATGACAAAATCTACCTTATTAAGGCAACGTCAAGTCGAGAGGTTAGCAGTTTCCTTGAACGACAGCCTTATCATGTCAGAAATAATTATGACTTGCTCTGCTAAGCATTAATTGAAGAGTTTTCTGACTATTTGACCCAGACAGGCCTCTCTGCTGCTCTGTCTATTAAACAAGGGAGATCAGAATCTCCCCAACAGTATTACAACCGCTTACGCGAAGCTTACTTTGGTTTCCGAAATGAACCAGAAATGGAGGAGGACTTGAACTTCAAAACGCTGTTCGTCCAGAACCTCCACCCTACCACCAGTCATCACCTTTGCGTCTTAGCTTGTCCAAACACTTTGACTAGCCGACAGCTTCGTGACCTTGCTGTAAAAGGTTTTGCCAAACAACGACAAACTTTGGCTAAGAAAGCAGAGCCCGTTACTCTCTTGGCTATGGAGACAAAATCACTGCCCATGGAGCCGAACGAAGCTTCAGACTGTGTTTTTTCAGGCTCCGATAAGCCTCCAAATGAGTGGTTAACCAGGCCTCCAAAACCTTTTCGACCTTGACAAACTCATAAAGGTCAAAGTTACACACCAAGGCCCAGGTCTGACACAGACCAACGCCAGGTAAACTTTGAGACCAACTGTTGTTATTCAGACTCCCGTCACGGTGGGTTTTATCCCAGACAAAGGAAAAACCATCAACACCGCCAAAGGGGGGTGAATGACTGGCAGAATCAGAGTAAATCACACTCTCAGAAACGACGATCTTATTATCCACCTCAATCGGTTTCATCCACTTTGAAGGTGAATAAACATGACTACTCAGCTAACCACTGAGATTAACACACTCTGGAGTCATGAAGGTGTGAGTCCTGCGAAAGCAGAAGTCACTCAGCCAAAGCTAAATGACTCCAATAAGATATCCAAATGCTGTGGTGATACATTGATGACTGCAATCCCAGTTGCTGCTTTCTTTGTTAGCATTTGTCTCTCCTCTGTCAATATGGTCAGCTTGTCAGCTGTCAAATATTCCATGAACAGATTAAAAGCTGAAATTTCTGTCATTAAGACTCAGATTGACAAATTTCAGACTCAACAGCAGATAATTAGTCAAACCGATAAGAGCATCATCCCCAAGTTTAACAGACAAAGTTTAAGAGAAACTCTGTGCAGTAAACTTTTGATGTTTGTGATTCAGGTTGACTATGCTCATACACAGATGGTTAATATGTCTATAGCAGACATTTCTTTTCCACCTAAGTCTTAACCATTTTTGAAACTGAAATGGAACTTTCAGACTTCTCCAGCAAGCATGAAAAACAGCTATAGCTTTAGATCCAGTTAGCATTCAGACTAAAGAGTGCTTTCCTAAATCTCATTAATACTAAAAATTAGGAGATTTTCTTTCACATTAGTCTACCAATAGTTAACTGAGAAAAGTATAACAACTAGACGATTTTATTTGATAGCTTAATGCATGCTTAATTTTATCTCAAAGCAGTACTTGTGATTTACATAGTGATGACGAGACGCATCAGTCCTATTTGCATACACCTGCTGCTGCTGCTGCTGCTTCATGGTTGTCTACTCGTCGTCCCGATGCTCCATGGACAGGACCACCGTGACGAAGGGGGGACTGTAGCAATCAAGACAACCCTGGATGTGAAACCCACACATTCCTTACAGGAAAGTTTCCTTATCTGGTCCCAGGAAACAGGATATAAATCTTTCCAGACGTGTTTGCACTTTCAGGTTAAATAAGTGACCCAACCGGAGGTTGACTAAACCTCTGACTCTTCAGGATTGGTCAGTTCGGCGAACAGAGACAGAGTTTTTATTACCTTTCAAACTGACTCCATTTGCTGACCATCTAAATAAACGTTAACGTCTCAACCCAGATCTCCCATTTGAGATTTAGCGTCTTAAAGTGTGTGAACATACGGACCCCAGGATAAGGGGGGACACTGACCTCCAGACCTCGGTCGTAAAACCCTGCTCGACCATACACTGATAAAGACTACATTCCTTTGGTGAAAGAATACAAATGACTGATCATGACATCTTATGCATTCAGCAATGTACTAATCTGTCTAATCATGAAATTTGTGTTAAAATGAGATGTTTCCCGTTTTTCTATGTGCTTCAGAAGCCAAGTTATCTTATCTGACAGAATAAATCCTTATTCTTTAGTTCTTTAGACCAACAGCTTTTCAGACTGTTTCATGAACTTTTAAGAGTTAAATTTATGGACTATGAATCCTAAGTTTACTCTAAGTAACAGAAATAGTTTAGAAATGTTTGGTTTATATTTTAGTTATTTATTTAGTATCTTAACCATTAGGTGGTTATAATGTCACTGAATAATCTGAATGTGAGTATTTAGAATCCATTATTAATCATGATGACGTTCATTCACATGTGTTTACTCTTTTGTTGTTCACAGTTTCTATGTGTTACTATCTGTTTCATTTCAGAGTAATTTAGCATGTTCAATGTGATACTTATAACATAATGAGAATGTTTGATGTGATCCTACACTTCATTCATATGTGTTTAGTATCAAATTATTTATCATGAAACCAAGCATTCAATGATATTAATCATAGTGAGTGAGTATCAGATCTGACTCTTTTAGCAGCCAAAAGAATAAGTTAGATCAAATAATCAAAGACCACACGACCCTCCTCTGTCTCACACACACACGCCGGAGCCACTCCCAGTGTGAGAAGATAAAACCAGTGAAGTGGGGTTGCTCACTCGCTATTCCCTCTCTTATCTCTTAGCTCTTTTTTTCTCTCTTATGCTTCTGCTCTTCTGCTGACTCTCTTGTCCCCGGCTCTTATGCCCCTTCTCTTCTGTCCACACCCTTCTGTGGTCCTCCTTTTCTTTGTTCTCTCTTAGAACTTTTT